CAATAGGGTTCTGTGTACAAAAAGACTGAAATACCTGATATTGCCGCTATGCAACGACAAGGGATGACAAAAGAAAATATGCCTGTACCTGTAGGTACGAATTATAAACCAGTTGTCACAGCACCTAAAAAGATGGAAAACAGATGGAATATGGCGCAGCAACAGGAGAACAGTGGAGCCAGTGCTGTAAGAGCAGAGCGCGAAAAGTTTGAAAAAGAAGTACGTGAGCGCGAGATGCAGCGTCAAAGACAAATGAATGAGCAAGCGAGAGTAGAAGTAAACGATGGCGAAGAGGAGAGAAGAAGACAAGAGGAAAGAGAACGCGAATTGGAACTTCGAGAGCAGCAAAAGAGAGAAGAAGACCGTCGTCGTCAATTGGAAGATGACAGACGAAGACAGGAAGAAGAAGCACGCCGCCGTCAAGAGGAGCAACAGAGACAAAGACAGTTGCAAGAAGAGGCAGATCGAAGAGCTGCTGAAGAGCAACAGAGATACCAACAGGAACGAGAAAGACAGCAGTTTGAGGAGGAAAAGCGTAGAGAGGAAGAACGTAGACGTCAAGAAGAAGAGCGTAGACGTCAAGAAGAAGACCGTAAGCGTCAAGAAGAAGACCTTAGACGTCAGGAAGAGGCTGAGCGTCAGCGTCGTGAAGCTGAAGAGCGTCAGGCACAGGAACAAGCCGTATTGCAATCTCAATTAGATCAGGTAAATCGCTAGTCAATGATGATACACACAAAGGCTCATGACATACTTTAAAGACAGCCGATCATGCCGTCCATGCTTCTCGTGCGGCTGGAGGTGCAGCCGCTCTGCCTAAAGGATCCAAGGGCTTATGTGCTGTCGTGTTATTCTCTTACGATGCTAGTAAGTCACGATTCAATTACTGGAAAAAAAACATTTATTCAACGTATTTGTAGGTGAAGCTAATGAAATGGCACTCGTAGAAGGGGAAGTCATTACTCAAATCGATCAAGTAGACGAGGGTTGGTGGTTTGGTATTAGTGAAGATGGCAAGAAAGAAGGTCTTTTCCCAGGTAAGACCCTTCTCCTGCCAAAAGACAAAAAAACAAAAAAACAAACAATAGCATCTAACCTACCCTATTATATTAGCTAATTATGTCGAAATAATCGAACATGCACCCGAACCAGAGCCAGAGCTAGCACAGGAAGTCCGTGCAGTTCCTCCCCCACCTGCTCCACCTGCTCCACCCGCCCCTCCCGCACAACAAAAAGACAATGGTAATGTGGCTGTAGCACTTTATGATTATGAAGCTGGAGAAGACAATGAGATTTCATTTGTAGAAGGTGATCTGATCACAAATATCGAATTTGTAAGCGAGGACTGGTGGCAAGGTCTTGCTGCCGACAAAAAGACAATGGGTCTCTTCCCAGGTAAGTTTCTACCAGGAGAATATATATGTAAATGTATACTTATTGCATAAAATAGCCAATTATGTTGAATTGAAGCCTTAATGATCGTCCACAGGCAGCATCAGTTTTTTTTTATTGAAGGAATAAAAGGAGTTTAAAAGACTAAGGTATACACCTTCTTTAGAAATAATTAACACACAACATAATATCAATAACTCTGAAGATCTTGATTATCTATATTTTCTTTATTATTTCCAGTTTGACAACTTATAATGATACATAAAATGAACTTTGTTCTTTTGATAGAAGAGAAGAGGTCCATATAATGTGGTCAACGCTTTATAAAGCATAAATAGTCTTTGACTTTGGCTTCTTTTCTTATTCTTTGGCCTAATCCTTGTTCCGTTTCCTTCGCTTCTTCCTTCCTTTTTTTCCCTTTGATCCCAAATGGGTTTTTAGACTTCTCGTACTTTTTTCGACCTGGCCCAAGTGGAACGAAATTATGTCGTTTCAATGCTCCCATAGTGGCCTTTTGTTTTCTTTAATAAAGTACTTAGATTATTACTAACTAGAAGACTAATGAATAAAAAATAATGTATTGTTCGTTTTATACATACCAAGGTGTTAAGGAATGCACTGCCGTTATAGACAGCGCGTTAAATCCAGGGAGCATCGTTAATCTTTTGTAGGTCTTTTGAAGGAGGGAGGACTTTCATTGTCATGTTTTGATTTGCAAACAAAGATACCATATATATTTAATGCACTGTTCACATCGCTATTCCACATTGTGCCACAAAGTAAGGAACTTGGGATATCTGCAGGTATTAGCCAAATATGTCTTGATTATAGAGGTTCTCTCGACAGTATCTTTGGGCTTTGGAAGCTTCGTTTTTGATATATTCATAGGATACGGCTTGCTGGAGGAGCGAGGGTGATCGGTTTCACCACAAGAAGGGCACTGCACTTGTACTTGCTCATTACTTGTCGTCTTGTTCTTTTCTTTCTCCTTTTTAAGTGCTTCAGTTTTACCAACCTTGTCCTGATATTTCTTGGAGGTCTTGATGGGAGCAGAAGTACAGCTAGTGGAAGGAATAGGAGCAGGTAATACAACTTGAACGCTCGCATCTTTGTTGACTGTAGGCATAGATGTCTTTTCATTGATGACAACATTTGAGGGATCAGGAGAAGATGTGCCGTCTTTAATAGCTTTCAAAGTCGTACAGATGCTTTTGTCTATTACAACATTTAGTTATAGAACAAATGGAACTAATAGATGTCATTTTTACCTTTTCTAAGTAATGGAGTTTCTTGAAAGTCATCATTGCTTGCTTCAAAAGCTGTATTTTTAATAAACTTGTTTGCGTTTGTGCAAACAAGGAAGGGAACCCGCAACCAGCGGCTAATTGACTCTTAATAAATGCCATATCAACCTTATAGCTTACATATCTTTCCCTTTGTTTCGCTTTGCCTTTGGAGGTGGAGGGTCGTCATCTTTCTTTCGCTTCATATTGAAGTAAAAAAAAAAAAAAAAGAAAAAGTAACTACGGATAGCCTTGTAATATTAACTAATGGTTGACAACATTTTTTATTAATTAATCGTATTTTCTTTAATAGTAAAATGTTTTTCGAATGAAAAAGCACTCCACTTTTAACATATTGCACATCGTGCTGTGATACTCAAAGTAGTTATCTTTATAAAAGCGATGGGATAAGGATACTAAAATCGCACAAGATGGTCATGGATCATCATCTAAACGTCAGGAACAGTGGTAAAAGAAGTAATAGTAAATAGGGAAAAGAAGAGGCACAAACCCCAACGTCACCCACATGTTCCATGAGGAAATGGCAGTACATAGTGTGTTGACATTTATGCAGCATGAGCCTGGCTGATAAGTTGAAAGCTTTACTCAAAATCACGCCCTCGACAAAGACTATCATTGCAATTGCTGCTTCTCATGGTAAGAACGATGCCGCGGAAGTTTCTATCATTATACTCGATTTGGATAACAGCGACAACTTCCTCCGTTGTTGGTAAATCCTGGGCATGTCTGTCACCTCCTTCAATCAAGCGCATTCTCATCAATGAGCTTATGATAATATAAGGTGACCCGCTTTTGGTAGAGCCATTACTGTTAGCCCTATCCTCGCTGTTGATGCTGGAACTCTCATGGTTAGTCAATATCTCATATGCATGACGATAAATGCGTGCAAAGGGATAGTATTGAGAAAGTAGAGTTAAAAGGTATTCTATAATCTCATTGTCCAGATTTTCATTCCTTTCTGGTCGCCTCTGAGCAACATACGAAGGATAATAGATGTACAATTGAGCATATGAAGGCGCGTTGCCTTCAGCTGGAATCAACGGGCCTTGACAGTGGCAAAGGGCGCCGTGGAGCTGGAATGCGTTTAGATCACCTCTGTTGTTGTTGGCACGATCCTCAGGCAAAACAATATCGCAGCCCAATGAAGTAAAGGCAAAGGTTGTCCTTAAAATGACAGCTTTGGGTGTCTGTGCGTTCAAGCAAACCCTTCAAGTACTGAGGCGGATCAGGCAAGAGTTGCAACTGAGCTAATCCCCGCTTGCAGCATGATTCCCAGCTAGGATTACTTAAAGAAGATATCTCTTGCTTTTCATCGATCCAGTCCAAGGCGTGACAGCGGGGCCACTCTTTGTCCATACATCCAAGGTCCAAAGGTGAAGGCGAGAAAGCCGCGAGATATAGGCAGCAGGTCCTGCTCTGGGTCTGCCTCTGGGTCTACTTTCAGCATCAGAAGACTCGACTGTTCTTCTTGGTCTGCCTCTAGGTCTAGTAGTGACGCCAGTTTCTTCTTGCTGATCTTCGGCACGACATCCGCGGCGTGATACTGCTACTCGTTCTCTGCATGCTTGGCAGGTACAATGACGTGAATCAACAGGTAAAGGTGCATGGCAGGAAGAGCAGTTGGTTGCTCTGATTGTTGTTTTCCATTTTTCTAATAAGCGTCAAGATGGGAACACAGTGTTAGTGAATAGGAACTATATAAAGTGGTCTTTTTTTTTTCAAAGGAATGTCCATACTTGATTCTTTTAAAAGGGGCTTTATTGTAAAAATAAATATCAGGAGAGAGAGAAAGGGGAAATTAAGCTCATATGATTGTGGTCCGAGGCTCTTGCAAGTATATTTATTAGTGTTAAATATATTAGTGTTAAATAAGTGTGTTCATATAAAAATAGAGTGTAATATATGTATAAGATTGTGTATGTTCAGTTTAGGAAAAGAAGCCAGTTCTATATTCAATCTCTTTTTAGCTGTGTACTCTTTTGTAAAATAACCTCTTTTTCTTTACCTGTTCCTTGACATAAAGGTTTTATTTAATAACTGCAACGTTTTAGTCACATTCAGTTTGATGTATTCCAAATCCAGCATTTGAATGTTATCTTGTTGCTATTGAATATCTTAGTATTATAAGCTATAAACCCAATGAGCCACTAACCTTTTCGAGCAAGTCATCCAATTTCAAATCTATCTCCAACACTGGCTTGTCTCTGCCTTTATAATGGAGTGAAATGATGAATGTACCAGGGATAGGTGATAATATAGTCAAGAATATGTGATTTCTTCTATTATCTGGAACCTCTGTCTCTGCAATCACACCATCTCTTTCGAGTTGCTGATGCGTAAACTTGTATGGCCCTTGAACAGTCACTGCCTTCTTTTTGCTGTTGCTTGCTTTAGCATCTGCAATCTCGACACCAATACCTACTTGCTTCTTATTGCTTCCTGCCGCTCCACTTCCACTCTGCATACGAACATTCTGTAGATATGCTTTATAACTTTCCAATTGACTCTTTAGGTAATTGTTATGGTCAATAATTGTCTTATAGACGCTTTCGAGTGATTGAAGTTCCTCTATGACCTTGACTTTTAAATCACCAAGATGTGCTAGTTCTTGAGTGATTTCTTCAACAAGTAATTGGTAGTTGTCTTTATAATCAATGACTCCAGCTTCTTCAAGCTCTCGTAGCATTTCTTTCACTTTAATGCCTTTATGAACAAGCTGTGCATCCTTTGATGTCGCTGCTGTCTCTGCAATGAGATGGAGTTTGAGTGGTGGGCGAGAGAGGTTGGGTACAGAACGAATGATTTGTACAAAGATAGATTTTGCTTCCATATACAAAATGTCATTTTGCGTAATATTGTTTTCAGACATAAGAGACATGGTGAGGTCTACAATAAAGATGAGCGCCTGTACATAAAAGAGATCATGTTGCTGTTTTACCTTGGATTGGCATTTCCCATCGACTAAATAAGGGGAGCTCAATAGCTTTATTTTCCTTGCGTGGCACTTGGGCAGGCACAGTGCCTACTTCATTCACAAGAATTCTCAAGTGGTCTGATTCTTTGGGTGCGAGTATATCAATATGCTGATTTAATAAGGTGATCGTGTTGTATATTTCATTGGGTGTAATACTGATGACAATATCCTTTTTGCTCAAAGCCATATACTGGTCCATTTCTAGCTGTTCGTAAAAGTCGCCTACTTCACAAAGATCGTTAAGAAATTTGTTGGTACGTTGCTTATTAGCTTCCACAAAAGGATTGGTTGGAATCATGTAGGCTTCTTTTGAATAACTAGGCTTATTTGCCAAATTTTGAATCATTTTGGCTAACTATTGAATCAATTTAGTCATTAGAATCAAATAAAGAAAAAGTAACCTTACCAAAGTCAAAGTAGTTCGTGAATTAGAGCCAGGAATACGATCGACGAGCATATAAGCTTGAGGTGTAACAATAGCAGGATTGAGAAATCTTAGAAAAAAGAATCCGCCAATCAAAGACGATATAGCGTGTTCAGTTGCGTCAGGGTATTTTCTTTTTGTGAGCGATCTGATTTGTTTACAAATCCAACGAATGCCATAAGGCACTTGGTCCAATGATTGAATGATGGTAGTTAAAAAGCTGTCGGCTATTTCCATCAACTTGTTTAATCTCGGTTCAATTATCGCTTGAATTGTTGGATTAGCAGCGGCTATCTCTGCAGTGACACTCTTTGGAAAATCTTCAGGCAATCCGTCTGGTGATTCATTTTCCATTTTTTCGACTAATTCTTCATAGACCTGTTGAGCCATGTTAGTGAATTGGGGCCTGTGTATATGAGCAACATCTACCTTTAAAGGATTGATTTGAAGATTGAGTTCTTTATCCTCTAATAGATTATTGATCTTGTCTGATAATACAGATTTTAGATAGGATTGACCTGGACCACGTCTAGTATATGTTGTCATCATTCTAGACACGGGTGTATTTGCTCTTAATAGAGAAGCAAATTCAGTGGTTGTTTCAAATTGTGCGGCTAGTACATTCTAATTGTGTATTAATAACAATAACAATAGTAAAAAGATCAAACTCCGTTGTACCTGAAACATAGTCAACAATAAATGTTCTTCGCGACTTTCATATTGATTACCGTATAAAGTAAACATAACTGTTTGCAATAAAGTGTCTATTTCCGCCAAACTCACTAAGCGACAGAGAATGGCGATATGTCGTGGTTCGCTTTGTAAGAGATAGAACAAGTTGCCATATTGCTGCATTCGCCTTTCATCAGGATAATGATCGTCGTCATCATCGTCATGTTCTTCTAGGCGAGATGCCACTTCATGTTGCTAAGTGTTAGAATATAAAAGGGTCAACAGCTATTATTTCTACTTTTTGTAAAAATAAATCATTACTTCGTCTAATGCCATTCTATTTTGAATTAATAAACCAATTCGAGCATCAAGGAATCGAACATCTCTTTCTCGCATAAAATTTTTCTTTGATTGTGTTGAAATCTTTGCCTTTAGTTCTCTTAGGCGTCTTTGAGCTAAATGAATGTTAACAACAATCGACATTTGAGTAAAATATATGAACCTTGAGCTAGCTCGTCTTCTACTTCTACATCTTGTTCTGCTGCCATTGAATAAAACACTGATACTGAATAACGTTTTGAGCCTCTTCCTCTATGTCGACTTGAATGATGGTTATTTGCAGCAGCTGCAGCTACTGCTCGGCTGACAATCGAGCTATTCTGTGGATAGCCTAATGATTGAACCATCCCACTTCTTCGATCTGTCATTGATAATTTACAAAAGAAGAAAGAGAAAGTAAGAGAGACACACAAAGGGAAAAAGGGAAAAAAAAAAAGGGAACCTTAAAGGTGAGCATAATGTAACACAAAAAAGATTTGATTCATAAATTTCACAACCAATGACTGCGGGGAGTGAAGTTTAAAGTTAAAAATGGATGCAGTTCTTTTGGTTGCACATCCTTATTGTACTCGTTTAACCATGGAACAAAAAAAAAAGACGACTATACACTTATAGTGGACTGAAATAGATAGTTTTACAATGGGGCTGCTATGACAAATATTTTTGGATCAAAATTCTATATATTCACTTTACTTGACCTTCTCGTTGCTATACTTTATAAAAGTTATTGTTCATAAATACAATCTATTTTTAATATCCAATAGAATTCGTTAAAGGACACAACGATCTGTACTTTCAAGCGAGAACAGGTTTTAAGGGCTTGAAAGTAGTGGCTTTATGAATAAGAATGGAGGTGAATCTTTCTTTTAAAAAAGGATAAAAAAGAGATAAAGTTTAGAGATGACAATTGACATTTATTTAGCAAAAATATACAGAGCCTTTTCAGAAATTATCGGCACACAATATAAGGTCAACAGCTCTAATGATTTTAGTTGTCAACCTTTTCTTGATTACTTACAAGACATGTAATAATATATAAACGAACTTGATATTTTTGATAGAAGAGAAGACAAATGTGGTCAATACCTTTAAATAACACGTAATTAGACAGAATCGTTTCTTTTATATCTCATTCTTTTGCTATTTTTTATCATTTGTTGTCTGGAATTATTATTTGTCTATCAGGGTGCGAATAAAGTGTACAGAGTATTTATAGGAATATGAAAAATGCGCACCTTCAATATTCGACTCTTTTGACCATTAGAATTTAAGGGGTTAAACTTTTAAATTATGACAAGTGCATTCTTTCGCTTCATTTGAAGTTTATGTCAACCAGTCTTTATCCATCCCTCAAGAAAGTACTATCTAGAACCATTCAAGGGCTTCAATAGGAGTTAATGAGTTTGAACTATTATTTGGCCCCTCAGATTCCTTTGTTCTCGTGTTATTTATGAATAGCGTCTAAAGAGTGACCTTGTGATGCTTCAAATTCCTTCGAGACATATAGAAATGATAATAATAAAGGAGAAAAGAAGAACCTTCGTAACAAGAAAAGAAAAAGGGCACTCAGGAACTATCATAAAGAGAAATAAAGAGGAATGTATTCCGGCATATTTTTTGTACATGAAATGAAACTTTATATGCCAATTCCATATTCTCCTTCCTATAAAATAAAGTCATTAGGCTTTTTTTTTTTCATTTCTCTTGCTTTGTATATACCTCGCGTGTATTCTGTGCAATCCATAAGACGGCCGTACTATATCATACATTTAATATAGACGCTTTTTTTTATTTCTTTTATTCAAACTTGCTTACCTTAACATAATCAACGCATTTTGTGCTACACCTGATATACCATAACTAATGTAGGGCTGTCTGGATTCATAGTGAACAATATATTTAACTACCAAGACACACTTGGTCAAAAAAAGGAGGGTCAGTCATAGTCACGAGTATATCAACACACTTACACATGATCCTGCCAGTCCTCCAGCTATCAAAGCAAAGCCAAGAAATAAAAAGAGTCGTGCCTTCCAGATTAAGCTATGATCAACATACATCGTATCTTCTCCTTGAAGATGATTTTTATCAATCAAGTTGATACTATTTTTACTCTAAGTTTTGTTATTTATGAATCATCTGAATTCACTTACACAATCATGCCAAATGTCGTCAAAATGCCAGAGAACCAATCTTCAAATCCCATCGCACTGTATCCATTATGCTTGGGAGCAATAATGACAGCATCCATAAATACCCACCAACCAATGGCAAGCTATTTAATATGAATATACTTGACATGAATCTCAATACAAGGCATGCTGTTACTTCTTTATCTATTTACCAAACCACCTGACAAATAGGCACCAATCGTTCTTCCCTTTCGAGAAAGGAATCGTAATGGGTCTCCAAATACAAAAACGGATCGAGGTTCGTCGTCGTAAAAAGTGTATTGCATATGTATTTTAAAAGGGAAAAAAGAAAGGAGGAACAGGAGCTCAAATTTATTCCATTTTTAGTCAGTGAAAGTATACGATTAAGAATGATTTTATTTGATAATTTTTAATAATTGATGAGCACATAGCATTTTCATGCTGTACTGCCCGGGTCAGATCGCAGTGAGAAGGAATGAAAAACCCTTTTGGGATTAAAGGGAAAATGTAAAAGGGGCAATGATAAAGGAAAAAGTATTATATACCAGAGAATGGATTGTATGTAGCTGAAAAGATACAGAAGATTTTAGGCAGCAGTGGATACTGTATTTTTATAAAATTATTTACGTAAAAAGACAACAAAGAAAAATACGTTTGAATAAAACGACATCATGTCAAAAGGGAGAGAGATAATGAGTATACGTAGAAAAAGAGAGAAAAAGTATGCTAGTGTTAGAGCATATATCCTAATATTAGTTTTACTTACCACCAAGGTGCATTCTGGGGAGGGTAGCGATAACTACCCAGGATTGTTTAAACAAAAAAAAAAAAAGGAACGGAGGACAGAGAGAACCCAGGGCGTCAGAAGAGACTATTGGGGAACGTTCCAGAAACATGCCAGAGAGCAAAGAGGGCGGGACAAGCGAGTCAGAACAAGGACCATGGGGTATTGTTTTTTGGAAATATAGTATATCTGTGGATGTCAAGACTGATACTACGAAAATATTCTTGGTGACGACGAATTTACATTTCGTACAGCATGAATTTTGTTCTCACCATTGGATGCATTTATTTTCGATCACAGGTGAATTTACTTTCCGTAAAGAGTGTACAATGTCCATCAGGCCTGATAGGCCCATAGCAAGTGAATCTAATGGCTTACCATCATATCGAGATTCCTTGACACCATCAAGAAACTCTTTGTAAAGCCACTTCTGGTTGAAGAAATAGTAGGCCACAGCATATTTTACAGGTTTTCGTATACGATTCGCCGCTCGTTCGAGACGTTGTTGTTGGAGTTCAGCAGCTTTTACTGTCTTTTCTTGCTCAGAAAGCACGTTGAATTTGGGGTCTTTAGGTGTAGAGCTACTTCAAGGGTTAAATGCGTCGTTGAAGCACATTCTCTTGGGTTCGATTAAGTTGCTTAATTCGATGGCGAAATCTTTATGTACAAGGATAGCTACGACATTGCCGTTAGGATAATGGATATCTAAGATGCGAGAGTTACTGGTATACAGGATTTAGTAGACATGTAAAAGTACTGTAATTTCTTCGTTAACTTGGGAGTAGGTAGGTCTCCATAAAGGTAGTAATTAAGCGATTGATCTGTAGGGTTTAAAGCTACACATTTGCTAGGACTTTACCTATAGCCAAGGTTGTAACTATGATATTCACATATTCTCAACAGATCTTTCATGTGTTTTTTGTCAGCGATGAGCACTATGTCGTCCACATATAAAAGGCAGTTGATCAATGGAGCTAACTGGATTGCCGAAATGTCTTGTGGTATAGGCCGTGGACGAAGCAGCTTAGGGAGCTCATTAATGTAAATGGAGTATAAGAAAGGCGAGATAATAGAGCCTTGAAGGACACAGATCATAGGGGAAAATCGAAAGGAAGTGGCGTTGTTCAACAGAACGTCAATCTGGACTTCATCGAACATATTCTGAAGTAGACAAATAATCACCTTTGGTGCTGTTGCTTCTAAAGCCTTCTATATAAATCGGCGATCGACAGTATCATATGCTGATTTGATGTCTAGAGAGGCTAGTACTGGAGTAACATGGTGGTAACGGCGAAGGATGTTGCAGATTTCCACTAGGCATAGTGCTTGATCCAGCGAACCTCTAGCTTGACAAAAACCACTTTGAGCCAGATCTAAGGGTGGGCTATTATCAATGAGATATTGAAGAAAGCAGCGCTTCAATAGTTTGCGTAGCACGGAAGTAAGACCAATTGGTCTATAATTGCTGGGGTCATTTGGATCACTTTTTTTATGGATTGGTCACTTGCGCTATTCTCCAGTTGGACGGTGTATATGACCATTTCCAGCAGAGTTGGAATAACTGGAGCAAGAAAGGTGTAATTTGTTCTAGAATAGGAATTGACATTTCTTGTTGGCTATGGTCGACACCAGGAGCTTTTTTAGGAGGCAGTCGCTTAATGGATGCTTGTATGTTCTCTAGTGAAGGGCTACCTTTGTCATCAACTGGGTCAAAGGAAGTTAGTAATACACTTGAATCTTGGCTTACATCTTGCAGTAAATTTCCCGAGTATATTGACTGTAAGTGAGAAGCCATGGTATTAGTCGCATGCTGAGGTCCTTCTATAGAACTAAAGGAGGGCTGTAAGTTTCTGTTTTTACGAATTTTACAGAGTTTTGCGATAGCCTTTGTATACTCGCCGCGTTCCATTTGTTCACAGAACTGACGCCAAGTTTTCTTTCTTTGACGTAAAACAAGTTGCCGTAGACATTCTTTGGTTTCCTGGTGAAGGATCCAGTACTTGAGACAATTTAGTCCACGAGTTTTTCTCCATTTTCGATAATAGTACTCCTTGAGGTTGAAGGCATCCTGCATTTCTGGTGTCCAAAAGTATTTGGCTTGAGAGTCTTTTTGATTTATCTGCTGTTCACAAACTTGGTCCAGAGATGTATATATGGCTTGGCAAAGTTTAGTGTTAAACTCTTCGATGTAATTAATTGCAGAGTGTCTGTTGTTGAAAGAAGGAGTAGAGGATGGAAGTAACTTCTTTGTAGAATTTGTGAATGCTTGTCTAGAACGGCTATTGTTGAACCCATTGACGCTAATCCTTCTGCAACTGCTGTTGAATTGACCGAGCATTTATTGAAACGATTGAATGATCTTAAGGTTTCGCGCAGCACTGTTTATAACTTCATGAGAAATAAATGCAACCTTTCGTTGAAAAAAGCAGATTTTCATTATATCGAAAGAAACAGCCCAGTAGAGATTGAGGGGCAATACGATTGGGTTTGTAAATGGGAAAATACAGACATGAACTTCTTGACGAGTTTTCTTTTGATATAAACAAAAGCGCTCAAGGGCTTGGTCCAAAAAAGGTACCTGTGCTATTGTTGCCAGGCCTACTACGAGAGTAAACACAACATCAATATTGGGCGCTATCTCCGCTTCAGGTCTGATTGCAGTTGGTGTGAAAAAACCAAAACCTGCTAAGAGGAGAAAGGCTGATGGATATATAAGCTCAGGAACTGTCACAGGGTACTACATCAGTTTTTTTAAAAACGACTCTCGATGAAATGGACAAGCATCCGCATATGAGAGGTAACTATGTAGCCATGGATAATGCGCCCATTAATACGCATGAAAACATAAAGAAGTATATTGAGTATCGAGGTTATAAGTGTGTGTATCCTCCTACTTATTCCCCTGAACTTAATCCAATTGAACAATTTTGGGCAGTGGCAAAGAGTAAAGTTAAGTGTCATAGGTTTTTATAAGAAGATACTTTATCAAAACGAATTATCGAAGCCTGAAAGACCATGAAGAAAGGTCATTTCAAAGGTTTTGTTTCGCATTCTTACAAGTGCTGAGATAAGCGTCAAAACAAAGAGCCCATGTAAATGAGTTAATGGCAACTTTATTATATTTTTGTGTTTTTTATTGGCCAACACTACATGCACCAGAAAATACACCAGAAAATAGGCTAATACTACGGGCGCTTTCTATACAACTTCACACTACCAAAGCCTAACCTAAGGCTGTTCCAGTTCACTCTCTCTGATACAAAATACGAGTTTATCATAATTACACGTAATTGATCTTGGTTCTTTGCTGATAGACTGACAACATAAAATTAGAATAAATAAATAACAACATTTCTTTTTATCTCTTTCTTCTTTAAAAGAAACAAATCAAGATGGTGGCTTTATAAACTCATGTTTAGTTTGACACTGCAGATCGAAAAGCTTTGTCGGACAACACCATAGGTAATGAGTGGAGATACCGCCCGTAGTATTAGTCTAACTTCTGATGCACGTAGTGTTTCCCTTTAATTTAAATCCGCTTAAACGCTTAAAAAGATGTGATATACTGTACAAATAAACGCTATTTAGAATACAATCGTGACAAACATCTCTGGTGAGGACGTTACGCGCAAAAGAGTTTTATGCAAACGTCAACTCTTGGCTGCACAAGGCGATACGCTTAATTTGGCCATCGTTAATCAGCAGATACATGCTGAGCCTACAATCACAGCTTTATTCACACCCATACCCACTGATTTGAGACCTGATGAACCTACAATCATCGAATTAGTACTTACTGAAGATAAATCAGAATTTACATGGCAAACATCTCTGAAACGATCAATTGAAACCTTAGAAGTAGATTTAAAGCAAAAGAAGCAGGAAGCTCACGCTATTAAAAAAAAAATTGAAATATTAAAGAAACAGCTGTGATACTCTTCCCAACTCTGTCAGTATATTATGTATACAACTTATTCCCCAATGTTCATATTCCTATGTTCAAGACGCTTTTTATAATAATCTCACTAAAATAAAAACACTGATCTATCGACCAATATCGTTTAATCTGTTTATATAAATCTTTGACTAGACACTCACGAAGATGAACGACTATCCGGAAACCAGGTTCAAAATATAAAAAGAAAATGGTCGTCACAGATTGAATAGCTGCATGAATCTGAAAGTAAGACAAAGATAATCACTGGAAATAGAGAGCGAAGAGATAAAATTAGAGAAAAGAATAAAAGTTAAGAATAGAACAGCCAATTTGATTGTTCTATTCAAGTAAATCAACAGAAAATCATTTCTATCCAACAAGAGGAGCCTGCTAAAGTCAAAGTACTTGCTGCTAGAGCCAGTTCGATATCTACTTTGGACGCCATTTCCGCTAAAGGCCTGATTAAAATCAGTTTAAGAAAGCCAATACCACCTTCAAAAAAGGAAGCTAGCTGGTGATAAAAAACAGCAAACAAAGGAAGCAGTAACCAATCACTATGTCAGTCTCATCAAAGCAACTCTTGCTGAGATGGACTGAGATACATTGACTGAGGGTTTCCCAGACAAAGCTGTGGTTAACCGTATCATAGGCAGATTTTATATCCAGGAAGGCTAAGACCGGAATGATGCGAAATTGTGAACGTAGTATTTGACAGATCTCAGAAAGGGATAAAGCTTGGCCCAAAGCACTACGAGATTCACGAAATCCCCCTTGTGCAATATCCAGTGGTGTCCCTTCGCTTGTCATTGTGGATTGTGTACAACGCTCCAGGATTTTTCTAAAAATTATGGTTAAACTGATTGGACGGTAGTTACCTGAATATGATGGAGTCTTTATTATGGATTGGAACCGCCTGTGAGATACGCCAAGGCAGGGAGGCATAGGACCAGACCCAACACATTTGAAACAGGATCGGAAGGGCCGATGTCAGTAAGTGTCAGATGGACTTTAGCATTTCAATAAGTAAATGATCTACACCTGGGGACTTCTGGGGCCTTTTTGGTAGGCAAATGTTTTATAGTATCTTGGCCAAATTAGTCTCACACAAGTGTCCAAAATTATTCAAAATAGTGGGTGATGTTTTCAAACATCCGGTAAATTGAGAGTGGAAGCACAGTACCATTTATTAGTAGTAAAAGTAGAAAATATAATTATATATAATAAAAGAAGGAATGAACTAAAGAATATGAAACAGATGAGGTTACCATGTTGAGGTGTTGTTATTTTATTTAAAATGGCCAAGGGAAATGGGGACCAGATGAGGTCTCAGTGGCCTTGGCTGTTTCTTTAGGTGTCTCGGTTGCCTTTTGAGCTTCAGTAGTAGTAGTAGTAGTAGTGGCAGGCTCATGAATTGTTGGCTTTTCAGGCTCTGCTGAGCTAGTAGCATCATGTGTAGGAGAAGCAGTAGCTGTACCAGCTTGTCCTGTTGTAGTTGCTTCACTGGAAGAACCACTAGAAGAACCACTAGAAGCAGCTGGGCTAGCAGCTGGGCTAGTAGTAGTAGAAGCAATAGAAGAAGGTGCAGCACTGCTAACAAGAGGCTTTCCAGAAAGAATGTTTGACATTATCTGCATGATTTGATTAGGATCAGTGATTGATTGAAGACCATCAGGAATCTTGATGTTGGCAAGATCGTTGGCAGTGATACCAATAGGTGGAAGACCATCAATGGAAATCGAGAAGGGAACCTTGTCTTGGTAATAATACATTTGAGCAGGGAATCCATCACCCATGATAACAGTGACATTTTGAGTAATATCAAAGTATTTGTTGGGATCGAGCATCATTCCAAGCATCTGAAGCAAATGGTGCAAGAAGTTATCACCCTTGTCGATGTTAACAGGCCAGCTGTCTGTTGTTGCACTACCATGACCAGGAACGGTCGTAGGATTAGCGACATCATAATCAATGGTGCCAACCTTGAAAGGAGGTGAGCCATTAGAAGGTTTAAAGGTGACTGCAGCATTCACTTTGATAATCTTGTAAGAAGCACCAAGAGGATTCTGAAGCGTGATCTTGGATGTTGCCTTGTTTTGAAGAGCGATACCAATGAAACTGCCCTCAACAGCGACTTGCTTGATTAAGTTGGCTTGAATACCGCTCATGACCGTATCAAGGTGAACACTTGCCAGAGAGTCCTTGAGTGGAGCGATTTCAGTTGAAGTTTGAGTTCCCTGGACAGTTAAAGGAACACTGGCACCGGTCAAGTAGTCACCAAATGTCTGAGCAAGAGCCTTGAGGTTAACAGAGCCTTCACCCATATGCATGACACAAGGATAGGACTTGGTTCCAGGAGGAATGGTCACACCCTTCATGTAGGTCTTGCCGATAACACCGTTGAGCTCTTTCATGACAATGTCAAAATTGATATCGCCTACAACGATGGTAATGTTGGAAGGATTGTTGAAAGAAACAACAAGATCCACAATGACATATTTGCTAGTTGCACCAGATACAGCAAGTGAATCGATAGTAAGCTTTCCACCAAAGTTGTTAAAACCTAGAATAAGCTATATTAGTATCAACTATATGATTAAAAAGAGGATCTTACCAGCCAAAGAGGATTGAACATCAAAGCCGATACCATTGAGTTGAAAAGTACCAATAGATGTATCCGTAACCGCATTCGTCACACCCTTCAGGCCAAAGGTAGAGCTAGCTCCCTTGGTCAAATCAGTAACGAAAGTCACAAAGTTACCCTGGTTGGACACCTTGAATGGAACGTTAGAGAATGAGGTCGTAACAATATCACCATTTGTAGTGGCAGGTTCATTGGGAACAGCAAGATGGGCTACATCTCCATTGTAAGAAACATCTACATCCATGTTGAGCTTGCTGACGCCAAGTCTGAAGCCGAAAGGACTCTTGAGTTGTGCCTGGACATTGCTAGAACTGGAAGCAGGAGCCCAAGGATCCTTAGTGAAATCCAATGTAAGTTCCTTCATGGTAACAGCAGGGATAAGCTGAGGCTTGGTAGTTGGACCGGGCAAGACAACGTTATCAATGGTCAGTGTCTTGAATGCAGTTGATAACCATCCAACTTCACCGTTGGGGCCGCTTCCGGATACACCCTTGACAGAGAGAACACTGCTAGAAGCATTAAGATAGTTTTCAAAGACCTTGGTTACAGCAGCAATACCTGCAGGATTACCTTTCTGACTTTTCAAGGAACCCTGCATAGACATGGGCGAAGAACCTCGAGGAGGGAATATAGCGTTACCCTTTGATCCAAGTGGACCAAGATCGACATTCTGGAAGTAAGTTTCAAAGACGACTCCAGAGAGATTAAAGCCGACCTGACTTGGGTTCTTGATGGTGGTCTCAGCAGTCAGTACAATAGTGTCGTCAGGGCCATCCTGAGGAAGGTAGAATGACTGAATGCTGACCGCGTCCTTGAATCCGTTACAGCCAGATAAAGTAACAGTCTTATCCATGGAGATACCGGTAAAAGTAAAGCCAAGAGCGTTAACAGACACATCCTTTGTCGTAATTTCCCATACAAAGTTTTGGTTGTTGATTAAATAACTTGAGAACTTGGCCATATAATCCTGATTGGCAATGGTAAAGGTACCTGTCACGTCAAAGTTGGCACCAACGCCTGCCTTGGCTTGGATTTCAGGCATGCTAACTGTACCCAGAGGTGAACCTTGCCAGTGAACTGTCAAAGGTGTAGGGAAACTAATAGCAGCATCCATAGGGCCTGTCTTGGTAATGCTACCCCTCATCTGCACAGTAAATTGCTCATTAGTAGGAGCAGACACGATGACAGTTTCGAAGGCAAGAACAGCACCGTCGACAATTTGCTGTACAATCTTTTGACCGACTATAGGAATCAAGTCAAGCACAGAGGCATCAGTTGCGACAGCTACGCTGTTTTGAGAGAAGGCCAAGTCGTCAGTATATTGTCCAATGGTAAGACCAGAGGAAAGAGACAAATCAACCTTGAGAGCCTTCATGGCCTGTAATGTGTAATCAGAGATATTGAATCCGGCAAAGGCACTAGGCTCAGGAGCAACGTCCTGTTGACCATCAACATGGAAACCACCGAGGCCAAGTAATGCATCAAGAGTCCTTGTGTCCATATTGGAGTTGACAGCAAGCTCACGAAGCAAATATGCAATAGCAGCAGGTTCAATGTTCATGTTCATGTTAAGTTCCTGAGACTGAGCAGTTTGCTTGCCAGGGATAATGAATGGGTTACTGCTAAGGTCCTGGTTGATATTTCCGACGGGTGTGCCTAGGTAGGTAGCAGCAGCAACGACCTTAGTAATAGACAGACCAGCGCTGAAGGGGTTAGCAATAGAGACCTTGACGCCGACGATACCAGTGTTGTTTGTATCGGGATGAACGGTCAGGGCACTTCCTTGAATCAGAGCTGTCTTCAGACCGGGCAAGGTAGAGGTAATGGTGATAGAACTTAAAGCTTCAATCAGAGGAGCAATAGAAGTTGAGTTTTCGAAACCAAGGATTTGAACATCATTGTTTCCACCCATAACGAAGCTACTGAGCAAGTTTTGACCAACATCAGAGACTTTGGGGTTAAAGGATGCAACAGCATTCACCGTATTGCTGCCTCGGTTCAACGTGAGGTTGCTCAAAGTGACCAAGCCGAGATCGACATCAGAAGCAGCCATTTTGAAGTGAACATCACCAGTAGTAATTGTCACATCGGAAGGATTGACCATGGTGACATTGATGCCAAGGACTAAACCGTCCGTGTTGCCGCCTGTGACATCCAGAGAATTGATAACAGTGGCAGAGCTGTTTAAGAATTGAAGGCCTCTAAGGCTTGTAGGTACAGAGAAGCTGATACCACCCAAGGTAATGGGACCGATGGGAGTGTTAACCTTGGTAGTAGCATTACCAGCGACGCCAAAGGTGTAGTTATTAGCGGCAGTCAATGAGTAGACGTATTGGTTAAACTGATCATTGGCACCAGAGATACCAGTGATAGGCGTATTGGCCATACCAAACTTGAGCGTACCTGCCTTCTGATCGCTCTGGGCGGGTGTGTAAGGTACTTGGATTGTAGCAAATTTCTGAATATCCTTGCTCTTGCCATCATCATCTAATCCGAGAGTAATGTTTTGAGTGACTTCTGTAATGTTTAGTGAGAAACCGAAAGGAATTTGAAAGTTGGCAACAACATTAGGAGCAGTAGCAATAGGGGCGTAAGGGTTGGCAGGATCAAACTTCATGTCAATTTGACCCATACTGACTGCCTGAATGATCTGCAAAGGCTTTTCTGCACCAAGGGCAACATTTAATTGAACAGTCCTGAAACCTTCTGATAACCAAGTGACAGGATGAACACCATCAGGAGCACAGGAGATACCTGTTGCAGCTGTAGGCGACATAATCCCAGCAACGTAGTTTGAGAACAGAGTGCTTACTTTAGCAAGGGAATTTGTATCATTCTGAGGAGCGAGTACACCCTTCAAGAGAATGTCATTGTCGCCCTTTTGAAGATTGACGTTTTGAGCAGTGACTCTACCCAGAGTGACACCGTCGTAACCAATCTGCAATTCAATTGTACCCAGCTGTACGCCAATAGGAGAAGGACTTGTTAAGACAGTACCTAATTCAACTTGAATACCGCCAGTAGGAGCATCACCAGGTAATTGGAAAGAGGTGATTTTTACATTAGGAAATCCGTCCATACCTAAAATGGAAGCATAAGTAATGTGCGCAATAATATCGTGTACGACATGTAATACCATTTAGGGTAATCTGCTTATTCAGGTTCACTGTCGCAGTTCTATTAAAAAAGTGGGTTAATTGATGTAACGTCAATATATAATGGGAAAATATACCTTGAAAGGGCAGTGATATCTAATTTGCCTACAAGCGTCCATGAGAATTGTTTGACTGCAAGCATATCCTTGGTGAATAAAGAGAATGCATTTTGATCCTTAATGATGAAGGGAGTAATAGCATTCAATGTGCCATGACCACCAGAGATACTTGTATCATTATAAAGATAGATTTCACCCAAGACAGTATTGTTATACAAGACTTGAATGGGGTTGTGAAACTTTATAGAGGCAGCAAAAGGGCCGGTGTTCTTGAGCGAGCTGTGCATTTCCATATAAAAAGTTGAATTCAGATCATCACCATCACGCTTAGCGTATGTGACTGAATTAAGAGCATCTGGCTTCGAGAATGTGATTTGAGCGGTGTCGACATCGATAGAAGCTTGGTTCATTAAACTTTGCGCGATCATTGGAAAAAATACAAAAATGATGAGTAAGACAACAACAATGATGATAATGGCTGATAAAATTGAGCAGATAATCCAATATCTTTTTTGCTTATAGAATGGACGTTTGGTGGGAACAATAGGCTTTTCAGCATACTCTTCCATCATTTGTCGATCGTCGTCATGGTAGCTTTCTCTGTGAATGTAGTTGTCAGAGTATTGATCTTCGTGAGCAATAGGCTGTCGTTGACCATATGTGTCATATTCAACGCCAGTCATTTAAATAACTGATTTTTCTTTAAAAGAGTGGAGTATTATATATTATTGACTGAATATAAGGATAGTAGATAAAGGCTATATAGAAAAAAAAATTAAGTTTAAGACCGAGAAACAAAGTAAACGTGCAACTTACGTTCCCAAAAACGAAAGTAAAGAAATAAGGAGGGAAAGAGAGAAAAAAAGAGATGAACAAATAAAAAAAGCCATTGAAGTGGTTTAAATACATTTTCTCTGTCTTTGTCTAACAATTACATACTTTGACTGAGAAGGATTCACGGACTGAGATATTAACAAACTTGTAACTGCAGGGAATACAAGCATACTAATGATTTAGGAGTTTTATTATACATGTGAAATACCCACACAACGGAATCTGTCTTTTTAAGGATATTATATGCTCAATCGATATCAAGTTTGATAACAGCTCTAATATCAGTTTGTTAAATGGACCAGGACAGTGGTGGTAAGTAATTAGTTTATGCTTGATCTATATTTCTATGTAAATCAATATGGTTAGTTGATCCCTGCTACTATTTATTTTGGTTAGTAGTTTTTTGTAGTTATTTTTATACACTCGTACAAACCCACACAAGTGTACAAAAGTTTGTAATTGCGAAGACAAAAGATATCAAATTAATGCTGCTTTCATTACTAGGGCAACCAAAGCATATATCTTAGTGTTAATTTTTTCTATAATTTGTCATGGAAACGCGTTATCTATTGTAGTCTTTAGCTTTATTTTTACCTTGTCCCCTGAATTTTAACAAAAGGCGATCTTTGTTTATTTTCACTTGTAGTACAAAGCTTCCTTCAATTATGGAAAGTATGATGGTAGCACAATATGATACAATACAAAGGATATAATCAGCTCAGACCTTCGAAGCTTCATGCAAGGATCAAACACGTCATGGACATGGGAAGATAACTGACGGGCACATTTACAATTAAAGATGCCCTAAGACCCATATGAAGGACAATGATAGAGCAAGATCAAAGTAAACCCAAGTGATGACACCCGTGACAAGCGGCGCTGTTGTGCATAAAATGAAAACATGACAAAGTCTGCCAAAGATGAGCCTGCGTGAAACTGTGGATTTTCCCACTGTTATTATATTAAAATCGTGACATGTAAATTTCTTCCTGACTATCATCACTAAATGATATATATGTAACTACTGGTTACTCCAATGCTGGAGACATTGACTCCACTTTTCTATTACCGATATGTTCTAATGCCCTTAAGCCAAATTTCCATATATGCACATGTAGCCTCACTGTTTATTTCCTCAATAATACTAGACTTAAACATTAAATGCCTCTGTTGCTGTATGTACGAAGCAGATACTATTGAGTATAAGAATAAAAAAGAATGTGTTATTAAACATATAGAAGGATAAAGAATCGTTTCACTTTTTTTTTTTTTCCACCTCTTTTGTTTGCATTCGCTTGACATGTGTAAAAAGTATCTGCTAAAAAAAAAAAAAGTCGACTCATTTTACACTTCCCTATCAAAATTAGGTCGTTTTCCGCAGCCTCATCAGCAAATAGACAGTCAGATTGAGATAATCATGATAGTGCTTTATAATTTTACAATAGAGCATACATTCTACTTTACATTTCATTAACGCATCAGATAAGAATAATTTTAATAATGATGGCATAAATGATCACACTGAGGACATTCAATCTACTTTAATAATAATACTGAACCTTTCTTAATGAAGAAACTATCTTGCCCTGTCTTAATTAGCCACTTTCACTATATAATGATAGATATGACCAATGGAGAATCGGCACACAAATAGCGATCATTTAAAACTGACGATTAAAAGTAAATAAATCAACACGACTTGTATAAAGTAATAGTTGTGATATTTATGTCTTCTGACTTGTTGACATCGGTTCAGATTGAGTTGATCATTTTAATGCGAGCAATCTTTTTCCGAAAATGGTGTATTGATGATGACTTCGAAAAAAAAAAGAGGCTGTAGCGTATGACATGTGGAGTGTTGCACATCAATAAATATGTACACTGTAGTTCAAACTCCATATATACCCCATATTTAGTATAGGAATGATATCCAATGAATAAGCAAAGAGGGCCAAAGCTGAACCTGCTTAGGTAACAGCTAGAATTTTATATAAATAGATTTGTGTTTTCTATGTGTTTTCCCTTTCATAATCTGTATTCAAGACCATATCAAAGTTTATCTGTGAGTACAGGGCAGCCGCTAGTATCACTTTTCTTTTTCACAACTTCATATTCTAGCCCCCGTGTTCACTTCTATTATATCATCTCTCGTGTATATTGTGTGAAAAAGATCTGAAAGGCATGTAGTGTCATATGATGAAGGCTGTTCCTTTCATCTTATGTTTTTTCTTTGAACAAAAAGAAGGGCATTTCATCTCTTTTATATTTGTGGCTTTCTCTGCAAAAAAGATAACCAAAGAGGAAAGATGGCGAAAGTACTTTATAAATTGTAATAAGAATAATTCCAAACAATTAGACAGCATTTTTGTAGCTGGATCAAAACAAAGAGCACTGATCTTATCAAACGCCAACCTTGTAGTGCATATTATGGAATTGCGACGTGAATGCTGCATTAAGTATATATCAACTAATCGAAACATAACAGTAAGCCTACTAAAGACGATTTGAACTTAAAGCATTGAATACTACTACTCTTAATAACACAAATCTATCTACTCTTACAATACTCAAGGCTCTCTTTCTCTCTAATGTTTTTATTTACATCATCCTTTGTCCCTTAAATGGATCTGTTGCAGTGAAAAATAATTACTTAACAACTCCGCATCAGTGCTTATTTCGTATTTTAAAATGCATAATGCTCACTTTCCTTTATTTGAATAATACTTAAATGTACTCGGAGCCAAGTGCCCAGAGCACAAGCTACTATACACACTATTACCCATATGAGGACAATGACAAACAAAGCCAAATAGACGCCTTAAAAAAGTCAATAAGAGAACAAAAAATATTACTTGAAGCTGCAGAAGCAATGTCCAGCTTACACTCGAGAGAAAGCGATGTTCAGCGCAGTGTGGATGACCTAAAGAAACACATTACTGCTGTAGATAAGGAAATTGCGCTTAAAAGACAAGACGACATCACCACTGGTCGCTCATCATCCGGTAGATCTGGACCTGCTTTCTCACACTCACAATTGTGGTCACGATACCAAATCAATATGCGACAACTGGAAGATCTTTTGGACCAAAGGCAGGCACTGCTTAAAGAAATCAATTATCTAACTGGGAATAGCTTAAAACGACTGGAAGAGGAACTATACATTGAAACAGAGCGTCTAAACACAGCCAAGTTAAAAGCAGCCCGTCTAAAATTATCCACAACACAAGATATTGGTCGAGGTTCGTACGACACCATAGGTCTGACTGAATCAGAACGTATACGAGCAAAGGCACAGGCTATGGTAGCCGCGCGTTTGAGAAAAGACTCTACCTTATCAGAGGACAGCTTGCAAACAGAAGAAGAAAGAGCAAAGAAACGATTGGCAGTGATTAAAGATCTAACTGATGAAGTAAAAAAGAAGAGGGATGTAGCAGAGGATCTGTTAAGAAGAGATTTATCAGTGATCGACCATGATTTGGATGTAGCGTCCAAGGATTTGAAAGAAAGACAGATGTTTGAACAGGGATTATATATTGATGGCGAAGTTGCACGCTTTATTGAGCAATTAGGGAAACTTCACGTCTCTGATCGTTCCAGGATCGCCCCTTTACCCTTAAATGGCCATTCTAACCGTTCTCTCAATGACTATTCTTTACCCCCACCTATACCAACTTCACAGAGACCAGGAACACCCAGATCAGAGGCAGACATCAAGGCAGAGGCGTTTAGACGCATTCAAGCAAGAAAAGCAATGTTTACCAAAGGCACACATAGTCCCACGCCAACAAATGTTTGTAAAAATCCATCAGATGAAATCAGTGATGAAATCAAAGCTTCTCAGGAACGAATGAAGCAAGCTGAAGCTGAAGCTAGGGCCCACTTGGAAGCAATGCGCGAAAAGCGTAACAGGTTAAGGCAGGAGGCTGCTAAGGCAGAGGAACTGAGAAAAAAGGCTGCGGCAGAGGCTGCCGCTGCAGCAGAAGCAGAAATGTTGGCTGAGAAGAAACGAAAACAAGAAGAAGAGAGACAGCGTCTGGAAAAGATTAGAAGAGAGCAAGAAGAATTACTTGAAAAGCAGGAACAAGAAAGACTTGCAGAATTAGAAAGAGTACGTAAACAACAGGAAGAACTAGAACGGTTACGGGAAGAGGAACGTAAGAAGAAGGAGGAGGAGGAACGTGTTGCTGAAGAGATTCGCCAAAGAAAGGCACGCAAGGCTGCTGAGGAAGCGGCAAGAGAGAAGCGACTTCGCAGAGAGGAGATTGAACGCCGAGAGAAAGAGATTGAAGCCGCTAGACAAGAAGAACTGAACCGTCGTAAAAAATGGGAAGAAGTAGAGCGTCAGAAGCGACTTGAAGAAGAACAAGAAGCTGAAAGACTAAAAAAGTTACGAGAGGAAGAAGAGGCACGTATTAAAGAGGAAAGGTATAAAGAACAAGAAATTGAACTACAAAGAAAGAAGGAAATAGAAGAGAAGCTTCAAAAACAGCGTGAACAAGAAGAGGAGCAACAGGAGGCAAACTTACTAGCTGTTCCTGAAGTAACAAATAAAGTCTTTTCACCAATTACAACAGCAGGCACAAGTGGATATGGTGTTGACATTGAAGATGAAGTCAACTTTAACATAAGCAAGTATTCAACTAGGATATTACGATCGATAATTATTAACACTCTAGTATAGTTTATCGTGTGAAAGCATTATATGAATATCACGGAATTAGAGAAGATGATCTATCTTTCTCTGCTTCCGAAGTAATTAAAGCACATCCATCTAAAGACAAAGCAAGTGACTGGTGGTATGGCACCTCTCTCTCTACAAATCAAGTAGGATTTTTCCCTAGGACATATGTAGAAGTTATTGAGGAAGGTAAAGTTGTGCAAAAGATAACAAATTATTACTTGTGCGATATTCACAAACTTTGCCACTCTCGGCATTTTAGCTTTTCGGGTCAGAACCTTGTACGAATACGTAAAGACACGACCTGGTGACCTAGGCTTCTCTGAAAATGAAGTGATCGTAGTTCAGCCCTTCCAAGATGAGACTAGTGGTTGGTGGTATGGTACAAATGAAGAAACGGACGAGAGTGGATATTTCCCAAAGAGCTATGTAGAAGTTATTGATTCAGGTAATTTGTATTTATTCTAATCAAATAGATTGCTTATTTTCTTCAATAGCGAAAGCTCTACCTTCCATATCAATCAACGCAACAACTCTTCCTATGTCTATTCCTTTAGTACAGACACCAACGTCTATTCATAATCCCCATGGCTTGGATACCTCTGGAGGCGCATTCTTAAATGTGAATGATCGAGATGCTCATCGTGGCCTATCTGCGCCTAATACCCCTATTTTGAAGAAGACATCTTTAGAAGTAAACAAGGCAGAACTTACAAAGCGCCGTAGAGCAGCAAGTAATGTCAGTACCATGAGCAATAGTCGCATTAGCACGCCTACTATCGTGCTTCCTCGACCAAACAATGTATCTGAAAATCTAGAGCTTCAAACTTGGTCCAGTACAATGGACGAACTTGAACTACAGGCCATACCTTTAGAAGAACGCCAAAGACAAGAAGCAATTTTTGAATTGATTGCTACGGAAAGAACCTATTTGAATGACCTTCAGCTGATTGTTAATGTTGGTAACCTCTTTACAAAGAATACACTTGTTTTATTAATGATTATAGGTATTCTACACTGACTCTGGGAAATATTTAACACAAGATGAACGTGATGTGATATTTTCAAATATTGACGACTTATTATTGTGTAATACGTCACTTTTAAGTGATATGGAGACAAGACAAAGAGAGCAAGGTAATGTCGTGGATAAGATTGGTGATATATTCTTGAAGCATGTAGGGATTTGAACTCTTGTACTATAATTGTTATTCACATGCATATTTTATAGGCTGAAAGCTTAAAGTGTTACTCAACCTTCTGTCGAAATCAATCTTATGCTACCAAGTTTTTACAAAAGAAAAGAGAAGAAGATCAATGGTTTGAAGTCTTTTTAAAGGTATAATAATGAAAACAAAAGATGGGGCAAATGACAAACATTTTAAAGCTGATTATTATCAGACAGCACAGACCAGGCCAGAGTGTCGTTCGCTTGATTTCTCTCATTTCTTATTAGAACCTGTACAGCGTATTACAAGATACCCCCTTCTTCTTCGCCAAGTATGTAGTTGCACCAGATAGAAAAAAAAGAAGCATTTTAACAAGAATTCTATTAGATTTTGAATTCTACACCTAAAAAACATCCCGATCATGCGCTTGTACGATCAGCATTGTCTGTAGCCCAAAAGATACTTGAAGATGTCAATGAAGAAACAAGGCGGTTTGAAAACAATCAAAAAATGGATGAGTTAGCTCGAATCATTGATATGGAAGGAACAGGCGTAAGTTATTGTCATACTCCTTTAATTTGATTGATTTACTGTGTTTCTTAGCGTTTAAACATTCCAGGTCGTGAGTTTATTATGGACGGAGTATTATTTAAAGCAAAGAGTGGTAGAAAGCTGCATGGCTTCTTATTTAACGATATACTGATTTTAGCGGAACCTTTAAAGGCTTTGAATGAAAGAGGGTACCTTTACATACTCTACAGAGAGGTAATCATAATATGATATTCTGCTTACAAAAGAAAAACTAAGATGTTATAAATAAGCCCATGCCCCTGGAAAGAGTCACTGTAAGACAACAGCATTCTATATCGCTAAAGTCTTCATTTAGTGCCAGTAGTTCAGGTAAGTGATAATGTCGATAGTTTGTTTATATTAATTTTTTCATACACAGAGGATTTATCTTTTCAAATTGTAAACAATAACCATGTTATTGCCATAAAGGCATCTTCAGCCACCCAAAAGCGCCAGTGGCTATATCAACTGCAGCACTATTGTTCACTTCGGCAATATGGTCCATAATACAGCGAGGCTGGTAAATTTTGTCAGTTTGAAGAAAAAAATTTGCTTAGTACATTTATTGTTGTCGCCTTGTACGTATTTATTTTAATGTAATACCTGTATTAAATGGCCAAAGCGATAGCTTTGACGGACAATTTTTTTTGTGTTATTCCTAAAGATGTTTAGTTTGTAGCATATTTTCTAGTAAAAAACATGGGCGTTTCTAGTCTCTCTCAAACTATTTAAGAGCTTGAGAAAGTTTAATACGGCTGCTTGATCGCGGTTCCAGAGTCTTCTTTTTGTTTCTGCGGTTTATTGCTTAAGACAAGAAAGGTTCTTGCATTTAGTACTGCATTAGGTGTCAGGAATCAATTTAATATCATATTCTTTGAATCGCTTTAATAAGCCATGACATACTATGTTTGGATCCTTGCTTCTTTGGTAAGGGTGAGGGTTGGGCACTGTTTTGAAAGTTTTTAGTCCGCTTTCACATGTTGGGTAATATGAAGATGTCTTGTATTCCTTGATCAAATAGACAGAAAAACCACTCTTCTTTAGCATACTTATGAGATCCTTATTTCTTGTTGGTTCGTGATACTTGGTATTAGGTGCGGACCAGTCTCCAAAAATTAAGACAGCATCATGACCAAACTTTGTTTTTAAGCTACACACCAACTTTTGATTATTCTGCTCAAAAAAGAGCTTGTTTGCAAACTTCATTTTTCGAAAAGGTAAAAGTTGAAGCTTTTCTAATATTGTACTGATAGTTTTTTGTAACCACTTTGTTGTGGTTGTATATGCATCATTTCTGCCAGACCTAGAACTTTGCTTTTCACACTATCATTTAGTCTCTCAGAAACTTTTGTTGTAACATTATTTGTAAATAGCTGATATACATCTGAGACTTTACAGAGCTATCAGTAGATTCTTTTTCAGATTGAAGGGAAAACTATGAATTTGTACCATGAACAGATTTCCGTAATACAAGTTGTACTTTTGGTCCACCCAAAAGTCAAATTCGGATTCAGAAAAATATGTTGTTTTAGACTTTGCTGTAATATTCGTACAGGTACTTTGTACTGATACCCTTGCCTTAATGTACTGTACAAACTTTTCCAAGTTTACAGAATTAGATTCGGACTTAGGGAGAACTACCTCGGCTTCTTGAACCAAAAAAGGCTGATTACGCTTTCTCAAATATCTGAAGCGTCATGAACACCTGAGCGGTTGTTTTTTGTAAATACAAGGATCTGTTTTTCTTCAGCAGTACTGGTTTCTTTCATGCAATACATTATGCCCTGCCTTCCAGGATCTATCAAAATACATCTCCTTTCAATACTCTTCAATTCGGCTTGGTTTAGTCTTTCAATATTCTTTATATCATCATTGTTCATTTTCTTCTTTTTCTTGGGCTTGGGGGACTTTCTGCTTGTGTCAGTGTTCTGCTTTATAATAGAGACGTCCACTCCACCAGCCTCCAAAGTTCCTTAAAAGCGTGAAGGCTTTTCAAATCCTTGGTTCTTGAACACCTTTTTTTCTAGGTTTACAATTGTACCCCATACATCGAACTTTTGTTCTGCTTTCAATGATTCTTTGCTTTTGATGATGTGATGCAGCACTGTTTTGCTATCTAACGTTATGTAGCAAGGAATAAAGGGTGTACGGAGGGGAAAGCAAGCAAAGCTCCTCATCTGTTTAGATTCAGAAAGTTCAGCAAGTTTGAAGAAGGCTTTAAAATGGTTTTCTGGGCTAGCTACAACATATAGAAAATCGAGTTCCCCTGGAAAGAGCAATCTTCTCGGTAACTTAAGACCGAGCAAAATTATGCAAAATTTCTCGCAGAAATCAAGGTCTACAATTGTTGGTGGTACAGACGCATAAGAAGTGCTGGATTCAGCTTTAGTGTTATTGAAAAAAGGCTATTAAGTCGATGACTTGCGAATTAGATTCTTTATTAAGAAGAGCTGAATATCATTAAATTAAGTTTGGGCAGAGAATCTATGACTGCTATTTATATTATTGTCACTGACATTATTTATGCTTACATTATTATTGTTATACTAGTAGCTACTACGGTTGTTATTATAAGTTATTCTTATCAGACGCGATAGAGGAATGTAAAGTAGAATGTATGCTCTACTGTAAGATTATTGTGATATGTCTCGAATATATGAAGAAGTGATAAGGGAAATGTGTGTCGATGAGTCTCTATATAACCTCTTTATTGTATATTAAGACGAGAGAGAGCTCATTATTACAAACAGCGTCATTTTATATGAAGATAGAATTATTAAGGAACCGATTTAATTATGTCCAATAATAGTTGTTGTCAGTATCTTTGTATTATTCATTCTTAGAGTATAGATTTATAGTAATCTAATACGACAAGATTAAGTATTTATAGGGTAAATACGACACACAGAACAAATAAAGAAAGCAATTGAGTTAGATGAAGAAGACCCTATCTTGACCGCTGAAAAGTGCAAAGGTTTCGCTGAACAGCTATTGGAAACAATTCAAGTTCAGAAAAGAAAGCTAGCTGAGGTGTATGAATTGGACATAGAAGCATCACAAAAGCAACAAAAAAAATATACTACAGAAGACTTTAAATTCATTGAAAGCAATTCTGAACCAAGCAAACCTAAAAACTGGAAAAAAATTTTTAATGAAGGAAAAGCCAAAGGACTCTTTGCTTCTTATACATCATCAAATTCCCTCAAAAGTTCATACCATCATGCTAAAAAGCGTGAAAAAATTAAAAAATAATGTTACTTTATTTCCAAATAAAGATTTTACATTACAGTTATTTTATTGAATTCTCTACAACCAAATTAATAGTTTGATTTTCTACATCGGAAGAAAAGGAAAGTATCTTGTCTCGATGAGACAAGAACTGACATAACGCATGAAAAGCATTTATAGGTTGATTATTGAGAGGCGTGATATCCAAATCAGAAAGAAACATCAGACATTTTTCTGCCCAAAAATCAGATTTGACCTTTACCAAATGTGAATTTAGTTCATTTTCGTTTGAACCAAGGCATTCTTTGTTAGCAATAATCAACACAATTGGCAAAGAATTGAATTTTTCGTAAATAAATGTACAGTATTGTATAATTTTCAGCATTAGTACTTGATTAATTTCACTTTGAATAGTAACAAGTATTGGGTTGAAACGTTCATCACTTTCATTCTGTGAGGTGTATACTTTAAAAAAACTTTCGGTCTCTGGCCAACCAGTCTGATGCACTACATAGCTGTTTTTTGGGATGTGTGTACCTGTAAATAAAGTTATGTGTTATATAAAAGCAGTATGTTCCATGAGAAAGCAGTGATGTATCATACCAACCAAAACTTGAACAATCAGATTTATTATTTCTTGATCATTCAGTAGAAGCTGAGCTATAAGATTTGTATTTGACTTCCATTTGAGTGGTAGATTGGGAATATCCAGATTCTCGTCTACTTCCAAATTATTTTTATAGTTTTTTTTTTCCCAAATGCAGTTATAAGCTTACCATCAGCTTCCATCAACATTGTGGTGTTGCAAAGAAACCCGTCTCTTTCTATACACAAAGAAATTACACCAATGTGCGAAAAAGATTAATGATGACGTCACCGACACAGACACAGACGTCGACACCTCTTGATGGTCAAATATTTCTACCAATGATCAAAATACTTTACTGTTTGCCAAGAATTTCTACTAGATTTAAAAAATTCTATTGAACAAAGAAGAACTCTATTTTTATTTTCCAAAAATTCTATTTTCAAACGCAAAACACTGTAGTGGTATTATTTATGAAAATCATCTATAATAGGACATATATTTGGATAAGCTTTGTGTTACTTGGCATGGACAAATATCCTTGGCCAAAAAGACAAAAAGAATTGAGCTTGTGCCTTTTATTTTGTTTAAACATGATATTTTATTGATGGTCCAAATGAGCGCAAAAATAAAATAACATAATAAACGTCCGCCCGGACCCGTTCAATCCATTTGGAAATGAGTGGTAGCGAAAAAAAACCCTTATGGGTACAAGGGTAAAAAATATAAACGGAAATTAATGATTAGGGTTATCGATGAAAGGTTAAATGAATTACTTTAACCATACAAGAAGCTTTTGACCATGAGGATGCTTAGTAGGGATCAATCTGTTATGGTGTAACTGATCTAATTCATGTAGTAGGGAGCATATAGTCGGCCATCGCTGAGACCAGGTGAGGGCTAGGTTTGGGGGAATCGGAGGGCGTAAAGGAAGCATATTAAGAAGGAATGACAATGGATCTCGTATTGCTTCAGGCATGAACAGACGTCGATGCATATCAAGGCAACTAATAGCGTGATTTTTAGATAGTTGCTGCGTTGGATGCTTAGGGTATGGTCGAGGTCTGCCATCAGGAAGCCAGCCTAATCTCCAGCGTATACATCGACTGCGCTCTGACTTAGAACGACTTTATTTTTGGATCAGTCGACATCATTGTTGAACACGCAATTTTTCTGCACGATATCAAACTCAAAATCAGCGACTTTACTTTCTGAAATGACTGCATTTGTCCTCGTAATGGACTTGGTAACAATGGCATGAGAACCTTTTTTGGACCAAGCTTGTGAGCGTTTCATATTAATATCAAACACATATTCGTCAAGAAACACGCAGTTCGTCAGGAAGTTTACATTGGTATTCTCCCATTTGCAAATCCAATCGTGTCGTTCCTCGATCTTTGCCGAACTGTTTCTCCCAATAGAATGAAAATCTGCTTTCTTCAACGAAAGGTTACATTCACTTCTCATAAAGTTATAGGCAGTGCTGTGTGAAACTTTAAGATCATGAAGTTGCGTCGATAAATGCTCGGCCACTTCAACAACAGTAGCAGAGGGACTAGCATTAATGAAGTTGATAGCAGTCGTTTTATGCTCTTCGGTCAAGATACACTTGCGACCTACTTTTTTACAGCTCTCAAAAATTCTATCAGGACACACATTATACTGGTTAACGCATCTCTGCGCTGTTTCGAACGTGAATACCCAACTGCTTCGCTACAGCTGATGCACTCATGCACTTTTCGATCTTCAGATCAAAAAACCTAGCTTTAACTTGAACAGTATAACGCACATAATCTCGTTTCGTGTTTGCTTTCTTCATACGGATATCTTTGTCTTTTGTCTTTTCTATCAATATTGGGCAAGTCAGAGATGATTCACTGGAAGTCGTAGTTTTCAAGTACTCAGTATGTGTAGCAATTGTCTCAACAATAAATTCATTCTGATCAACAATGTAGTCCATAGGCTTAGAGCCGCCGTTCTCATCAACAACCCTTCCATGCCTATCTTCATATAAAAATATTGTACTCATGTTAAGCTGTAAAGTAGTGAAGGAAAAAAATACTACTCTTCAATTTACTTTTTTTTTTCCAGCGCCAAGATTTACGACATGGACAGCGACATTGACTTTGATTGGTTGCGACATTACTTGTTGGAAGCACTGTATATCAAATCATCATTAATATTCTACTGTCTCCTGCTTTGCTGCCTCTGTGTATCCCGGGAGCACTTCTACACCTGACCTGGATGCAGCCACTGTAGATTTGACACTCCTTTGTCGACGTAGTGTTTCTAGAGTGAACGATTTTGGTCCTCTTGTCCGTTACCAGTCTTACCGTAAGTATTTACTGTCACAACGGAGCTTGGAACGGAAACAATATGAGCCTGCCGTGTCTTCTGCGTCGTGCACGTCTTTTTGGCGACTACCACTCCCTCCAACAGCGCGAAGTACGTGGTATCATTTGCTGCATCGAACAATCCCTTGTAAACAACGCCTACATACCCTTATTCCGAATCAACACCCTTCCGTGTCGTGTTCATTATGTGGTTCCGCTGATGAAACTACGTCTCATTTTTTCTTTAGTTGTTCTCACAAAGCTGCGCTGTAAACAGTGACTCTATAAGTTTTTTCCTGTGTTATCCTGCTCGCTTACTCAAATTGAACAGTTAATGCTAACCATTGCAGTATCTCATATAAGCACCACTCCTAGTATTCTCAGCCCAATTGTTTCAAGCATCTCGCTTTTATCGCCATTCGTCTGCACTCTTCAAGTCATATGGCAATCACATTGGCAAAAGGTATTTTACGATACACATTTCACTTATCAAACGATCCTCGCTTCTCTTGAACAAATGGTATTCCGCTTACACCATGAAAACAGCTACACTTTTGATTAAGGAGTTTTAATTCTTACTAAACACTACTCATCACTTGCATATTTCAAAAAAAAAAAAGGCATCTTCATTTTAGCATCAGTCTCACTTCCTTTATAAATTGTATTGGTCTAGTTGACTTTAAATAAAACCCGGACTACTGGCTCACCAGTGCTCCCTTATAAAAAAAATCATCATTAGTATGCGACATCTTATTTTGGAAAAACTACATGCAATTATTTCTTGACAGTACAACATCGAATTTCGTTTAGATTTAAATGCGCGCATAAATGATTTGCTTGTCAGAAACAGATACACTCATTGAACGCGTATAGTTGAATAAATACTCGCAACTAAAGGTTGAAGTGCAAGTGAATAAGCGCAAGGAGCCAATATTAATAAAACGCCTATCCACATTAGAAAGAAGGAGATGGAGGTAAAATGTGATTCAGGCTACTCTTAGGTGCATGCCTCGTAAGTGACATGGTTATCTTTGTCACATATTTTATGAAAGTTCTATACAATTGAAAGCTCTTTTATTTTATGTCTCATTCAGTGAAATCGCTGTAAGCAAGCGTCTCAAAACAAAAAGAAGGGAGGATAAAGCATCTGGGCTTTATATTTGAAACGCTACCCCAAGCTGAAACAAGGAAGTAGAGACAGCGTTTGGCTATTCAGTCAAGTAACACACAATCAGATCAAGATACTGCTAATACCAAGCTGCTTACATAAAAACAAGTCAAACCTTAAGGGTCCTTTTTTATTCTTGTCTTTTCCCTCATTGTTATTTTCCCAAAGATACCCTCAATGTCCATTCATTTCGTTTCACTGTAAATACACACATTGAGTATCCGATATCGTCATCCGCGGAGTGATTTCTATTTCAAGCAAGTGCACATTTACCCAGCAAATGAGAATAAGCAATGAGTTAGATTCAACGCCCGGTTTATCCTTCACCTCCCCCCAAAAAAAACTCTGAAGGGTACAAGCAATGTCCCTTTTGGGGCTCCCACTGACCTGTCAAATATGCTCCGAAAAGGTTATCTATTTCATCGTTTTGGGTTTAAAAAGTTATAGGCCATCTTCACCTTTTACCTTTTTTTTCTTTTCATTCAACTTCCCCCCGCTCGTTCTCTCTTTTTTTTTTATTGATACTTTATTGTATACCATGACTACTGAGGAAGTTACTAACACCATAGTTCATCCCGTCCCTAGCCGCCTTCTCGATCCAAAGCAGTGCCCTACCCCTCATGTCAGCTCTATGGAACAATATCGTTCCATGTGGAAAGAAAGTGTCGAAGATTCTGACAAGTTCTTTGGAAACGTAAATAGGAATCTCTATTGCTTTTCACTGTGCTAACTGTCTTTTTACATATAGCTTGCTCGTGATCTTTTGACGTGGGATAAACCTTTTACCAAGGTATCTCACGGATCTTTTGAAACCGGAGACGTCGCATGGTTTATAGACGGTGAATTGAACGCCTGCTACAATGCTGTCGATCGTCATGCTTTGAAAAATCCAAACAAGATTGCTATTATCTATGAAGGCGACGAACCTAGCAATTTCCGTCACATTAGCTATGGCGATCTTTTACGTGAAGTTTGCAAGATGAGCAATGTTTTGAAGAACCTTGGTGTCCGTAAGGGTGATAATGTTGCTATTTACATGCCCATGATTCCTGAGACCATGATCTCTATTCTGGCCTGTGCTCGTATTGGTGCTATTCACTCTGTTGTCTTTGCTGGTTTCTCTGCAGAATCATTGTTGGATCGTGTTGCTGACTGTGGTGCACATATTGTCATTACTTCAGACGAAGGACGCCGCGGGGGTAAGAACATTGCAACAAAGCGCATTGTTGATGATGCATTAAGTAAGGAAGAGAAGCACCAAGTAGAGCATGTCATTGTCTTTCAACGTACAGGATCTGAAGTTTCCATGATGGAAAACCGTGATTTGTGGTGGCATGAAGAAATGGCAAAGGCTCGCCCTGTTTGCCCTCATGAACATATGAACGCTGAAGATCCTTTGTTCTTGCTTTACACCTCAGGCTCCACCGGCGCACCTAAGGGTATTGTTCATACCACAGGTGGTTACCTCTTGGGTGCCGCTGCTACTGTCAAGTATATCTTTGACGTGCATGAGGAAGACATCTATGCCTGTATGGCTGATATTGGATGGGTAACTGGTCACACTTATGGTCTCTACGGTCCTCTTACTTTAGGTGCAACCACTGTCTTGTTCGAATCAACACCTACTTATCCTTCACCATCTCGTTTTTGGCAATTGATCGAAAAACACAAAATCACTCAATTCTACACAGCTCCTACAGCCATTCGTGCCCTTCAGCGCTTGGGTGATCAATGGCTTGACAACATCGATTTGAGCAGCTTACGTGTGATTGGATCTGTCGGAGAACCCATCAATCCTGAAGCTTGGAATTGGTATAATGAAATGGTCGGTAAGAACCGCTGTGCCGTTGTCGACACCTACTGGCAAACTGAAACTGGCTCCATCATTGTCAGTCCTCTTCCTGGAGCTATCCCCACCAAGGCTGGCTCTGCCACCTTACCTTTCTTTGGTATTGAGCCTGTATTGTTGAACCCTGCAACTGGACAGGTCATCGAAAATGCCGATGAAACAGGTGTACTTGCCATTCGTCGTCCTTGGCCATCTATGGCACGCTCTGTTTTTAATAATCATCAACGTTTCTTGGAAACCTATCTCAAGCCTTATCCTGGCTACTATTACACTGGCGATGGCGCCTCCATGGATAAGGATGGCTATATCTGGATTCGTGGTCGTGTAGATGATGTAATCAATGTCTCTGGTCACCGTCTTTCTACAGCTGAAATTGAAGCCGCTTTAGGTTCTCATCAAGCCGTTGCTGAATCTGCTGTTGTGGGTGCTCAAGATGATTTGACTGGCCAAGCTATTCATGCCTTTGTTTCTCTTAAGCCTCACATTCAAGTGAACGAAGGCCTCGACCGTGAATTGGTTTTGACTGTTAGAAAGATCATTGGTCCCTTTGCCGCTCCTAAACGCATTTATATCGTTCGTGAACACCCCAAGACTCGCTCTGGTAAGATTGTCCGTCGTATTCTTCGCAAGATTGTGAATGGTGAACATCATCAATTGGGAGATACATCTACCTTGGCTGACCCTTCTGTTATTCCTTCTATTGTATCTCAAGTACACAAATAAGCATTTTTGTATATGGCGTAAGGAAAACATTGGTTTTCTTGTTTGTATTTATTGTATAAAACAACTCTTTTATTCCTTATTTTTATCAATTGAAAAAGTATTAATAAAAAAAAACATTACGTTTTTGTTTCCTTCAAAAGAACATTTTTATAGCTTTTCTCTAGTCAATTGTTCATTTGGCGAATCCGACTCTTAACCGAGCACAAAGGGAGTGTCCTTCCATACTTCTAAATAAGGAAAATGATACACCATTTTCAGAAATCATTCGCACAATACAAGATCAATAACGATTACATTTTAGTCGATTATCAACACTTTCTTTATTGTTAAAAAAGCAATAAATTTTGTCTTTTTGAGAGAAGAAAAGATAAATGTGGTCAATACTTATGAATAACACGTAACTGAAAAAGTTGTTAGAGACTTCATAAATAGTCTGATCTTGACTTCCTTTTCTTTTCTTCTTCTTTGGACCAAAAAGTAAGACCAGCTATTCCTCAGCTAGCCCCGAGGTATGTTATATTCTTTACTCTTGTAAGAAACTAACATGTAGTATTATAGATTGCCTATCGAAACTAACCCGGTGTTGGCTGGGGATAGTTTAGTTCATACCAAACTTTGGCCCCATACACCCCTTCAACCCCTTCCGCTCTTTTGACCGCTCTCTCCTCTTGTCTCTTGCTTGCTCTCTTTTTCTTTCTTTCCTTGCTCTTTCCAGGCTATTCATCGTCAGCCCTTTTTAATGCACTTTTGGTAAGATATCAATAATCTCTTTATAAGTTTACTCACTTTTCTTCTCTGTTTTTCTCTTATAAATCCTCTTCTTTATGATGTAAGTATTTAATATCAATATAAACAATTGATTTACTAATCGTTTCTTTTATATATCATTCTTTTGCTTCTTGCGGGCTCTCTTTTATCATTATTTGTTATCTGAAATTATCATTTTTTTTATCAGTGTGCGAATAATTTGTGAATAAAGTGTTAGCAAAGAGAGAGATGGGCAAATGAAAATCACCGCTCAAGCATTACATTTGACTGGACAATAAGAACGCCATTTAAAACAGCGATATACTTTATTAAAGGGTCAGATTGCTCTATGCTAATGTAAATAAGTATTATACAAGAATATATATATATATATTATATACATGTATGTGCAGTAAGTGTCTTGGCATATATGTTGTATGATATATTGATTAAAACTTGCCAGGCAGTAGTCAAAATGAGCTGTCATAAAGACAATCTTGATTCAATCACCGCTCATAGTATTAAAAGCATGAATGTGAAGTGAATGTATCATTTTTTTTAATATAATGGAAACAAACGCAGAAACGTCTTCAGCAGAGAATGTCAACACAAACAACATTTCATCACAAGATACAAACGAAAGCACAACAACTTCAATAAACACTGAGTCAAAAACTGCTCAAGAATTACGAAATCGAAAGACGAAATCTACACCTACAACGCCTGCGACACAAAGTAAAGATGAAACTACTAATGGAGGTGAATTCTACGACTGCAACATTTGGTAAGACTTGGTCAATTTAAGCATATGATGTCTTATTAATGCTGTTCTTATATGTTTAAATAGTTTCGATACTGCAATGCACCCTGTCTTGACATTATGTGGTCATTTGTTCTGGTAAATTGACTTCAACGTATTAAAAAAACATAGGCTAAACATGTATATATGTGTATGTATATATATTCCATCGCAGTTGGTCATGTCTAGCACAATGGCTTCATGCACAATCAAGAAACCCTACTTGTCCAGTATGTAAAGCAGGTTGCGGTAAAGACAAAGTAATCCCAATCTATGGTCGAGGTAAAGAGGAAATAGATTTCAGGTAGATTTAAGCAACTTTATACTTCTTTTCCTTGATGTTGATTCTTTCTCTTTTAGAACTGACCCATCTATACCCACACGCCCAGCTGGTCAAAGACCTCCGCCTCTCCGTGACCCTAACCGACCTGCGAATTACTTTTTTAACCAACCTTTTGGAAGCAATACATTTCATAGAGGTGGTATGTCAATATCTGCAGGATTTGGTATTATTCCATTTGGCGTCACTTTTGTAAGTTATATGTGTAGAGTGAAAGAAAGCTGAATATTTATACATCTATAAAATAGAATATTCCAGCAGGAACACCTCATGCACAGACAACACCACAGGGAGCCTTTATATCAAGGTTAATTATGATGTTATTAAGTTTATTAGTTATAGCTATAGTGTTTGCTTAAAGAGAAAAAGAGAACGAGAAAATAAAAAAGTATATTAAGATATTGTACCATCATAGCTATTAATACTAAGCGCAGCTCCTTCCATTTCATCCACCTTTAGTTGACCATTCTTTACACTCTGACTCAGCTTTTGTGCAGCTGTTTGTTTACTCTTGGCTTTTTTTGTTTTCTTCAAAGGGCGAACAACAGAGACAGGAACGGGAGAGTTATGCACAAGAAAAGTAGATACACTTCCCATCAATATTCTATATGAATGTGTTATGATTCATCTTATTACGCTATCAGTATAAATTTTTACCCTTTAAGCGATCCACGGTCTCTAGAACCACATACGACCATTGTTATACTTGGCGATGAACAAATCTAAAGTACCTGTTAGAATTGCTATCCATCAGTACATTAAATATTGCATTACCAAATCTAATAATGCTTCTCTAATCTTTTGAGCAGCCAAGGAATGAACAACGATCTTTATATTGTAAAGCAACATTTCATCCATCACTGTTCTTACACGAGAAATCATTCTTTTAGAATTATGATCAAGCTATCGAGGGATGCTGTTAGTTTAATGGTATTGTTGGTGATTTGCTTCATACCTCTGTCCACAGTCTATACTTTTCTTCATTGCTCATACTCTCTACTTCCTCGTCAGTGGCAACTACACTGGCAACATGCACTTCGTCACCACTTCGCAGAAGCGTGCCTATACCCCACTTTAAAGCATACATACTCTCTTCACCAAAGTCGCACATGATCATGTACCTCTTTGGTTGCCTGGTTGCCTTCTTATCTTCAGATAGACCGTAATGAAAGGTCACTCCAATATAATCATCCCTTGATACAAGCAAAGGTGGTTCAGAAAATACGAGTTCTTGTGGGCGACGGATCAGCTTGGAATTCGTGTGTTTTTCCGTATCGTTCTCGTCTAGTTTTATCTGACGGTTACTTTCAGTTATCTTGAACAGCTCAGGGTCACGAATGGCCAAGTCATCTTCATAGTCGTCATCATCGCTATAATAATAATAGTTCTTATGAGTTGGCCTTTCTTCGTCCGAGTCATCGTCATCATTAGGACTGATTCTATTGGGATCTGGTTTAGACACGATCACTGCTTCTTTCACACGCCTATCTTCCGGTGAATCTCTGTTAAGTTCTTGAATTTCTTGAGCCAACATAGCGTCAAGATCCCAGTAATTGTTGGCACTGTCCTGTGAACAATGAGCCATCCCTCATGTCTGTAGTCATTTTGTTGTTACTTACCTTGGAAGGGTTCATTACGCTGAAAAAGAGAGAGAAAATAATTGTTTCAGCTGATATCATCCCTATTTTTTAATTCCCTGGAACTAGCGCCAATTAGATTATTGAGTAACAGTCTAGTCCTTCTTGCATGACGATATGTCCACAGACAATGGATCACATATTAAATCCCTTTGGTGTTTCAATAACCACCACCTGCTCGTACTTTTCAGTGGAATTACAATTATGTTTCCGTTAACGGATGACATTCAACTTGGAATCAATGCGTCTTTCTCAAGTTATGATCAGTCAATAAATCACATGCTCAAAGTTTATAATCAATACACAAGAATGCTTTCAGTTGACTGACAAAAGCTTAGAATTACAATGCCTTCCTATTTGTAGGCACTATGATACGATAATGACTACATTCAATGGTTGCACTTGTCTGATTTCCTTTGTTGCCGTTTGATGAATTTTAGCTTAGCTGCCCTAAGTCAAAAAAGACAAATAAAAAGTAAAGATTGAAATAGCATTGCTAGATACTATTTATCTTTTGTACACTTTACCCCTGCTCTTGAAGAATGTGAAAAGCAAACACGCGCCTCCTTAGTTGCAATTGAAATAAATTATCCAATAGGAAACCTGCTTGGCTGTTATCGGACTGTACTATCCAATAAACTGCTATTAATTGAATGACCGACCGTCAGCGCTTTAAAGTATTTCTGACCTACCTCTTTTTTTCCCCTTTTTTCTTTTTCTTTTTCTTCTTTACAGATATTCTTTGCTTTTTTTTTTCTCCCTGTGACGGCGCTTTGTGTTTTGGCTCTGTTCATCTTTTAGAGGACTAGACACGCTCTCTGTTCATGCTGTGACCCTAATACGGTCATGTTGGTGATTCAAGTGACTTGCAGATTCTAGGCTGGCTACACTGGTTGGGACCAGGCCCTATTATGTAATTAACTGCTTTGTCCTTTATCTGTGAACAGAGAAATGCTCTCTAAGTGTGGCTACTCGAATAAATGCTTATGCTGTTACTAGGCGGTATCGAACAAAAAGCTATTTTGGGTAGTTTACTGAGCCAAGACCATCTTCTGAGCTTGCGAGACGACTGGTAAACGAGGTTGGGGCCTATTGATAGCTACCTGTTGGCAGTCTGTCAATCCAAACTTGTCTGGGACTTTTCAGCTTCTACTTTCTAGGTTTTCCAGGTGCATAAGTTCATTCTTGATACACCACCCCCTTTTGTATAAGGTATATATATCAATTGATACCCAGCGTATACCTTTTTTTTGGGATCAGATGTACTCTTACCTTCTCGTGATTGATCCTGTTAATCAAGACTATTATTGTCTTGAGAACTGAAAGGAGTACGCTTTTATTATAAATAAACGTAAATAGTTCAATCCTTAAATTTATATTGTTCATAATTAAAAGAGTTTAAGAGCCCATTTTTAAATAAGTGAATACACATTTATTCTTGATCTGTGTCATGTCGTAAAGTTAGTCAATGGCCATAACGGATCAAATATAGAGTTTTTTCAGTGCCGATATTTTTTGAGCGGAGCGAATTGCAACACTGTCAAGGAGCTCTCTCTGTGTGACTTTTTGTGCCCCAAATGAAAATGTCCGTACTTTTATTTTTTACTTTTTTTTTTTCACTTTGTGTTTGTTTTATTCTTTGTTTTCAAGTATTACCAAAACAGACTTGTTTAAAACTACAATGAAAATAACGCAAGAAGAGGAGCAAGAAGAAATCCTTGTTGTGAAACAAACGAAAATTATTGAAAAAGCTGTGAATAATGAAGAGAACATATGTAAGTGTGTTGATATATGACATGGTCGCCTTATATATTGATCTTGTTCAAATAGTTCACCCACACACTTTAACAGTATTAGTTGTCGTATTGGGATTAATGTTTTATGCTGCGACCAGATCAAATTATGAAAATACAGAAGAAAGCATCCGATTGGGTATTTTAGCTGCTATTGTCTGCTTTGTCCTTATTGGCATGGTTCATTTTCCAGATGGTCCCTTTGTTCGCCCAAGTAAACCTGTCTGGAGGGCTGCGCTTAGTTTGAGTGTACTATATCAACTCTTTCTCGTATTCTTATTATTTTTGGTAAGAAAAGGTGACCATTGACATTTTCTTTCTCTAATTTTACATAGAACAAAGACGATGCAAGACAGTTTATGAAGTATTATGATCCAGAATTAGGGGTGGTGTTACCGGAAAGATCTTATGCTGAAGCTTGTGACTTATCATGGGATAATATAAAGGTAAGCAAATAACATTCATTAGCAGACGCATGGATATTAATTTCATTATAGAACCAAATGGACTTGTTCGTTGTTGCTCATACCTTGGGCTGGTTTGGCAAGGCGTTAATTCTCCGTGATTACTGGTTTTGTTGGATCATCTCTATCGCATTTGAATTATGTGAATATTCTTTACAGCATCAGTTGAACAATTTTGCAGAATGCTGGTGGGATCATGTATGTATCTACCTCTATTATATACCTAGTGTCCTAATCAATGTTTTATTTAAAGTGGATACTTGATGTATTGTTATGTAATTGGCTTGGTATTCATATCGGTATGAAGTTTTGTCAGTACTTTTCATGCAAGGTAACCGATAAAGTAAGCCGCGCACTCTCCACGTGTCTGATTTAATTATAGGAGTACTCCTGGGTAGGATTCAGACAAATCAAGTCTTTGCGTGGAAAAGCAAAGCGTGCAGTACAGCAGTTTACACCAAAAGAATGGACTCGATATGAATGGAAAACGACTAGTTCTCCAAAGAATTACTTTGGCACAGTCTTACTCTTGATTATCTTCCTTCAATGTGAATTGAATTGCTTTTATCTCAAGTCATTATTGTGGATACCGCCTGAGCATCCACTTAATACCTATCGTTTGATTTTGCTGTTCTTCTTTGCATTACCTGGAGCAAGAGAAGTGTACCAATACATATCCGATAACAGCACAAAGAGACTAGGTGCTCATGCTTGGCTATTGATATTTAATATCATGACAGAAACTCTCATTTGCCTAAAGTTTTCAGAAAATGAATTCCATGAGTCAGCACCACTGATTGTCAAGGTTGGATGGTCCACTGCGTTTATTATCTTATTTATCATATTCCCCTTATGGAGATTTGTTATTTCCCCAGCCAAGAAAACCGAAGCAGCGATTACAATAGAAGAGATAAAGAAGAGCAACTAATAGAATATATATAACCAATAAACAGAAATAATTCGCATACAATAACAATTACACTTGGCGATCTTTTCTTTATTATTCAAAAGACAACATGTAATAATGCATAAAATGAACCTTGTCTTTTTGAGAAATATAAAGAGAAGACTTGTATATGTGATAAATAAAATACTAATCATTTCTTTTATATCTCATTATTTACTTCTTGTGGGCTATCTTTTATCATCATTTGTTATCTCATTTGCGAATCATTTCTGAACAAAGTGCAAAGAACGACGCTCATTTCCATTGTTACAAGCTCTCTAGGTCTTCCATTTAGAAACAATGCTCCACAAACCTAGATCGATCATTGCTCATTGCGGCCAATACAACGGAAGCTCCGCCAATGCAGCCTCGACCAGAAGCGTTCTATGCATATGTCTACTCTTCTTGCGTATCCGTTGACGCGTTGGCCATCCCAAGAAAACACTGGCACGTCCGGCGATTTTGTTCGTTCTTGGTTATTGGAGCATGAATTAATTGATGTTTTCGAAGAATAGTCAGCTCAAAGCCTAGATCTAAGCTCCATTAAGCTTGTTTGGAGCGAGCTGGTTCACTATTTTTAAAGAAAGAAAGCTAGTATCATAAATACTGAAAGCTTGAAAGCTTTCTTACCTGCATTTTCACCATTTTGATTGATGTGATGGGCCTCTGTGTAAAAGCCAGAATCGGTTAAAGCAGGATATAGTACGTGATCTGCATACACAGGCAGCAGCTGAAGAAAGCCATCACTCCCGGCAGTTGTTAAAGCTATTAAAAAAAGTCATTATAAAATCAGCACGTATTAAAGACATACTGTAACAAGCATGATCAATATCAGTTCATGCATTAGTTCCTGGCGCATATGCCCTTGGAGCAAGTAAACCAAATGTTCCCTAGGTACAAATGTTATTTATAAAGGATACGATATAAAAAGGTAATCGATCATTGTTATACCTTGGAAGGATACTTCTTGCTTCCCAAGAATACTAGGATAGAATACAGTCAATATCAGCCCTTCTTCCTTTGACATAAATTGCTTTGCTGTTCTAGTATATGTAGATATCCATTGTTGTCGTTTACTATAACTTTATTTTAAGTGATTTATAAAATATAGTATTAAAAAAATATATACCTCTTGTTACCAAAGTCAAAAAATCGCTCATTAATGGTCCTGCTTACAGATGTTTAGAGTATAGTATAAAGATTAATTCTTTATGAGTTACCTTCCATATCTATGTGAATGGCAGTCAATCTGGTATTAGAGCTTTTGCAGCATTTGATCTGAATATGTGCGCATGGATCAACTACAAAAGGAAGATGGTATATGAAACTGTCCTTAAAAGTAGGTGTTATGGTTAAAGATAATCAAATAAAAGTCAAGAGGAAATAGAAAATACCCTTCTCTTTTGTAGTAAACGTGAGATACATACAGTTGGTGTTACACGACCCATCATTAGGTTTGTACAATAAATAAAAGAATCACAGGTTCGGCTTCTTCAGTTAAAGCGTTTCTTTTTCAAAGAAACACACACAAAAAGTGTTTCAATTTCATTATGTAAGTTGTGATAAATTTATCTGTTACTTAATTTTATAGAATCTATCGTTCAAACGCGTAAGACATTTGATTAAAAAATATAGTGTATACCTGCTCTCTCATCGAGATTACAATCTATGGCAAGCCATTTTATTTAAAGCCTGGTAACGATGGAAATCTTTATGCCAAACATATTAATGGGATACTCCATATATCCCATCTCTACCATTCTTCATTCGTTTTCAGTTTACTTTGTCTTTTTTTTTTTTTGCTTCTTGAGATTACCAAAATAAACTATTAAAATGTTGCACACGGGTTCCTTTAAGAGAATCCCATGCAAAGTTGACTTTTAGTGTTGTGCTTCCAGTCTCAATTTACCAAACCTTTGAATAATTTTGGACATTTGTGCGAGGTTAAGTTGCGAGTAGTCTCAGGCAATATCATATCTTGGTTAAGAGTAGTGTGTTCATTACTGTCGCCCGTCCTCTGAGTGAGATCTGCCGCTGAGAATAAAGCTGCACTAGATCACAAACCGATACCAGCAGTTTGCCCTGTAAAGATCCTTTTTGAGCAATGTGAAATGGATGTAGAAGCCTAGGTGCCAAAAAGGTGCTGACGAGCGTTAAGTGTGATAAACTGTAGTGCGTTGCTGTTCCATTAAAGTTCTCCAAGACTCGCTGAGGCAGCCACGAAGACCATTTGATAATGATCCCTGTTCTAATCTCAATGTTTGTGTTAAACAGGCTTCTCGTTAACGTGTGAGCTACTTTTCAGTACTATCGTAGGGTTTTTGTGGGGCTTTTCCACCGAGCTTCTGGTGAACAATACCTCTAGCGTCGAATAAAGCGTCTCTTCAAGAAATCTGGTCGTGCCTCTGCTATTCATTATATGGTAGGCTCTCCATGTGAGGCTGATAAGCCGACCTCAACGACCGTTATAGGCATAGAGTATGGTCTCATCATAGGCAGTACAGCAATCGCGTTCTATACTTGGCGAGACTACGTTGGTCTAGGGTTATTGACTCTATTGAATCAAGAGTCTATTCAGTTGCTTTTCTTTTCCTCCACAATGCTAGAACAGGTTTACGTCCTGTGAGGAATGTATCTAATTCATGTTGAATGGCTTTGATGAACGAAGGCTCTAGCTTTTCTTTATGAACTATTTAAACGAAAAAAGTAAACTAACAGCCTGTGTCTTTCCTTTTTCAGACAAATATCACAGCCACACTACAAGATATATTGTGTGCAGTATATCCTGCGCTTTTCTTTTGCCTCATTCCTTACTTGACAGTTGATCGTTCTTGTGTATACTTTATCTCAAAATGTCAGGCTTCAATGAGATACCTAGTGAAATTTTACAGAAGATTTTTGTATATGTTCAGAAGAGTGCAGAGTACAAAAAAAGTTGGATAGTGCAATATCAGCTTGTCTGTAAGGGATGGAACCAGGTTGCAAAAACATGGATGTATAGCTTAGTGGATTTATACAACGATAAGACCATTGAAAGGTTTTTACACTGTATGAAAAATAGCAGAGCAGGACACCTTACTCGAACCATATGTCTTAACACAGGATACCGAAAATATGAAACAACAGAGCTTTACATCAATGAACTTGTTGAAGCCTGTCCAAACGTAGAACGTGTTAAGGGCACTATCAAGAACTATGATTCTTGGCGTACTATTGCCACTGCCGCATCAATGCACTGGCCTCATATAAAGGAACTTACTAATCCTTTTTTATTAACTGAACACGGTGATTACTTTGACTGTTACAACACACTTATCTCGTTTTTTCGCCATTCGCTCACTCACCTCTATCTACCGCCAGAGCATCCCTCTGCTCCAATAATGAAAGAACTTTGTCAGCGATTACCAGAGTTTAGCAATTTAACACACTTGACTATCGACAAGATGGAAGCCTTTTGGTCACTTATAGATTATGATGAAATAATCCAGCTTTGTCCTAGCTTGACATCTTTAAGCGTAAACTCAAGGACGATTTCTTCGGCAGAGAGGGGCAGAATACCAACCACTCTGGAGATATTGTCTACACAACCGCACAGAAATGTCAGGACTTTACGCGTGTGTTGGACCAGTCATTTAGGCATTGTTGAATACATCATGCACAAGTTTCCCAACCTTCAGAATCTGGTACTGGTATCTGGCCACTTTTTCCGTTTTGATTTGGAAGGCTATTTCAATAATATCGGCGATAGATTTATAGAATATCTAAACTCAATGCAAACATATCAAATTGAGGGAGTAGGATTATTTTCTTTGTTTGAAGCGTACTTAATGCATACACCCAGTGTACACATTCATTTTTGCTATTTCCCGGATTCCATTCTAGGACTTCACTTGAAACAAACAAGTATAAAAAGAATAGCATTTGCACATTTTAATAATGACTCAAGAAAAAAAGAAAGATTCTTACAGATGTTCAAGAGATACCAACATAATGTTACAAGGTTTATCTTGGATTTCGAAACATACTCTGAAGACCGCACCTCATGGATTGAAGATATTCTCACTACCTGTACGCAAATAAAGGCTTTCCACTACTGGACATATGCGCCTTTCCAGCCGCCATCACAAGCTGCAATAGACGCAAATGTGCCTTTGAATTCAACGCTAGATACTCTTACACTGAGAGTCCGTACCATAGAAAGTGGGTCACTTGCTGGTTACTTGCGTCTCTTACCGTCAGTACGTTATGTAAATATTACAATTGTTTGCCCCTCTATGGATGAAGTTGAAAGTAGAGTGGATATGCTATTCGATTCCTTTGATACTGCATCTTCGAGTGCTTGGTCTTCTCAAAGTCATTACAGTAGTTTAATAGATATCTTTGGTAGAAAGGCGCTATTAGTAATTGACGATGGCTCGTCAGATAAAGCGATATACTTGGTAGACATACAACGCGAAAATAGAACAACCAAAAAATGGACTGAAACGGTACACGGAAACCCTTTGATCAAAGTTTTCATCGACATAGATCCGTTTGATGAGGGGATAGATTATAATGATTTATATTATGATGATTTATACGAATAATTTTATTTGTTGGTCCTATGGCTCATAATTCGCTTAGTATTAGCTTTGTCAATAAAGGTATGGCATTTGTTGTCAAATGGTCTCTTTCAGCTTTCGCCAACTCTTTTAATTACAGATTATGTACCATCAGAATGCTGGCTCAACATTCTCTTTTCTGATTGTAATAGGTCAGCAAATTCAGATATTGGCTCGAGACAAATTGTGAAAAAAAAACTTTTCATGCTGACAGAACTGCTGGGTCGAGGGAAAGAGGAAACAGCTAATAAGGGAGTATTAACTATTCAAATGTAAGCAGTCATGGCTATTTTTTACGATTTGCGCAGTTGTAGCTCTTTCGCATAATTATACGTTACACTAACCACACAGGGGATCGCTCGACCAATCCTCAGGGTAACGTTGTACACCGCTGGCTTACAGAAAAGGTCGTTATCGTATGGAATAGATGACTGGCTTTTGACCAACTTACATTTCGAACACATAAAGAGAGCAGTATTATTGATTTTTTCAGTACCACTGAACTAAACGAACCAGAAATGAGGAACTTTACTGAAAAATTCCTCGGTTCCAATCACAAAATGATCTCTTTCTCTTTTAAAACCATTGCTCTCTAGCAACCGACACAAGTACAACGAGTCATATGGAATCTTGGAAAACTGAAAGAACAAAAGGTCCGCGACGTATACACTCAACAAGTGCAATCAGTCTTAGCCCGTCTTGGACTGTCAATTCAACCTGTTTCTCACCGGGTTGATGATGTACAAACAGCAAAGAGACGTATACAAGAGCTCAGCCATTCTATATACGACTCACTGGATGCCACTTGCGGCCGGGCTACTTCAAGCTACAACTACTGGCAAGACTTCTGGTCCATTGAAATGCTACAGGCCATTGAAACCCGTGAGCATTAGTGACAGGGTGTGACGAAAAGATGTCAGGCGGTTATAGATGCCAATGGCGCCGCAACGAAATATCAAATCGTTATTTTTTTATTATTTATGTCTGAATAAACATAATACAACTTGCCATGTAAAAGCTACTACAGAGTCAGTCCATACCAGTCATAAGGAATCAATAGTGGATGGTGAGTGTTCACTGTGCTCTTTTCTTTTAAGTAGTTGCAAACCACTCTCGATTTTACAAAAGCTGGTAGCGGACAACTTCCGGTATTTGTCCAATGACTGCATTTAAGAAATGGTTCGAGAGCTGTTGGTTTGAAGCTGACGCTGGTGTGTTAATATATATAAGATAGTACAAGGATTGGAAGGAAAATCCAGATGAGCCTTTCAAATTTTTAGGATGCTCTCGAGTCATTGAGTCTGAAGACATAATCTTGATCAACAGTGTGAGTACCCATATATTAGTGTTCAGAGATCTACATTCGTGATTGAAGATCATCTCTCAGGGTCCTGTGCTATTCTCTGGTCCTTTAGACAATAACCTGAATCCCCTCAATCGTTACGCCAATTCTGTAATCTGGGGACCCCACAACGAGCACATATCATGACCCTAATGGTCAGGAAAATACCATCCTGGATTCTCCTTTGACGGAGAAGAGCAGCGTCTGGTCTCAGGGACAACAACAGCTGATTGACCTTGTGAAAAAGTCTTTGTTGTACTGAAGGCAACATCTTAAAGTTGATATGTATCACAAAATTCAGGAGACGATACGCAAGGAGCTTAAGAAATCCACTTTTGCTCTGTATTATCCATCATAACGCCATTAACTATGATCATATCATAGTGTTGGTCATGAAACTAATACGCCATACAATTTGATAATGAAGAAAAGTCTGTTTCTTTGAACTTGATTGTCAGGGGCTAATGACTATGGCTGAAAACAAAAAGCGTCATAATGATGAGTATGATTTTATTTAGAATGCAATCATTTTTAATGAAAAAAAAAGGGAACAGGGAGGTGTGTGAGAAAATACATAAAAAAAGAAGGGGGGTAATAAAGCGGGGAAATAGATAAAAATAAAAGAGGGGTATGTTATGCAATTAAATGAGTGTCAGACATGGTGAGTTTAATAGACCAAGGAGTGCTTGTATCTAAATATTCACTAGAGTCTTCGTCACTTTGATCACTACTTTCCGAATGTTCGTCATCCTTCTTGCAGACAAAGGAGATGCTGCAGTAATTTGACTCCTGTGGTCTCGTCAGATGATTTCGAAAGCCATCCAACAATGCATTTACACCCACGGCATGTGTGACGAACAAGACGACGGTCGCATGATTTGCCTTTTCAAGACAGTACCGCCTTGCTTCCTCAAAACGCTGTACCATATCTGTATAATGTTCTGGAAATTCAAATTCACTACGAGACCCTATGTAGCCATAATCAACATTCATAACAGGTATGTCGTTTCGTTTGGCGTAGGCGTTGGCCTGTTGACGAGCGAGAAATTGGTACTGCCGTGACACGAACTCAGTGGCCTGACAGCCAACCGAATCAAAGAACCGTTCGCACATCCATTCACCCAAGCCGACATCTAAGCGCAGAATTGGTGCTTTTTTTAGCCTCATACCCTTAATAATTCCAATCGAGGTTTCAATGCAACGCTGAAATGGTGAGGTATAAATGACAACGGACATTGCTTTCGGATCTATCTTGTTCTGCTCTATTAATTCAACTAACCTTTCTCCTGTTTGTTCCGCTTGGTATAATCCCTATTTGTATCAAAGTCAGTCAAGGTGACGTTATATACGTCTTTATATACTTACTTTGGGAGTTATAGGAGGGTCCCATAGGTCAACAAAAAGATCTGGTTTGCACAGTTTGTGCACATGATCTGTTCAGTTACGTTAAGTTATTGATTGTTATATTTCATTGTGTATGTGGGGGGTTACCTAATCTTTCTCCATGTCTTATGATAAAACAGTACTTTGTCATGAAGGGAAATAAAGAAAGAAAAAAGAAGAAAATTTCTTTGTTGATGTGCGTGTGTGTGTATCGGTATTTTAAAATATGTCGTACCATATTCATATGAAATTGAAAAAATACAAGTAATTACAGGTCCAATGACAATCCTGGACCTTTTTCTTGTTTATTTATAAATTGATATTTACACATAAAAAGTACTATTTATAAAAATGGCATAAATAAAGCATATATAAAGAAGAAGATAGAGGAAGAAGAGGGAGGGGGAATTAAGGAAGGTACGGTTATAAAAGAAAAATTAAATACATATCAAAGGGGGGAGGAAAATGAAAATTAAAAATAGATAGTTTCAAAAGATCAACCTTTGAGGTGAATATGAAGAATAGAAAAATAGATACACATGATACTTATATGAAAACCATAAAATCTTAAGCTTGAAGTGTTGTCAACACAGTAGATAAATTGACTTTTTCACAGTTGGTTTTTTGCTGACAGGCAGAATTTGTTGTGTGGGGAGTTGAGGGAGGCGAAGGGGGTAATTGAATGTGCTTTGATAAACGAGCGAAATGCTCAGAACGATTTGATTCTGGAGTGCGAGTAAAATATTTACAGTGACGAATGCGATCTTTGAGTTCAGGGAGAGTGATACGACGTGTGGGGTCGATGCAGAAGATGCGTTTGATGATGCGATTAAGTTCTTTTGAAATGGGTAAAATGTGCAGTAAAAAATCAGGATTATTCAAATAGGCATGAAAGGTATCATCTGTCAGTGAAGCCTGTTTCCACGGGTTGCGACCGGTTGTTAGGTTGATGAGGATGACACCAAGCGCCCATACATCGTTAGGAGCCGTTGCATAGCCAATACGATTTGCACCGCGGAGTAGATCACCTTGACATTCTAACAATGGGAGTTAGAAAAGAGCACAAAGATTGTGATTGTAACTATTACCAGGTGAGTAGTAAAATGTACTGCCACAACCATAGTCGTGGGATATAGTATTAGTAGTTGCTAAACCAAAATCAGCCAATTTGACAGTGTGTCCGTCATCAAATACGAGAATATTTTCAGGTTTCAAGTCACGATGATAAACGCCGTTTTGATGGCAGTAACTAACCGCGTCAATTAGTTGAAGGAATACTTTGCGAATAAGGGAATGGTTCCCAATATAGAGGTCCTTTTCGGTAATAGCTGTGAATAAGTCGCCTTCTGGGCCATATTCCATGACGACATGAGTCCAGTCGGTATGTGGATTACGTATGACATGTTTAAGTTGAATGATATGAGGATGACCTGAAAGCCGAGCATGAAGTTCAATTTCGAGTGCTTGCTGAGCTAGTTGTTGTTTTGTACGGTGATGAAGTGATTTAATAGCATATAGTTCTTGTTTGTGTTGACCAAGGTAAACTTGTCCATAAGCACCTTTGCCGAGTGTATCAATAATGGAAAGATTATCAATCATCTTTGGTACTGTCATATTTTATATTAATAAAAGAAGGGAAAACAATGGAAAAAGAAAATTAATTTCAATTGTATTTTTATACATAATAGCGCCCCCTTTTTTTATACGCCACAGTAAAATACACGTGTAGTCAATATGTTGATCCATAAGAATCATCAAGGGGATCGACAGTGGGTTACCTTGGTGGACCAAAAAGGAAACCTTATTTATATAAAAAAAGGGGGCAAAGGAAGGATCCTAAATATGGGATTTGTATATTCTTGTGTGATCCGATGAAATTGGAGGGGTTGTCATGACATTTCAAATGTTTATATTTATATCACATGTATTATCAAATTTGATTTGTTCCTATTTATTCGCATTTTTTTAAAAAATATCATCTTATATAATTGTAGCTTCACAACCGGTTACTATAGCTACCAAGCTTTTTCATTTCCTTCTATTGTAGCCTTTTAAAAAAATGAAAAAGAGAGCTGGTATATACTTTTATTAGTCTAGTCAACTTAAATGTGCAGAATCGACAAGTATTGCGTAATTAAGACACAAAATACTTTATTTGGTAAATTGTATGGATGTCGCATGAATTTCTTTTTTTATTTTTAATTTATATAAATTTTGTATTTTATCTCGCTTTCCTCACTTTTTTTGTCTCCTTTTCTCTTTATGTCTCAATTACAAGCAAATTCGCCTCCAAACACTCCCCATTTCTTGCCTCAATTTGATTCCTGCTCAGAAAGCACAAACAACAACTCTGCAGGTGAGACGAACTTTACTACACTCCCCACTTTCTATTAAATAACCCTTTAGTAAAGCGTAGTAGAGATCATGCTCAGCAGTCATTAAACAATCAATTTCGTACGATTTACAACTCTAACTTCTTCAAAGTGAACCGTTAACACTGTATTATCAATAGAAACACTCACTTGTGATTCTTATCCTCAATCCCCGCCTAGAACACCATTAGGCTCTCTGTCTCATGATTTATCCACTCATGTAAATCTTTCTGAGAAAAAAGAACACTTGGATCATATAGAACCGCAGCCGAAGAGACGGTCATCTGCCAAATTCGATTTAAATGATTTCAAATTCATACGAACCTTGGGTACTGGTTCATTTGGCCGAGTACATCTTGCTCAATCAGTTGTCAACAAGCAATACTGTGCTATCAAAGTCCTTAAAAAGAGAGATATTGTGAATGCAAGACAGGTGGAACATACAAAGAATGAAAGAGCCGTTTTGGTAAAGATGAAGGACAACTTTATGGTTAATTTGTGGGGTACATTTCAAGATGACACAAACCTGTATATGGTGTTGGACTTTGTAGCTGGTGGTGAACTTTTTTCGCTCATGAGGAAGCGCAAAGTAAGTCTCATGATATTTAATCAAATAAACAGTCAACTCAATTTTATATATATAGAAATTTGACGAGGATACAGCCAGATTTTACGCAGCAGAGGTTCTCTTGGCCATTTGTCACCTTCATCAAAACAATATCATCTATCGGGATCTAAAGCCCGAAAATATTCTACTCGATGCTCAAGGTCACATCAAGCTGACAGATTTTGGTTTCGCTAAAGTAGTGCCAGATATTACATGGACGCTATGTGGAACTCCAGATTACCTTGGTATATCGTGGTAGATTGCTGAAAGAGAAATTTTGAGTACTAATATTTTAAAATTTTTTTAGCGCCAGAAATCATTCAATCAAAAGGCTACGGCAAAGCCGTGGATTTTTGGGCCCTGGGTGTTTTAATATACGAAATGTTGTCAGGGTATATATGCTAATACTCATTTTATGATACCGACTTCTCATCGCTTTTCCCCAACTTTTCCCAGAGTTGCACCATTTTATGATGATAACCAATTTAGACTATATGAAAAGATTATCACCTGTAAACCTGTTTATCCTTCTCACTTTAGTCCTGAGGCTACCGATTTACTCAAACATCTTCTCACACCGGATCTCAGTAGTCGATATGGTAACTTAAAAGGGGGACCACAAGACCTCTTTCAGCATCCTTGGTTTCAGCCTATTGACTTTGACCAACTAGCAAAGAGACAGATAAAACCACCTTATATTCCCCAGGTCAAAGAACCCGGGGATTCAAGTAATTTCGATCATTACGAAGAAGAAAAGGTACCTTATGGTCAACCTCAACATGACCCCTTCCGTAAATATTTTACAGAATTCTAAATGGCTGCGTATATTTCCTCATTTGATGTATATATATATAATATGAACTGTTAATAAATGACATCTACACACATCCCTTAACTCTATGTAATGATATCATAGCTCCCTGATTAGGAAGCAGTTCTTGTTTTGATCCCAGAAATGCAACTCGGCCATTAAAACATGGTTAATTCATGATTACTTTAAATGGAATAGTAACAAAAGAAATGACCCGATTTGTGTCTTGTTATAAAAAAGACTTGCCTTATTTTGTTTTTCCAAAGTCTACTTCTCCATTAGCTAAAGCAAGTCAAAAAATAGCTAAAAGGAAGGCAAAGCCTTTAAGGGAAGCAAATGTAACCCTTTTTCTGCTTCCCTACTTTTTTCCAGTATTTCCCTTTAGTTTTGCAGAAAATCAACTGATTCTTTGACAGAAAATAAACTATGAAACCAATAAAAAGCGGGCAATAATGCGGAAATTGAAAAAGGTGGCAACAGAAATAACTTTTTCCTTGATCGGACACACAAACGTAAAAAAAATGAATCTATATAAGAATGTTCCATTTCTTCCCTTTTTTTCCCATTTTACTTTTTAATTTCAAAAAGAACAATGGATTCCCGCGATTTATTTATGCCAAAGTACATGGTGTACTGTGGCGTACTTGCTGCCATTGGCGCCTTCTCAAATGGTTGGACAATTGGATCAACAAATGTACCAGGACAAGTAACGCATGCTTGTCCTACTGGTGCTTCTCATACTTATAGCCCTTCCTTCCCTGATTGTTTGCCCATGAGCACATCACTATGGTAAGGATAAAATATGCTAATCAGAACGAAAACTAAATATACTGTAGGGGTTTTGCCGTATCATCATTTTGTTTGGGTGGTCTCTTTGGCAGTTTAGTAGGAGGTGCTATTCAAACAAGATTGGGACGTAGAATGACCATTATTGTAAATAATATTGGCTTCATCACTGGTGGTATTCTCATCGGATGTTCTGTACATACAGCAATGTTTATCATCGGTCGTATTCTTTGTGGTATATCCTGTGGTTTGGGTTCTCTTGTCATTCCAACATACCTTGGTGAAATTTCTACTGTTAAAGGTAGAGGTTTGATGGGCTCATTGAATCAGTAAAGTATTATCATCACGTTTGCTATGGTATAACTCATCATTACTTATAGATTCTTTGTCGTCACTGGTATCTTGTTATCTTCGATCATTGGTTTACCTACTGCTAACGTTCCTTTCTGGAGACTCAATTACGCTATTGTTGCTATACCTGCCATTTTCCAAATCTTTGCTATGTTTACCTGTGTCGAATCACCACGTTACCTTATTTCAATCGGTCGTGTAGAAGATGCTTTGATTGCACTTCAGAAACTTCGTGGTACGGCGGACGTTACCGAAGAATTCTTTGATATTGTTGCTGGTCAACTCGGTAAAAAGAAAGCTGCTCGTATCCTCAAGGAAAACTCTCATGAAAAGAACAACCTCAAGAATATCAACATGGACGAAGGTTTTGATAACAATGACTCTGCTGACGATAGCGGACAAAAGATTCCCAAAGATGTTGAAGCCGATGATGATGACGAAAGACGCCCACCTATGAGTTTGATCGAAATTTTCAAAGACCCTGTCATTCGCAAGATTCTTGGTATCGTCTTGTTCCACCATATGTATCAACAATTATCTGGTATGAACGCTGTCATGTATTATTCTACTTCTATCTTTGAATCTGCTGTTGACCATCAAAATGCTCAATACTTTGCTATCTATACTACTCTTGTTAACTTTGGTATGTCCATTGTTGCTATGTTCTTCGTTGACCGATCTGGCCGTCGTATGCTGTTGCTACTCGCTGAATTTGGTACTTTCCTCTTCTCTGTCCTTCTCGTTGTCGGTTACAGATACAGCATTCCTAACTTGCTTGTTGCCTCTGTCTTTTGTTATGTCGCCAGTTTCGCCATCGGTATCGGTCCTGTTCCCTGGATGATTACTTCTGAATTGACTCCTATCTATGCTTCTTCCGCTGTTGGTTCTGTTTGCACAGCTATGAACTGGGCCATGAACTTCTTGATTGGTCAAGTATTCCCTGTTATTTTTGCTGCTATCGCTGGTTGGTCCTTCTTGATTTTTGCCATCATTTGTGCTATTGCATTCCTCTTTACCTTCTTCTGTTTGCCGGAGACCAAAGGAAGATCAATTGAAGAAATTGTTTCAAGCTTCCATCGCCACTAAAGTGATCATTGATTGTGCGTGTGTATATTTGCATTTCGTCAATTATTTTGTATTTTTTTATCTTGTAAATAGTTTCTTACAGTTTATAAATTGTTCACAATACAGCAATAATAGACTCTTTAATAAAATTTGTCTTTACGGACAACGTATAAAGGACAAGATGCTGTACCAAGCACGTGCTGAATGTACAGTGGTTACTGACAATAGATCTCAATGATAGTGTCTCGGTTGGGATTGTAATAGTGAAATAGAGTGGCCAACTTTTTTTTTATAAACTACTGTTGGTTGACACTTCAATACTTTCTTATGTGCTTTAATCACTCATTTCCCCTTGTTTCTATTAAAACCAGTTCTTAAGCCATACGTATTACCTTGCAGGCAAGTATGAACTTATATATTAGAGCGCTTAAACATGTAGAGTTTTGATGACAACCTGCATTGAATAAAGTGAAGTAGGCTTTGTAAGGTTGTGTAAAATCTACGGCAAAAATCTATTTCCGAATAAAAAACTCAATCGAACGGCAAATATAAACAATGCAATTACTTAAAGTGGTTTATCCAAATTTAAAAAAAAATAAATTGATTTAATACATACGTTCACTTACGATGCTACTAAGTAGTTTGACAATGAAAATAAACATGTAGTGTTTCCATATCAAAACAATAAATTCAGTCAGGGCAGCACTCAGTTCTATTTGCTAATTAGTAACTCAGATTCCACGACAATTGGTTTAAATAGAAATGAACTAAACGCAAAGCCTTTTTCTTTCTTTTTTTTTTTAAAAAAAAAAAATGAAGGATCAGGAGAGGGGAGAGGTTTATTGACCCAAATCTTTAATCTACCCTAATATGTAACGCATATGAACAGCTATCATTCAGTTAACTCATAGAAGGGACAGAGAGTGGTGGTTGAGGGAGGCACGGAGAACGCAACCAATAACTTTTTTTTGGGACTTGTCGTACTTTCACCTTCACGTTGGTATATCCTGTTAGTATCGAAATGAAACTATTTCGAGAAGCTAAGAAAAGTACATATGAATGTTACAAATGGAATAAACTTTTTCTTTAAAAAATATCATCCGGATCTATATGTATTTTTACTTTTATAAGATTATGATGCTCCAATGCTAACGAATGAAAATAGCAACTTACATCAGATGTACAGTGGATTAAAAAACCGTTCCAGCGTTTTTCAAAAAATTGCTTATGTCACTGTAAATACAAATGGCCTAAGTGTCCTTTCGTGATATATTATTGCTTAGCCTTTTCTTTATGTCTTCATGAAATCAGTGCTTTAAATTAACAACTAGATCTGAATATACAGCATATAAAAAATGGAAAGCCCACTGAGACAGTGTTTCAACTGCCATAAATTTTATTTATATTTATCATAGCTATCACTCTTGCAGGTATGCTGATAAGGTAAATGAACTACGAGTCCCAAAATTGAGACACAAACAGTTGTAATTAGTAAAACAGTCAATGATATGAAACAATTCCTTTTTTCTCTTACAAAATATCCAATATTCAAAGTATTAAATATTTGTTATTGTTAAGCAATCAGTACAAGTTAATAAATTATCAAAGAAGATTTATCTTTCAAGCAGTATTACTGTCATCGACAGTAGGCCAATATTCGTTTGCACTAAAGAAAGAAGTGGCATTCGTTTTAAATTTATTACTGTTGGACTGACTGGCTTTTGGATCAAACTGAGGAAAGGCTGCATCAAAAAGGAGTGAAGCTAAACCAGAAAGACCAATTGCTATTGCAGATAAGGTACCTCTTCCTTTTACAGCCTTTTTTGCTTGAACGCCACAGAATTTCGTAATGCAGATGTCAGGTCTACCGTTGGATTCACGCATGGATTTGGCTTCCAATGTAGGCTCATTTGTCCAACATAGATAGGTATCATTGTCTAGATCGTCAAAAATCCCAGATACGAATGGTTTAACAAACCACGAGCAAAGTTCGGTTTCGCTAAAATCTTCTCCTATTGGCATAACTGGAAGCTTCATGATCAATTGTCTCAATGCTTTGGCAAATTTGTGAATGTATGGCTCCAATGGCAGTGACTTCACTTTGGTGTCCGCTTGCTCTCAATTGATTCCTTTCGCTAGCAAATCATTGAATCGCTTCAATAAACGCTCGGCCACTTCAACAGCAGCAGAGGGATTGGTGACAATGAAGTTGATAACAGCCATTTTATGCTCTTCGGTCAAGATACACTTGTAACCTACTTTTTTACAGCTCTCAAAAATTCTATCAGGACACACATTATACTGGTTAACGCATCTCTGCGCTGTTTCGAACGTGAATACCCAACTGCTTCGCTGCAGGTGATCCACTCATGCACTTGTCGATCTTCAGATCGAAAAATCTAGCCTTATCCTGGACGGTGTAGCGCACATAATCCCGTTTTGAATTTGTCTCATTCATACGGATATCTTTGTCTTTTACCTTTTCTACATAATTTTATTTAATTAGTGGAGTGCTAGTGCATTACTTGAAACGCCTAATATCTAGCAGAATGTTTTGAATATTTGTATCATCTAGTTACCACATGGCTTACCAAACACTTAATGATATGTCTACAAGCGATATTTATCTTAGAAACACTGTACCACTGTAAATTATTCATTTCCTTAAATGGAAATTGAAGTGCTGGGATTCAATAGAGAAGAGGGCAGCCGCTCAGTGTGGGCTTGTAGAACAAATGCTTCAGTACAAGCATATGGTAGAGAATCTCTCTTTTCCATCGTCAACAGATTCGAAGGCAACATACGATGGTAAATATAAGATGAATAAGGGAATGGATGGATGGATGGATTGAAATGATCAAGAAAGAGCTGCACAGATTTTTGAATTGGATGAAAATATAGACGACTAGAGAAGCACTTCTTACACCGCACTCTCTACATTCAACATTCATATTACCAAAACACACATACTTTATATATAGGAAGTAAGAGAAGCAAAAGAGAAGAGTAATAGAGTATATAATGTAATGCAGTAAAATATACAAGAAGAGACAGACTCCCAACTTTTTGTCTCTGTGTTTGCATGCACCTTGTTCATTTCATGACATGTCCTTCCCTTCATTTCTCTTGAATTTTAATTAAGAAAAAACTAATACATTCTTAGAGTGCTGAACAAAAGACTACCGCCAAAAACCCCATGCGTAACCTCAAGATTGAAAAGCTGGTTCTCAACATTTGTGTTGGTGAATCTGGTGACAGACTTACTCGTGCTGCCAAGGTTCTTGAACAATTGACTGGTCAAACTCCTGTCTACTCCAAGGCCCGTTACACTGTCCGTACTTTCTCTATTCGTCGTAACGAAAAGATTGCCGTTCACGTCACTGTTCGTGGTCCCAAGGCCGAGGAAATCCTTGAACGTGGTTTGAAGGTCAAGGAATACGAACTCAAGACTCGTAACTTCTCTGACACTGGTAACTTCGGTTTCGGTATTGATGAACACATTGACTTGGGTATCAAGTACGATCCTTCCATCGGTATCTACGGTATGGATTACTACGTCGTCATGGGCCGTCCTGGTTACCGTGTCTCTCGCCGTAAGCACTGCAAGGCCAAGGTCGGTGTCACTCACCGTATCAAGAAGGTAAGTTTATCTTTTATGTGAGGTGTTTATATTCATTTTGTTTTTCTATTATAGGAAGAATCTATTGAATGGTTCAAGAACCGCTTCGATGGTGTTGTTTCCAACAAGGACTAAACAAATTACATTGTCTTTTTAAAAGGTGCCGAGATATGCGCATTAAATTGATAATAAAAATATAAAAAAAGTTTGTTGTTAGACATGCTTTCTTTAAAGTTTAGAAAAAAAAAATACAAGTAATAGAGTTTTTCTTTGTTTGCAGCTTTCATATAAACACATTTTATTATTTAGGAGGAGCGGGAGGACGGAATCCTGGAGGAGGAGGTCCAGGAGGAGCACCTGGTGGGGGAGGACGGAAGCCCATTGGTGGTGGGGCGCCAGGCATAGGTGGTCTAAATCCAGGTGGGGGAGGACGGAAGCCGGGTGGAGGTGGAGGCTACAAAGAGAGTGTCAATCATTTGCATAACGCTCTATATCCTATCTCTTTCTCGTTCTTTTTTATTTATTGAACTTACCATTCCTTGACCAGGAGGTCCAGGAGGAACAGGTGGACGAGCATATGGTACTGGAGAGGCTTGATAGCCGGGTCTAGGTTGCATCATCTATTTGAATAGAGTCAATATACATCATACTCTTCTTAACATCGTCACTTACACCAGGAGCAGGACCGCCAACGCCGCGAACAGGACCAGCAAGACCAGGTACTGGGCCAGCCATTGGTGGAGGAGCAGCAGGCATACCACGACCCATAGGCTAAAATAAGAAATGATGAGTAATGTCATCTTAAAGTTGTTTACTTTTTTTTCTTACTCTTCCTATCCCTGTACCAGCCAAAAGACTAGTACTTCTTGCTCTGACATCTTCAACGGATGGTGGAGGAGGACCGTCAACACTGATGCTAATGATAGTTTCACCTCTTAAAATCACTAAACCCAAAGTTCTCTTCATTTCCTGTTCTGTTGGATTGTTGCTGTTTTTGGCCTTGGACTTTATTTTTCTGAATTCTTCACAATCTGCTAAGACAAGATTCATATGTTTGTCGAAGGCGAGCATTTGACCTGTGAGTACACGTGAATCCGACATAGTGACTCGAAGTCGGTAATTCACCAAGTTTGCCATTTTACTGCTACTTGTCTTTGTCTAATTGTTTTCTATTAATAAACGCGCGTTTCGGGTTATATTGAATCTCTCTCTTTTTTTTTACCATTTTTTAAATTGCTTGATTCCAAGAGAAAAGGATGAAAAAGTTGGAATCTACAATGCTTATTTGCAATCAAATAAAAAAGAAAGACGCAGCTGGAAAGAGAAAGCGTGCGTTTTTTTCTTTTTCCTCTTGGAAAATTGTTCAAATTCAGCAATAAATCGACTGTGTGGCTTACGAATCGCTGAAGGTCGTTTAAGTCTCCGAACATGCAGTGATGACGCAGCAATGAGGTCGCCAGCCCTTTCTGAAATTTAGAAATAAGAATTTTTTATCTTTTTTGTGTTTGCATATTTATATTTGGTGGAAGCTGTATCTCTTCATTAGCTGGCAACAACTGTCTTAGTTCATTATATATTTGTAACAGTCTGTTATTATCTGCAGAAGTTAGATATATACGATTCTCTAAAGCTTGTCTGCATACATTCGTGATGCTTATCAACACCTCATCTGTTCTACTTCCAGCTTCAGATGGTAATTCTGATTGAAGCACATCAGAGCTTTCAGTAACTGCTTCGATATCATTACTCTCCGCAGTATTTTGGATAAGTATTGTATCACCTATAGTATGAATTCTCAAGTTAGAGTCAATTTCTAGTAACATTTCTCTTACTACAATCGTGACAATCTACCTTGACTGTAAAACACACAGCTTTTATCGAAACGGTAAACTAAATGCATATGCTTATAGTCATGCCTATTTAGTTGAAAGTCTATACAGTTACAAGTAGTCATTATTCCTTGCTCAGTTGATATATCGTATACAACTTCCGTCGTGAAAGGCTTAACAATGTAGCAAACTTCTTCATCGATATACACTTTCTGCACCATATCTTCTAATGACAGTCCATTGATCTCTTCTGCTGCAATCATTCTCTTTCTTGTCTCTCTAGTGTCTGAGCTCATACGTCCGATATTGGCGGCCATCCTTGCGGTATTGTGTATAAAATTGATATGAACATCATCAACCAAGATAAAAATTAAGCGACTCAGTCTTCTATTTCTCTTTGTAAATAATTTGTCTTCAATTGGTTATGCCAACTCTCAATATAGTTGCTTGTTTCCATATTGGTGAAAATTTTTATTTGGTAGACTCTGGCCCACTTAAAGAAGCATTCGTGCTCTAAGTAATAGTTTTTAGAATAAAGCATAAATGCTGGGCGTATAGTGAATTTTTGAATGAATTAGTCGATCTTTCTAGTATGTAGCTCTGCTACTTTCCTACATCGTCGCCTTTACTTAGGCGATGACTAGCCGATATCTGATCTTCTTACTCTTTTACTCCAAAGCCAATATAGTCGCTTGTTCCATGTGGAATGGCAATCATACAAGGTTTTCCAAAGATATCCAGCTCGTGGTCTTCCTCTAGCTTCATTCAACTCTTGATGTACAATGTTCCACAATCACTTTTTTTAATAAACCATTTGAAGGTTCCAGTACATATAATCCTCTTTATCTCATATAAGAACATCATTAGGATATCAAATTCTGTCAACATATCTTTAATTCGTACTTGTTCTGCTTTAAATATATATCACTGCAAGCTTGATAAGAAGTATATAAAAGTTAATTGATTTTCTGATAAATAACAATTGTGCTGACAAAGAAAAAAGCTGTCCAAAGCATTCGACAAAGCAAAGCTGTTGTCTTATCTTCTTTTCTCTTTCATTCGTAATATCAATATGCCTCGTAAAGTGTTCATATGTACTACATCTTACATGAATTGCTACTAACTTGCGTATGTAATATAGCGACTTTATCACTTTATTGAATAGCCTAATGCACATTTTATACACAGAAAGTTCAAAAGGCTTTGGCACAGAAGGTATTAGTAATTCCTGTTGATGAGTCCAGGACAAGTGTGACCTGTTCCAAATGTCACCAGCCCCTCGAGAGCAAATACGAAAGACAAAAGCTTTTTTGCAGTCGTAAGTAAGCAGACCATTACATTTGTAACAGTAGATAACTTTAACTTTTTTATGTTCAAAAGGAAAAAGAAAGCTCGTCAGCAAAGGGAGAGAAATGCTACTCTACTATGTTTGGACAATAACAAGAGGATTGTTTGTCGAACATCGGAGTGCTCACAAAGCGAACCCAGCAGTAAGTAAAATTACGCATGAAGTCATATACTAGGGCTACTACTGAACTTTTTTTGAGGGCTATTCTCCGGTCATTTATCAGCTGAAGCATTGCAAATTGTGTCCAGCTGCAAATGGTCGTGATATCGTAAATGCAATGCAAATGATAAGAGTAATAGTTTTAATGAGTGATAATAGATAGATGCTGTTTTGAATATTCACTCCATCCTGGTGTCTTATGTAGAGTCAAACTATAGTATTTTATCAAGATATCTCTCTCTAAAAAGAGAATCAACCTCTGGTGATGATAACGCCACTTTAAAGCCACTTTGATTGGTCTTTTGGATTCTTAGGTCATCACTTTGGTGATGATTTGGGTGTGTCCATAAGGCCTAAGTGTCCCCTTTTTTTGTCAGCAATGACAAGCAGCTATCAAAAGACCATTAATAACATCATAGTCATTCAGAGCGACACACAGCTTTTCTTCTGAAAGAGAGAAAATTGACAATCTGCACAAGACACTCTGATGTGTTTAATATGAATCATAAAATACTTCATAAAAATCACACTGATAGCATTCAAATTTCTCCTATAAAACTTACGCGTCCTATTGGAATAAACATATACTTTGTAGACCATCAACTTAATTGGCTTTTACAATTGTAAAGTTGAATACAACACACACCCTCCTCGTTCCAATGGGCAGCAACAAGCAAGAGGGATTTGCAGGTAGAGGATTCAACACAATAGATCAACTAAGGAACACCAACAGTCGCAGCAAAACTGCGAACTTGCTTTCTTTTGTTCTGCATTGTATTTACAGAAACACGTTTACACAGAATGATCATCGAATCATATCTTGGATTATTAGCTGAGATACGCAGCCTCCAAACAATAATTAAAAAGGTCGCTGTACTGAGAAGATCATACAAAGCACACCAAATTATGATTCGAATGTGATCAGCATACTGGTAGAGCTAGGGAAGAACATCGTCAAGGCACAAAGAAGTGTGATTAAAGCCGAAACAACCGTTTTACTCTCTTCAAAGCTCTTCTCATATTGCAACACAATGAACAAAAAGGCTCTAGCTTAGTAAAACTACTTTTCATAATATGTTTTCAAATGTTTGCAGCTAGTGGTTACAAGGCACATTATAAATATACTTCATTATTTTATCTTTTCAGGAACATTAACATCTGCTTGTTTGATTCAATGCTTATTCAATTGATATTATATGTTCAGTTCCTTTAGTAAATACGTGAGGGTAGAACTGAGAAGCTCCCATTTTCGTAACCCCATCAGAGAGCTACTGTAAGTCTATTTACAGCCACTTCACCTCTCGCGCTTTGCGCATGGAGCCTTTAAGGACTCACGTCGAGGTGTTAAGTAGGTAATGTTCCCACTAAATACTTTCCCGATGAATTTACATATGTATGAAGCTCTCAAGTAAGGATAAAATTGAAGTTGAATTTAATAATGTTCTTATTGAAAAGAAATTGTAAAAAATAAAATCAGCTACAGATAAATGCTGAGCAATGTTAGGTGCACTACACAGAGATACACTACAAGAATATATACAGGTTCTTGGTCGAAATTGAACTTGAGTATTGTAATAGGCTGTTGCCGTCTTGGCATCAATCTGATATCTGTACTCTTCATTGGTGCTTTTTTTCAATCTTCATCTCAGTACTTTCCCAAATGAGATATTCGTGTACGGTGGCTCCTGCTGAGAGAAAGCAGTGTACCTCAATGAATAGCTCTATAATAGAAAATATGGCACTTTTTGAATTGACCGTCTATAGATTTATTAATATTAACACTAAGTATTAAATGTAGAGTGATTTGACTTGAAAAAGAGACATAAATAAACAAAAAAGTGTGCATTCTGTGCGTATACAATTAACATTGAGCATCTCTTCCCTTTTTAGTGTATGTTTGTGCACAGGAAATTCACATTCACAATAAACTCGGAGGTTGAAAGGTAAAATGGAACATAACAATCAAACTTATTGATACAACCTGCCATTAGAACTAGTCCCTCTCTGGTCAGCACAATGTGATCACAGAAGTCAATAGACTGCTGTCATAGGTACAAATTCTTCTCCATTAAGGCTAATATTCACCATGTACAACTTCACTTTCCGGAAATGGTGTAGTACAACCTTACTCTAATTTATACTCAAACACTTTAAGTGATCCTCAGGGTCGCACATTATTGTAAAAAATTCTTTTTTTCTTTCCATTCTCTTTTCTTGAAAGAAGGAAAAAAAAAAAAAAAAGCACAATAGACACATCATGACACATTTAAGGTAAACCGATTCAATAGAAAATATGTCAGAGGACTCATGTTTATTAGTGACTTTTCTTATCTACGTATGCACCTGTTTAGTTACCATAGCAAAAAAAAATAACGCATCATAAACAATAGAAAGAGTTGCATTAGAGATATACATGCTTGCATTTCTTGCATCAAGAGTGTGGGCAACAGACCGATTTAGATGTTTACATCCAAAGAGGATCATTCATGGAGAACTTCGAAGCGTTATCACAGTCATATATTTTCTAGTAGCGTTGATGCAGATGACGTGGGGTATAATTAGACATTATCCACACAAGAGAGAATATCACTAATGCATTCAATTAAAAAGATGTAATATCAACATGGATAAAATACTCTGAAAAGTTTGTCCAAATCCCAAATACAACCATGATTATATCAAAACCATTTGACTACTGGACACCACAACATCAATATATCGCTATGGTAAACAAACCAATGTGTAATATTTTTTTGTATGCTTATTTTACCTAGTCAATTGACTATCTTGAATGCGTTACTTTATCTATGCAAACTGGCATCTTCTTCCTCCTTCAATGTTTTTGGCATTACTTGTCAACGAATGTGGCCAAGAAATCGTTCATGGGCTCCTGGGAATTTAGGTTCTATATCTTTTGGTAAGTTGCACATAAACTTTATACATTAAGCCGAATGTGGTTCGAGCTAAAAGAATCATGCCTATCAGGGCGCTTGGAAGCGTGGCTGTGTTCCCCATCTTACAATGGACCTACAGAGATAATGTTATTAAAAGGGAAGCAATCCCTCAACTAGCCTATAGTACTGAAAGTAGGTAGCTGCACAACAATGTCATTCAAGCAATCTTAAGTTCAAATAATGTAGTACTTATCGCGGCTCTATTGGGTATTCGATCACATTTTCGATTTAATAGGATTATAAACATTGCCCGTAACATGAAGACTGGAAGCACAGCTGTGACAGAAAAAATGGCATACTTCAAAGACATGAATCTCTTCATAACCGCCGTTCTCTTTCTTTACGCCTTCAGTTTAGGCACTCTCTGCGTGGATGGATTGACAGAAGGGATGGTCATCAATTCCAATAAATTTTCTGCAGATCTTTTGATTTCAATCGTTGATACATGCTCTATACTGATATGGATTGTGGGAGTAAGGATTATTGTTGTTTATTTAGTATACATCTAAACTATTTAATAGATCTGTATTTTCCATCCTCGTCGTTCTACAGAAGAAGCAGACATCAGCGCTCTTTCAAAAAGCGGCACTAATCAAGACGTCGAAACAAATAATGGAAACAGGTTTGGTGCGTCATTCGATAATACAAATAATAACGGAAGTACAAGCTCAAGACTAAGTCAACGTGTCACACATTTCATAGAAAATAGAAACAGTGGCCGTCTTCAAGCATCTCGTGGGTTTATCAGGCCCATGTCCCCTGTTGAAGTTGATTATCCTACGACCACGACTATGGCAGCCACATTGACAGAAGGCAACACGGGCTTTTCTGTACTAGATCCTAACAGTAAACGATACAACATTCAGCCATCAAGAACTTCTTTTGAATCATCCAAACAAGATTTCCCAATGCATACTATGAGCGGTGCTGCAGCTGCAGCTGCTAATCGGGATTTTAGATTTGATCCTATAACTGAAAAAGATAGCGACGATTATGATTATATGGTTACTTCTCAGGACTGGCCAAGACAACCAATGCCCAATAGACAAGGATAGAAATGCATTGTATCAAATTTTTGTCTCTTTATAAAATACTCGTAATAATATAATAATAAACTACTTCAGATTGCTCCTTTTTTTTTTTAATAAGGTGGATATCCATTGTTGGAATGCTGTGGAGGGTATCCGCCCATGTTTTGATGTTGAGGAGGATAAGGACGAGGAGGGTAATTTCCTGGATTAGGTGAATAAAAGCTTCCTTGATGAGCAGCAAATGGTGTTCCCAATGGATCGGCTTGCTGAGGAGGATAACCGCCACCGTGAGGAAATTGTTGGGGCTCAGGAAACCTGTGGAATTGGTTGCTGGAAGGTGGATAGGGTGGATAAGGGCTGTTTGTCTGTGGAGGATAGCTATTTCTGTTATTGTTATTGTTGTTGTTTGAATAAGGTGGATAGCCTCCATGATTAGAAGGTGGGTAACCTATAGTAGAGTTATTATTCGATGATACACCATTGTTCATATACTTGCCATAATTAGAGTGAGAGGACGCACCCGAACTAATAGTGGCAGAGGGGTTGTAGGGCGAAGACAAGAGAGGAGCATGTCCAGCACCAGGAGCCAAATGACTGTTTGGATTAGGTGTGGCGGCAGGTGGGGAAGTAGGTCTATTGATATGATTGACGCTTTGAGGACCAGTGTATGATGCAGGTCTACCAGATGGAGGCTGAGAACCCGACGACATAGAAGACGTTGGTGCAGGTGGAGGATAAGCACCAGTATAGGGAGATGGTTGTATAGATGGCGGTACAGATGGATGCGTTGGTGGATATTGACCAAGGTGACTTGTAGGCGTTGAATGTGATTCAGCAGGGGCAGGTGGAAGTGGTCTAGCATTGGATGGTTGCGTTGGGTGGTAAGGATAATGCTGTGCTGGGTGACCAACGTTGGGTACAGGAGGAGCATATCCTCCGTGTTGCTTGGGTCGCATTCCATAACGGGTGGGCTGTCTTTTTGGTGGTGGAGCCTAGACAATAAAAGATGAGCTTCAAGTCAGATACAGTTATTCCTATCTTACCGCAGAATAAAATGTCATTTCTAAATAAATTTCACCAGCAGGTCGGCCTTTGTACTGTAAAGGAAACCAGCCTAAATATACATCAATTACTATTCTTCCTTTTCTTTATATTCCATTACCATCATGTTCTCCTTCTTCTAACACCTTAGATATATCCAAATCACACTCGGAAATCAACTCCTCTCTTTTTGAATCTTCATCATAGATTTGAACAACCATCATCTTCTTCTTTTCAGGAACAGGCATGTTGACCTTTATGTTGTATTTACATCATTACTACTCATTCGTATAACTTTTGTGTAATATAATATACCTGATCATCCCAAAGAGGATGTTGGCCACCTCTATAGTCAGTCTTTGTCTTTCTTAAATTTTCGCCCAAGCGAAATACGACAAAGGGGTCTTGTTTACCAACAATCTATTATACATAAAAAGAGAAAGAGATGAGTCCAGCTTTTTATTTGCCAAGAGTTGCATCTGTGTACTTCGCGATTGGGTAGATCTCGCTAATTGCTTATTGAGTTAGTTTATTCTATACAAGGTAATATTAAAGTATCTTACTGCTTTATAAGCGACAATGGCTAATTCGCCAATTATCCTTGGCTTTGACATTCAATAGAAGGAATATGAGTCAAAAGAGAAGAAGAGGAAAATTAAATTTAAAAATCATTTTTAATGTGATACAACAGTGAGGCTGAAAGCTTTATTCAAGTCTAGGTTTTTGTTCGCGTGATAATACAATACAAAGGCCATAAAGGACACGTGATGTCTTTATTACATCGTTGTTTGTCCAGGACAGATCGAAGCGTAAAAAAGTATCTAATCTTAAAAGAAATGATAAAGGTGTAATTCAGGCAAGGTGCGAATGAACAATGAAAGTCATGAATTTTCTCAGAAACTGCAATAGTAAAAGGAGAAGCGACTTACAGAAATCAATACTCAAACAATTACTTATAATCACAAGATTTTGAAGTATGAAGGGCATTGAGCAAAGCTATTTGATTTTTATTTATAAGGCCTAGATTTGAAGGGTTATTTAACGTCTCTTTCCTTTCAAACATTTTGATACTGTTGTTATAGGGCAGGCTGTCAACGATAATAATCTCTATATTCTTGTTGTTCTATTAAGAGTTGTTAACAGTTGCTTTTAATCAATCCTATTTTTCAAGCTTACTCTAAGAATATCTTCAAATCGTTTGGATCTGTTGTTAGACTTGTATAATCTAACACTACAGGACACATGTTTTTGCTTGTAACAATGTATTGTAACATTGCTAAAAACCATTGATATGCATAAGCAAGAAATGGTATCCACGCTCCTACATTGTGTATTTCCATCTACGGCTAAAATTTCAAAAAGTTCTTCGTTTCCTTTGTGTCTCTTTCCGAGATAGGATCATTTGCATTTGAACAAACGAAAACAGAAACCTTCTCTACTAAATATTGTGCTCTCTCAATCTTTGGCACATGAGTTGAATTAAATGGAACCTGCTTTCATCATCAATATGATGTCGTCGATGAACAGCTGGCTTTAACTTGAAAACATAAAATAACAAATAGATGGAATGAGTCTCTTTGTAAGTCTTTTATGAACAGAGAAAGAAATAGATCCGTGACAAAAAGAAAATTAATTTTTAAAATCTTGTCGACCAATTGCATGTTAAATATAACGCATCATCAACTACTACAGATTATGGATGACATGAATCAGTGCTGTGGGCTTAATACGAAGTATTAAGTTAATATTTAAGATGACTCTAGCTTGTGTACGAAATATGTATTGACTAAATTATGTCAAAGGGTGTATAATCCTCTTCAATATAAATGTAGAAATATGACATATCCCTCTGGGTGTTCAAAAATTCACAAATCAAAACTTGTTTGCCCCCATGGCCTTTGCTCTGACCCGCTTGTCCTGCCCTCTTTGCTCTCTGATGTGTCTCTGGCGTGTTCCCCCGATTGTCTCTTCTCATGCTCTGGGTTCTCTGTATCCTGCATTCCTTTTTTTTTTTTGGCTTAAATTATCCTGGGAATTTATCGCAACCTTCCCCAGATGCATCTCGGCGAAAGCCTCGGTGGTAAGTAAAACTAGTATTAGAATATATGTTTCAATACTAGCATACTTTCCCCCTTTTTTTTCTACATGTCCTTGCTTTTGACATGATGTCACCAATAAAGTAGATGACAATAATACTTTTTACATACAAAATCATTTTACTCAAACGTATCTTATTTTACGATAACGCTTTATAAAGTCAACATCAATAATTAATAAAACACAGCAGAATGGCCTATCATAGTACTTTCGTATAATACTCTTTTATTAAAGGTAATAAATTCAGCTTTAGATAGAGAAGTTATGTTATCATAAAGAGCACTTGTAAAAACAAAGGATGAAACACGAAGCAATGGGTATTTGTTTAACAATAAAAATAGCCCTTATGCAGAATAAATGAACCAATCAGATTAATTTTACACTAAAGTAGGAGGCAGAAAGACAGATAGAGACAGAGGTGATAAAGGGTAAAGAAAATGTTTATGCTATTCCCCCCTTTCTGCTCTTTTTGCTTTTCTTCCCCCCTTTTTTTCATTTTTCTTTCTTTTTCTTTTTTTATCTATTTCAACAACAACTGTATCATCGCTCAATGGCGGATAGTAGCAACCATCAAAGAAGTAAACAACTATCACTTATTCACCATGGACTAAGTACCATTAAAACTATGCATCAGCTGAATAATCAACCGCGAGAAAATTATTATCAAAGGGATAAAAATGTACCACATCAAAGAGATCCTTCAGTATCTTCAACATTTACAGATAATATCAGTATTTTATCGACCTTTGAGGACCTAAGAGGTTTGCTCAATAACAGTATGAAACAAACAGTCTTTAATTAATTGAGTAGGCCATAGGCAAAGGCGCAGGTCGTCCCTTTCAGACTATAAAGAATCTGCCCGAATATTAAATAAATCCCAATTCGATTCAACTGAAGAGCAGCAGCTTCATGTTTATCCTTCTATATTTTTAAACGCCCCAAGTGATGCTAAACATGGTAACACTGATAAGAATGACGAAAACCTAGGTCACTATAGCAAGTTTTTTGGTTGCACATCAGTTCCCATAGAAGCAGACTGTGAGTTGGATGACTATTTTACCCGTAAAGATCATTCATTTATTAAATTTACTCTTTTTCCCTGTTTCTTACAAATAAATTAATACTCTTTTTTTTTCACTATATAGTTTGTCAAAGTGCGCCTTCCACCAGTTACTTTTCTTCACACCATCAACATCGCTATCATTTTATGGATCAAGTTGACATATCTCGGTTAACCAAGGTACAAAGGTGGTCTATTCCATTTGAACCAGAATGGTGTGATTGGAGAAAAGATCAAACTATTTTTCATGCAGATAACGACACTTGTTTTACAGCCTACACTTTCCCTGCCGAAGAAGATTCACTTAAGAATCAACAGCAACAGCAACAGGAATCCCTCAGAACACCTTCTTACAGCTCTTCATCCTTTGCTAGCCACTCAATCAAGCACAATTCCAATTTTACTGAAACCTTTCTAGATAAACGAAAAAGCGTAAATGCCGCAAACATTTACCCAGGCAATGCTACAAAATTTAAAATTCAGTCAGCAAAACAAGCATGCAGCTTGGAGCTGCGAAGAATCATTGATGGCTTGAATGAGTATGTCGAGCATGATCTGGTGACTATCAAACAAGGCATCGTTGACGAACGTATCACGCTGTCAAGTGATACGAATCAAACTGTAGCACCTTCTGAAGACATTTACCATCCCACTCCCTTCATAGTAACTTTGCAGGATCTCATTGGTTATGCACAGTATGCTTTGGACACAGACCTGGACGTATTTTTGGAAAACAGGCATCTTTGCGCTGAGCTTGTTTCCAAGATACAAGTAATTGGAAAACAGTGGGAAGTCAATAAGGATTGGCCGTGCAGAGAATGGCATGTCAGGCTGCTACTGTCCATCGCTGCACTCAATCGTGTGATCGAGTGGTGGCAGGCTGAACAAGGGCTAAGCACGAGCCCTCTGTTGAAGCCTGTGCCAACTCAGGAGGATGTTATACAATGTCAACTTCAGGAAGAAGCCAGAGTAGGACAAAGCAGTACAATTGTCATGGAACTGTCACTCTCCTCACCTACTGTTCAGTACCTTAGTCAAGTATGGCATGATGTAATAGGGTAATCTTTGTGCAGCTGAGATGCTAAAGATAGTAGCTAACCCCCTTTTTTCTTTTTATCAAGCACTGAGCCCCAATCCATGATTGGCTTAAACATGTCGCAGCTGTTACTGGCAGAAGACAGGAATGTATTTACAGTAGCCACGAATGAAATGCTGACCGATAACACAAAAACTGCCGAAGTGACATTTCGTGTGATTACAAATGACAATAAGAAACCTATTCAAATGGAAGGCAAGGGGATGCTCATGCGTAATCGAGTCACGGGAGAAGCGAGCCATACGATGTGGGTCATCAAACCAAAAGAGCCGTCGCTTCATCTGCCTACTGAAAAAGAGGACTCTTTATTACCGGCCAAAATGAAAAGGGAAGTGTTTTTATCCTCTTCCTCTTTATCAGGCCAGCGCTCTTGTTTTGAATCCCTAATGAATCTTCCACCTGAATTGTGTCGTATATGCGAAAAATGGATCGTTGCTGCCTTTTTCGAGCAGCATTCGGAGCTCTGTGTAGAAATCCACCGAGCCGAGATGGATGTTGTACATTGTGATGATAGCTTAGCGGAGCTTCGACAGTACGTCCAGAGCCTACGCGATGTCACAGTGAATGAGCTTCACGATCTGGAAAATCAAACTGTTATCTCCATAGACAATTCTCTAAACGAAATCATGTTTGATGATCTTGGTCATATTGATCAAAAGAAGGCTGAAATTGAGAAATATGAATCGCTATTGGACATAATGAACGTTGCCATCTCTTTAAAAACTCCTTCGGATCAATCGGATGAAGGGCTCTTTGTTATCAAATCAAAAACAATTGAAATTCTCTACTGGACACCTCCTCTGACAGATGATTCAGACATACAGTCCCTTATAGTCGATATCCAATCCATCATTCAAGCCAAGGTAGATGCTGTCAATCGCATGCAGGACCGCTTAGACTACAATGAGCGTATAAAAAAAAACTTTCAGCAACAAGTCATACACAATGAGAACTGGTCTGAATTTGTGGCTCAAGAAAACGAAAATGTTCACTATACCACAAAAGAATCAACGGATAAAAGTTCCGTCAAGAAAGCATGTTCAACCACTGAGCCTCTCACTGCAACTGGCGAGAAGCCAAAGGAGGGTGGACAAAATTTGAAAAAGAGTATCTTCAAGAAAATCAGAGAATGGAAATCAAAAGGCAAACGTAGCAAAATTTCTCCAAAATCATCCAACATCTCTCAAGACAATACTATTCGATCAATGGATCTAGTCGCGACTGAATTTATTGACACGCCTCTGGCCTCACCCAAGTCCTTTGGCGATCAACAGATGTCAAGAAAGGGCAGTTTACCTCATAGAATTCAACAGCAGGAAGCAGGAAAATCACCGTGCTCTCCTTTACCTGCCCCTATCGCCGGAAGCAGATCTACACCTCCTAGCATCAAGGATTATGAGATAATCAAGCCAATCAGCAAGGGCGCCTTTGGTTCTGTCTTTCTGGCTAAAAAGAGAATTACTGGAGATTATTATGCAATAAAATTCCTCAAGAAGTCGGATATGATTGCAAAGAATCAAGTAACCAACGTCAAGGCCGAAAGAATGATCATGATAGCACAGACAGATAGTCCATATGTGGCCAAGCTATATTATACTTTTCAGTCAAAAGATTACCTGTACCTGGTCATGGAGTATTTGAATGGCGGTGATTGTTCTTCGCTGATCAAGGTCATGGGCAGCTTACCCTATGATTGGGCCCGCAACTATTTAGCCGAAGTTACCTTGGGGCTTTCTTATTTACACAGTAAAAACATCATTCACAGGTAGACATTACTAAAGAAGCTCCTTTATAAATATATATATTGACAGTTTCTTTTAGGGATTTGAAGCCAGATAATTTACTCATTGATCAAAATGGACATTTAAAATTGACTGACTTTGGTTTGTCTCGTGTTGGCTTCTTGGACCGTCGGGTTAGAGACGAACTTCATAATGGCCCTTTGACCTTTTGCTCACCTTCACAGTCTCATTGTGGGACTCCTCCTAGATCACCTTCAGTTTCGTCCGCTTCTCCTTCTGGTGCATTTTACAAGAACACTTACTTCAACTTTTTATTTGATCAAGACCGACACCGACGTGGGTCACTTGCCAGTTCAACCTCAGGGGGAGAACCCAGCAGCCTGACATCTATCAATCCGTTCCTACATGACGCCTCTAGCAATATTAGTGATGATGGATTTGGTGTAAAGCTCCATCGACAGCGAACTAATTCGGGCTTACTTTCTGGACGAACAACACCTGGACTTTTTCCTATAGATGGAGAAAAGCAGGAAGGTATGGTCGGCACACCCGATTATTTGGCGCCAGAAAGCATTCTGGGCACGAGCCAGGACTCCATGGTCGATTGGTGGGCTCTTGGCGTGATTTGCTATGAATTCCTGTTTGGATATCCACCTTTCCATGCAGAAACACCAGACAAGGTATTTGAAAACATTTTGTCAGGCACCATTGATTGGCACGAAGACGAGATCAGCATTCCCCCTGAAGCACGCGATTTTATCGAGCGACTGCTCACACCAGATCCTAACCAGCGACTTGGTCGAAATGGCGCAGATGAAGTACGCAACCATCCGTTTTTCAAGGGACTCGATTGGGACAATCTGTTATCAGAAGTACCCTCATTTATACCACAACCTCTAAGCGAAGAAGACACGGATTATTTTGATTTAAGAGGAGCCTCGATGCTCATGCCTGAGGACGTCGAGCATCTTGTATTGGAAGAGGTGAAACGAGCGAAAGCTATTATTGTAGAGCAGAATCCGGAAAAGACTAGCCTGATCAATCAGCAGGAAGACGAGGAAGGGCGCCCGCATATTACAAACGATGCTGATTTTGGAACATTTGTTTACAAGAACTTACCACTTTTAGAGAAAGCAAACGAAGAAGCAATCAAAAAGATTAGAAGCGAAAGTGTTGCGGCGGCAGCTACAGATAATTTGAAACTGCCACTAGATGCAAAGAGACACTCAATCATAGACGCTCTTGAATCACAAAACATATCGATCTCTTTACCCAACACCCCGCCACTCACAATGTCACCCTCTATCTCTTCAAGGCCATCTATATCACTACGTCGATCAGCAGATGTGTCTAATCCACAGCTAGAAAAAGTAAAAATGACATCTGTAGAAGATCATGGCTTTACTTTAAAGCGGACGCGATCCGTCTCGTTTTCTAACAGGACATTTGGACATCAACCGCATGATGAACCTCTAGATCATGGAAGTGGCATGATATCTTTATTGCCTACATCAAGGCACCCTCTTGATTGTGATCATGATACAGATTATAAAGAAACCAGACCATTCGACTGTCTTATCGCGGACGATAATCCAATAAGCTGCAAAATACTAGAGACCATACTCAAATCTCTGCATTGTCGGTGTGTTGTTGCTCGGAATGGTGCACAGGCAATTCGATATGCTATGGGCGACAAGGTGGTATTTGATTTTATCTTTATGGATATACGGATGCCAATAAGTAAGTAGGAAAAGGATAAGCAACAGACAATAGCTCACATTTTATTTCTAGTTGACGGTGAAGCCTCAGCGCGAATGATCAAATCTACCAATAATATCAATCGAAACACACCCATTATTGCATTCACAGCTTATGAACGAACATTTCATTTGACAAAAATATTTGACGACGTCCTTAGTAAACCAGTAACGAGAGAATCTGTCATACGATGTATCAAACAATTCAATGATCTACCGCTTACTAATAATGTCAACCACCAAATCGGTATGCACTGGTCTTATTCATCACCCACTCTAGAGACACCGCCCTTCATCCATACACCGCAGGAAATACTATCACCGCCCGTTGTAAAAGAAAAGAATCATATACCACATCCCATTTTGACTTCACAGCTTATATCAGCGCATGAAGCCAAACAAGAAGACGCATAGATCAATATATTTAATATTTTATAGAAATTAAAGGCACACTTGATGAGTCAATCTCGTTCATATTATTTATTCTCAGCCTTTATCATTTATCAAACAACATCGGCCTTATTTCCTTCCAACCGTACAACCTGTTCATGTACTGTGAGCATGTTGAACCTAAAGTTGTATATTTTTCTAATTGATGACTTTAATTGTTAGTTTATTATGAATCTGATCGACAGGCTGTGTGTCCCCCTTATCTGTGATGACACGTCACGTGCGCATGAAGCAGGCATTCGAAATGACTCATTTTGTCCAAACCGGGTAAATCTTTAAAAAGAAAGGGAACTCTAGCTTTTTTCCCTTTTCCCTCTTTATATTTATATATACGCAACATGACCTTAAAGTTAAAACCTACGCTTGAACAAGTTCAGGAGCTTGTAGCAAACGATGCTGGCAACACAATTCCTATTTACGCCGAATTAGAAGCAGACTTGTTGACACCCGTATCTGCCTATCTCAAGGTAGCCGATCGCTGCGATTATTCATTTCTGTTTGAATCTGTAGAGGGAGGAGAAAACATCAGCAGATATTCTTTTATTGGCTCTGGTATAGAATACATACAAAGCAAACAAGGACGCAACATGTTGCTTATAATCCCTCCATAGATCCCTATAAACTTATCAAAGTGGGTGCTAACGAAACCTGTCAAGGCGATCCCTTGATTCCTATCGAAAAAGAATTATCTAGTATTCGATATGTCAAGATACCCGGCCTTCCTAGCTTTACTGGTATATATATATACATGTATATATTGGACATCAGTTACTGATTGCCCCCGATATTAGGTGGTGCTGTTGGCTACGTTGGCTTTGACTGTTTCCAATATTTTGAACCAAGCATCAAGGGCGACCTGGCCGATCCACTCGGCATTCCGGACGCTATCTTTATGATGTGCGATACACTTGTCATTTTTGATCGTGTACGTCATGTGGTCAATGTTGTGTCTCATTTTAGAAGCGACGTCAAAGATCCCAAAGAAGTGGAAAGAGAATACAGAAAGGCGGCCGAAGAGATCGAGACAACGCTGACACTACTTCACGACGATCATATACCCTCCGTAGCTCAAGGTCCGATTACGACTCTTGGTCAGCATGCTATTTCAAATGTGGGCAAGGAAGGATACATGGGATTTGTTAGCTCGCTGAAACATCACATTAAAGAAGGCGATATCTTTCAAGCAGTGCCCTCTCAACGACTCGCGCGTCGTACAGATTTGCATCCGTTCAACGTGTATCGTCACTTGAGATCATTAAACCCTTCACCCTATATGTTTTACATGAACCTTAAGGAATTCACTCTTGTAGGTGCTTCACCCGAGATGCTGACCAAGGTTCAGGATCGCATTGCCTTCACTCATCCTATCGCCGGTACACGGAAGCGTGGAAAGACCCCAGAAGAGGATAAATCCCTGGCAGAAGATCTCTTAAAGGATCCCAAGGAAATTGCTGAGCATGTTATGTTGGTCGATCTCGGACGTAACGATATCAATCGTATCTGTAAGCCAGAAACAGTCAAGGTCGATAAGCTGATGCAAATCGAGTATTACTCACATGTTATGCATATTGTCTCAAATGTATCGGGTGAGCTTCGAGAGGACAAGACACCATTTGATGCGTTCCGTGCCATCTTCCCCGCCGGCACTGTGTCGGGTGCCCCCAAGATTAGAGCCGTGGAGTTAATTCGAGGATTAGAAAAGGAAAAGAGAGGCGTCTATGCTGGTTCAGTGGGTCACTTTGATTACTCTGGAGGCATGGACACATGTATAGCTATTCGTACCATGCTCTTCAAGGATGGCGTTGCTTACTTACAAGGTAATGTATACATATATGCTTCATGAGCTATGACTTGTTGTTAAACATGTGTAACATAGCTGGAGGAGGTATCGTATATGACTCAGTGGAAGAAGATGAATATCAAGAAACAATGAACAAGATGGGATCCAATCTCGCGACTATCGAACAATGTGAACAAAAGATTTATGAACAGCAACAAAAGTGATTTTATTAATAAAGCATGAATCTCTAAACTGTTCGTGAGGTAGTCAAAGAGGGTCGAGACGAATGACCCGACGTAGGGGTTGAAGCAGGAAGAGGAGGTGTGTTATCAGGCACTGACGGTTGTTGCTGTTTGATGTGGAATAGTTTAATCAGAGTACCAGTCCATGGGCCATAGTTGGATACAGAGGAGATGTAGGTATGGCCCCAGAGCATGCTTTGGAACCAGATCATGAGTGTATCTGTCCATTGAAATTTTCGGACTGTCACTGGGTGTGCAGGTGTAGGTAGTGGGATATCTGATAATGACAGATTACTTATATATTCAACAATTTGATCACCTGTCAACCCAGGCTTATCTAATTGGGGCCTCAAATAGCCTATTAAAGAAAGGATTGTGTCTAAAGGAAGCTGAGAATGCCAGTTATTGACCTGTACATAACCCTTTGTTAACAATACTTCTGGGGGATATAATTTCTTTCCTTACCCAATCTTCTGTGGGGATAAATCCATTCTTTATTCCGGGAAATGATACATTGTTTGACTGAAGTTGACTTGAGCTACTCGAATGTCGTGTTAAGGTAGAGCCTTCGGGAAGCTTTCCTTTCGCTTTCTCTGACAGTCCGGCTTCATCATCTGTTGCATGCTTACGGGCAATATTAGATGACTTTTCTGATAATGCAGCGTCAAGATTGAAATCAGCTAGCTTTTGAAACTTTAGAGCGTTGCGTACGAGAGCATAGACAAAGCGAGAATTGTCTAGAATATATAGAGGTGAATATATAAAATCGCTTGATAGCAAGTACTTACAGGAGAATTGGAATCGAATCATGTTATTAAATGCTTCCAACAAATATTCTATCAACTTGTGATTTGCTTCATCAGCTAATAAGAAACCAGGTGCAGACATGGAACTAAACAAGGCGATCAGTTTACTTGATGCCATAGGTGATATGCTCTTTAGATATGGTGATATGTTTGTAATTGTCATGATGAAGGCTGGGTAGAGTGTAGATAATGTTCCTCTTGATGTAGCAATCAGTGAAAAGATACTCTAAAGATAATCATTAGTATTTCTTCTCTCTCCTTTTTTTTTTTTTCTTTTAATACATACAAGAATAAGATAATCCGCATAGGTGCCTTGGAAGTTTGGTATTTTACTGCTAGCAGGCAGGGAGGCATGCCCATCAAAAGATTTGTTGATCTTTACACCAAATAGTCTGTTTGAAGATAGAGTCTGGAGCATAAATGCACACATACGAACAAGGCCTACTTGAGCTATAATAAAATGATAAATATGACTCTCCATTATTGAATTGGACATTGCATTTACATGGATCAAGCTTATTCTCATTCGCATAGAACACCAATACTATCATCAAATCTAATCCTCTTTCAGTCTCCATCAAATAATGACTAAACCTGGTGTTTGTTTCTAATAATTTCCAACAAAGCATCAACATTTCCACATGATATCGAGTTCTTTTTAATGAACCAGGTATGTAGTTGTTCAATGTCTGTATCCATAAGAAAGTAAATAAACATTTCTATATTTTGTACAAGATTTACCTGCATTGGGTTATCCAATATTCGATAAATACCATCAATCAAGAACTGAAAATCTTGAGCTCTATGTAGCTTCGATAGGTAGTATCTATAAACATTATCACTTGATTCTACTTGACCGTCATTCTGCTTGGATGACAGATTCAAGTCCTCCATCTTTTCTACAATAACATCTGTTGAGGATGCATTTCTTGTCAAGGGCAAACGATAGTCCAATATGATCAACAGTATACGTAAACAGTGGCCAACGAGCAATTCTCTTGGGTCAGAAAACATGATGTGGTTATAAGGCACGACTGTCCAGCCTAAAGGGTTGTATTTACAGGATATATTGATCATGCTACAGAGGAAGGCGAGGACAATCTTCTTTTCTGTTTTTGTAATCATGTAATTTAACCAACGATCCTCTTTAGAGATTATCTGTGTTGGTGTTGTATACATTGATTTGGATAGCAAAACAGTGAGCAGTCGGAGTACTTCGATTCGATTCATGTCATTGTCTCTTGATGATCCAATGGGTGTTGAGCATCCAACGCCTGTCTCCCAAATGACATAATTCACTTTATTATCTGCAGTTCCAATAGACGAAGGTATTGTGAATCCAGCCAAGAAGAGTGATTTTAAACATACTATGGGTTCTTGTTAAATCTATATAAATCACGGGTGCTTTATAAACTTCTTTGGTCTATTGTTCCTTACATGACAGCATCATTTCTCCTCTTGGTGGCAATGAATCATACTGTGGTTTTTGTCCATCCTCTGCCTATGGTAATATATATTTATTATTGTTGCTGTAATCATAATGTATATATACCCTTTCTCTTTCGATCAATCGCGGTGTCCAAAAGAACCTATCTTCCCATTCTGCATGTTCGGGACTTTCAAAGATAAAGGGCATCACTCGACTCAAGATACGACAGCAATTGAGTAATTGAATATTTTGGTTTGTATTGGTTGAGTTGAGGATAGAATTCATTTGTTCCAACAACTATAATAGTAAACAAGATAAGAGAAAAAAGAGAGGGGTTGTCACGAATATAGCCTTACTCTATCAATCAACGTTTCTAAGTTTTCTATGGCTGTATCTCTTGTCCTCCTAATATCATGAATACTGATCAATGTATAGACATCATCTATTGATTCTGGTAAAGTCCAAAACTTTATTACTGTTAGAATAAAGTTGTGCTGAATTGAACTGCTTAATTACCAAAGTCCAATAGTCATCCATATTTTTAGGAAGATTCTAAACATTTATAAAAGTTGAGTTTTATTAAAGCCAAGAAGTATTGTTGCTTACTCTTTCTTCAAACAGTCGAAAGACGCCCTTTCTGAAGGCTAGTTTGCTATCCGTTGTTCCCATTGATAAAATAAGTAAAAGAAAAAGAAAAAGAACTAATGGAAGTTCAAAGTCGGAAATTGAAGATCCTCTCTCCTATGCATTTCGTCACTAAACAATAACATTGACGATGCATTGATATACAGCGCTTCCACTCTCAGTTTACCGAATGCTGAAAACCTCACCCACTTTTTCGAGGCTAGATTACCTGGATTTCCTCCACATCACTTTTATTTCAAGCTATTTTTTTTCTTTACACAATGATTTCAAGTTTGGTGGAGGTAGTGTGTTGATTTGGTCGTGTTTTTAGACTGGGGGATATGGTCCGTTAGTTTTTATTGACGGTAATATGAACCAAGATTTATATATCGACTGATTATCGCAAAACCTTCTCATCTGATACAATGAGCTATCTAGTTCTAAAGGTAGAAAATGCATCATCCAGGAGGATCATGCATCTTGCCATACAGGCTCTTATGTCAAGTGGTGGAAGGCTAGCCATTCGCTTGTGCTCTTTTGCTTTTAGGCGAAACATGACTGTATATTATCCTGTCGATTTCCTCCAAACCTACAGATACTTGCGTGATTACGCAAAAACAGACACAGACTGAAAACTGATTTTATAAGCAAGAAATTCATTGTCGTATTTCTACATTTATATCGAAGAAGATCACATCCTTTGACGTAATATAATCAATATATATTTCGTAATATAAGCCAAATTCCTCTTAAATATTAACATAATACTTTGTATTAAGCCCATAACACTGGTTTATGGCATCTGTAGTCTGCAGTAGTTGATAGCGCATTATATATTATAATTCACTAAACGTAATTGGTTGACAACATTTATTCTTGCATATAAAGATTAATTTCTTTTTTGCCATGAATTTCTTTCTTACTCTGTTAATAAACGACTATAAAGAGACTCATTCTATCTTGCTGTATCCTTATGCCCCCGAGTTAAAACTGCTTATTCACCAATCATTACATTCATATCATTGGATTTTGCTACTGTTCATCCCCTTTTTTCAAGAAAGCTCCCCCTCATACATCAAACAATATACCTTTGTCACTCATCGGATCTCATATATCTGCATCATATGTATCTTGTAAGACAACAAAAGAACAAGTTGAAAGATATCTGTCGAGGTTGAAGCAAAACACATTCATTGCCAAAACGTTAAAAGCTGGTCCCACTGTATCTGTTGAAGACTTATACCACAAACATGAAACTGATATCAAAAAATCTGGTGTACTGACAAGAGTGATAATAAAAGAGTTGTAGCTTATGGGGGAAGCCACCATCTATAAGCATGCAATTAGTCGACAATGATGAATACCCAAATTTAAGAGATATCGTCGAGAATGGGCTTGGTGAAGCAATCAAAACTGCCAATAAGTCAAGAGTGAAGAAGTTTGCCACATCCCAATTTTAAATATATAAATATTACATAAATTATGAATGTATTCCCCGGGTTATTTTTCTAAAAAGTAGTCGAAAAGTTGGACATATCAGCCTAAAATATTTGGCAAAACTAGTCTTTTTTTCTGAACAATTTAGCCTCGAAAAAGTGGCCGGGATTTTCAAACATTCGATAAATTGAGAGTGGAAGCACTGTATCACATGTCAAAGCATAAAAAAGTCAACAAAAATAAGTGCTTTTTCTCTTGACTCGAGTACAAATAAAAAGAAAGAAAAATCCATCAAAGTAATAATAAAGGACAATCTTTTAAAATGATATCCCCACAAGTTGTACCGACAAGGGCGAACGAGTCAAGTAAGCAACCGGTATTTGAATTTGTATTGATTTCATACTCATCAAAAAGGGCATTTATTGTAGTTGTAGTTGACTGTTTATTCATCAACTATAGCTCTATCAATGAACCCAAGAAGAAATTTCAATTTAGTACCAAATGACTTGGATATTCGACTGACAGTCATTTAACTCTATACAATTGAACAGACAACAAAATAAAATGATATATAAATGAAAAGATCCTTGGTTTTTCTTTTTTTTTTTTTTCTTTATGTATTCCAATAGAATGACAAGTAGAAGAAGTGGTCAATATGAAATTAGATTAGAAGACACTTCTCCTGTTTGGTTACCTCCTATTTCAAGCTTATTATTACCTTCACCAAGCTATGGTCATCACCATACACTCTGTACAAGCAATCAAGCTTATATGCCCATTATACCTTACTTCTTTCATCACAAGCAATTTGGTATCGAAGCTTGTATGTTACAGCTACTTGAGGCAAGACAGACAAAACATTAAGAAAAAAAGAAGCGTTTTATATATATATATATAGAATAAATTAACCATTATGAACATCTACTATACTATATCTTCTGTCAAATGATCCTCGTTTCTTTGTATACATGTCTTGATCTTCATGTCCACCTTCTAATCCACCTGCGCCCATGATAATCCAATGAAGTTTACCTCTTCTTAAACTATCACAATAATCCGAAGGAAAGTGGTCATTTAAAAAGAAAGGAAACAGAATACGAAAGAGAATCCTAATCTGGTTTTCTCTTACAATTCTTTTTATCACATGTCGATTTAGCAACCCTGAGAGATGCAAGAACGAAATCGGCCGAACGGGTACTGGTTCATTTGTGTATGGGTTAGGAGGATAGAGTGTGATGTTGTAAGCTGAATCTATAAAGACAAGCGTACCAGGTGGAGTACTAATAAAGGTTAGAACTGTTGTCAAGTCTTTGTTGTTTCTTTTTTTTTTTTTTTTTACTAATAATCAAAAAAGGTAGGTATTCGTGGTATAATGTCATTATTGTAAGCATGATGGAATATTTTACTGGTCATCTTGGGACTAAATACTCTAGAAAATTCAGCATCGCCTATCTTGGGTTGTCCATATGTATATAATCCTGCAAAATGTTCAAGCAGAGGACTGTTGGATTGGAGCATTTTTCCAAGAAAGACTGTTTAAAAAGAGTAAGAAACATACTTGGCTCTTGTATATAGAACTCACTTGTCCCCATTGCTCCACCAAGTGAATGTCCTGTAATAAACAATCGCTTCTTCTTTTTAAAGGCTGATGTGCGTCCATGTGATGACAGACCGGATCCTCTAGATGCAGGCCTGGGATCACTTGACATGGATTGTTGAATAAGCTTCAAGATATACTCCTCTGCTTGTGCATACATGCTATGTGTTCTAATATCTTTATCAGGCCCAATCCAGGTGCTATCAATCGGTTCATTGACGTGATTAAATAGATTGATTGACAAGAAATGAAGGATCTTGGCTGCTCCTTTCAAAGCAGAAAGAATAGTTTTAAAGATGGATGTATTATTCAACACAATACGTAAAATAGGTCGTCTATCTGTCCCTTTTCTCTCCATTTTTTTTCGAGGCTCGCCCATGGCTTTCCAGAACCCTTGATGGACCTTTCCCATAGGCCCCCAGGCTGATTCTACTTTGGTCATTGTAAAGGTAATATTTGTAAGATAGTTTTGCATATTAAGTGGATTGGTTCTACCAAACAATTGCTTAATTTCTAGAAATGACATAATAATAAAAACTGATTACCCTCTAAACACAAGTAGGATATCATCATCTTTCTCGGTTATAAAAGCACAAATGTTCTACGTATATACACTGTCAGCCTCCCTTTCCTTTTTGTTTGTTTGTTGTATTTACTTTATATGCAATTGGACGAAAGGTGCGGTCAACATCAAACCCTGCTTTTCTCAATTCATGCTTAATGACTTCAACATCTTCATACACAAGCTTACTAGCAACCGCTAGTGTATAGGCTAATGACAACGAGTACTTGGGTCTTTTCAAGAGTGTCGTCAGCGCACGTGATTCATGCCCTTGTTGTTCTGTCATGCGTAGTTGCTTTCTTTGTCTAAACAGGTCACCGTCCTCTAAATACCTTGTTCTCGGAATAGAATCATCAAATAAATCAAGCTGTGGGTCCATTGCACTCGTGATGGCTATGATAATAATAAATTAGAAAAGCCCAAAAGAAGTTATAGGGTAGGCTTACAATAATACCGATTGGTCGCATGCTTTCCTACAAATAATCTCAGCAGTACTCGGATCAAATGATCGCTCATCAGGAGCACCACAAAGAAGGCAAAAAAGCCAATTCGAATAGCTGCTGAAAAGAGCGGTCGAAAGATGATTGATCGTGATAGGTACCGCGTCAAGGGCCGCAGGCATTGATTGGTATGGACGAGTAGTGACATCAAAAAGGGTTTACCATGTTTAAATGTCTTGTATCCGAGGAATAAAAAGGCAGATAGACCTAAACTGATGAATGACAACGCAAACAAGACAGTGGCTAGAAATGTGAAATGGGCATTTAATGCATAGAATCCAAATGCAGATGGTATGGAGGATACGATGAACGCGAGTACAAAGTATATTCGATTTCGTCCGTTGGCCATTATTTAAAGAAAGAAAGAAAGAAAAAGAAAGAATGAGGGGTAACACATATAAATGGAGTCAAGTCATGTGTGTCCTTATGATCTTTTGTATCAAACGGCTACGATGATCAAAACGGTTCATTCATAAGCCTCAAACAAACATTGGACTGATTATGCTGAATTTTAACCTGTAAAATTTTTTATATACTTCTTTAGCAGATCATAAAGTGTATTGAATTATAACAATGGACGATTCTGATTACGAGTATGAAGAAGAGGCAAGTTAACAAGTGAGATTTTATCTCTTAAAAAGACTAAAATAAATTAGACAAATTACGTACTCTTTAACGTGGGCACAACAATAACAGACGAGTACATTGACTCAGTATCAAAAACCCAAGGGGGCTGTCGAATAATTGCAAGATCATTCATACATTACTCTTGTTTTTTTTTCTCACGCATGTCTGTTTTAGGGATTACAAGAAGGGAAACCATATTTACAGATTGGAAATCAGTTCTTTGAAGGCGAGATTGACGATACAATCGGTACTCATTTACTATTCGAGATTCAAGAAAGCAAAAGAGAAACAACGGGTTTATTACCACTTCTGAGTTCTATGCGATCCAAGGATGATGATAAAAAGAAACAAAAGTACAACTTGACATTTGCTTGTTCTACAGACAAGATGGTACATTTTGATTCAGTCACATTAGAACCCAAGATGGATGCAGAGGCAATAAATGAAGCCAAGATGAAGGAAGAATCACAAAAGAGACAAAAAGATGAAATGGATAATATCTTTATGTAAACTTTTTTTCATTTAAATAAATTATAATATAAATATAACACAAGGAATTGCACATAATGCCATAGGTTGATACGAAGATCAATCCTCACCATTCTGTGCACCCAATCCCCGTGTGGTTATCTTCAATTGTTTGACGATTTCAATGTTTCAATGATAACTACCAAAGTAGCCATCTCACATGAATGCTTTTTATACCAATCGTTGAATTTAAGTGTTGTAAGTTGAATAAAAATGGATCCATATGGGCTTTATATACTTTTTAGAAGTGAAAAAAAATTTTTTATTCGACAGTCACGAATTAGCAGTAGTGGTATTAAGGGTAAAAGTAATGATGATGTTATGTGTAGAAGCATGTTAAAGCATGCCAGAATCTCGAAGTGCATTTTGTAACAGGGTTTCTTTGATGGCTGCAAATACAAATCGAATCTATATAAAGATGGTTAGTTTCCATAGCCATGTCTTTAATCTATACTCACATTTGATGTGTCTGTTGCTTGAGTGAGGCTAATAGAAAAAAAAATATAAGAGTCAAAAGTATAAATACACCGAGAACTTACTGTGGGTAAATGTTCAACTTATTTCTATTGCACTGCAGAAATCGCCAAAGGATGTATTTAGCTGCCTTATTTGCATCAGATCCACCACCATAATCAGGAAAGTAGTGATTAAGTGGGGATGATCTTACTTTAAGTTTAAATATGTCGACTTTGTTTAAAAAAAGCATAATTGAAGAATGCATGAACCATCTACTGTTCACAATAGAATCAAACAAGGCAATACTTTCCAACATGCGATTCTTTGATAATGTATAAATAGGCTGTTGTCTGTTTCATTTTAACTTACTTGATTTGATTCTTCTAATAACACTTGGTCATACTCACTTAGAGCTACACAGAATATAACAGATGTCACATTGTCAAAGCAGTGGATCCATTTTTTCCGTTCTGAGCGTTGACCACCTACATCAAACATACTTTAAAAGGAATCAGTATCACATGGTGATCTATACAATGTTTGTAATATTACTGTACAGAAAATCCTCCCATCTGAAATTGTATTTCAGTTATTCCAGTCGTCTTGAGTCTTGCCCGCAAGACATCTTGTTCATTTGGTATATAATTCGCTTGTCCTATTCGATCCATGGAATCAAAAAAACTATGACAAAGTTAGAGCTCACCTCTACATATATTATTATTAACTTACTATGGCGCTGAATCCATAATATAAAATGTTTTATCTCGCTTCTCAAAGTATGACAATACTGCCTTATCCTGCCATAATAATTTGATGATAGCTACTATCTCTGGACTTAATTGACTCTTGGGATTGCCCGATACTCGATATGCAAGTACTTTATCAACATTTTCCTATTAAAATAAGTAACACACTTTCTTTTTTTTTTTTTCACTTACTCGTAACTCTGCTTTTTCATAATCCACTCCCAACTTTGTCATGGCTTGAATCAAATCTTGAGCACTTTCGACCACATTACGATAAACAGTTGCTCTCCAAGCAAGTAGTTCGTCTGATGAATATCCATTCAAGTTGATAATCTTCATTTGCTTTAAAACAGTTGATTTACCAGACTCGCCACTTCCTGAATTAGATGTCAACACACTCTCTAGTAAAACTCTTAAGTTGTCCTTTACCCAATAGCAGTATTTTACACTCTTTTTCTCGAATTCCTCTTTCCTTCTCTAAATATCTATCGATTTCATTGCTTCTCTTTCGTTCTGAGTTATCTTTTTCTGAAGACTGGCATAAGCCCATGTTGCTATAATATATTTGTTTTAAAAGGGAATAAATAATGTCAATGGATTGACAGCTTATTTCAATAAATAAAGCCTTTTTATGTTGCTTTTTTGTTGTTGTTGCTGGCTACTTTGCTATGTTGTTTAATTAAAAAAAGGAAAAAAAAGAAAGAAAAAGAGAAAAAACGTTTTAGGTATATCTATGGATGTTTGTGTGTGTAAGACAACCGGAATTTTAAAAATAAACAAGCATGAAGCCATGTATAAATAGATATTTCTTTTCGTTTTACTTTTACAACAAATTAATGAATTAATTATAAAGCCATGACAGCAGCAATAGCCAAAGTAATGGTGAAGCCGAGCACGTTAGCTACCTTGACACCATCAGAGGTCTTACCTGAGGCAGCTTGTTGGGAATTGGTTGAAGAGGATGAAGAGCCGCCATTGGTTGTACTGTTGCTACTGACAGAGGTATTCGTGGACACTGGGACAGCTGTGTCTTGGTAAGCACAAGTGGTGTTGGAACACAAGCATTGACCAGCGATAGGGTCCCACCAGATACTGTCACAGTTGTTGGGGACAGGGTGGCGATACTTGGGGTCACTGCTGGCAACAGCACTAGATGGGGTTGGGTTATCGACCGTGGGTGCTGTCGAGGGACAGTTGTAACAGGTTGCCCAGTTCTGCACATTAAAGTTACACGAGTTCAAGAGATTGCCAGAAACAACTCCGCCGTTGGTCGTGATAGTTTCCAGTCCGTTACAGATTTCTTTTCCTGTGTTGGGTAAATTACACTGCATATAAGGCTGATCAGCTAATTTGCTTGCAGGAACAGGATTTTGCATCCATTGTAAGAGTTGCTCATTGCTAACGAACCAAACATCAGGCTTGCCTTGTAAAGATTTAATAAAGTCAACGACAGCATTCTTTTGACTGCTGACATCAGGAAGACCAGGAGAATTGGTCAAATGAGCTAATAATATGTTATTCATAGTACTTTTTATTTTTCATCACAACTTACTTGGATGGACGTAGATACCAAAAGGTTGACGGTTCCCATTATAATGTCTGTCAAAGTTAGTTTGAGACCATGTGGTGACATCAGAAGGTGTTCCAGCCAAGTAAACATCCATCAATTGAGGGATATCCTTGTTGTCGACAACAGCGTACATTGGGATTTCCCAGACACCTACATATGGATGAGTCTACTGTATAAACGAAAGAAAAAGAGAAAGAGAGAGGCACTTTACCGGGTAATTTAAGCTGAGAACCACACACGTTATTCCAGCAGTCATTAGCTAAACCATAATCCAAGGTATATGGCCTACAGAAATTAGAGTTAATATAGTGTATGATAGCAGTGTATCAGACATACCAGTAGCAATCATCAACAACGGCAGTAACAGAGGTATCATATTTAAATCCTTGCTTTGCAATTTCTCTCAATGTGTCCGTAGTATAATTCACTATTATTCATAAGCGTCCATTCTCCTCTTTTCTATTTAAACTTACAGAAAGGAGCACGGAAACCCTTGATTTTACCAAGAGGCACACCGCCATATTGGTTCAACATGGCACGAGCAGCTGCAATTTCTCTATAGTGTCACATGTTAATGCACTGTTGTTTATACAAATTAAATAAACTTTACTGAGCAGAAGGAGATCCAACATGAGTAAATGTATGACTATTAAACAAAAAAGTGTAAGCAAACATCAATAAGATATGTATAAACTTACTCGGCAACTTCATTTCCATTAGCATACCATTGCTGGACAAGAGCAAAGTCGGTGTATTGCATGGAAACATACCATGAGCCCTAGAGACGATGTTAAAAAAAAGTCGCACAAAGGGTTATTAAGCTTTACCTTTGCAGAACAACCATTGGGGTTCCTGTTGTATATTAAGGAGATATTGCATTAGTAAAGCATAAAAGAAAGTCTAATCAATACTTGCTTCACATTGAGTAAATCCTTGGCAGTAGCCAACAGATTAGGTTGAATTGAATCATCAAATGTGATAGTAACGAATTGAGGTACATCCTTTGGACTGAGGCCTGCAGGAGGGGATTGGGATGGACAAAGACAGTTTGGTAGCTTACAACTGTTGGGATCACAGGATGAAGTAGAATTAGTTTGAGCTTGAACTAGAGTTGTTGCAAGAGCAATGATAGCAGTGCTAATACCAAACAATTTCATTTTAAATGTATGAAAAGAAAAAGAAAAAGAAAAAAGAAGGAGTATAAAACGAATGGTTTTCTCCTTTAAATAAAAAGAGAGACAACAGGTGTCAAGATTATCCCAGGGACAATAATCAAACTCCTCTCTCTCCGTTTAAGCTCGTGTGGCTCGACTTTTTTTGAATCTCCCTGTAACAGCAGTTATTTGTGCTACATTTATTGTTTTCTCTTGAATATGTCGCTAACGATGATACGTTTTGTATGTGGCAACCTCATTCATTTGTATTTATAGGTATACACTTCCTTTTTTGGTTAAATTTCTTAAATTAAGACTATATATGTTTAAACAGCCGCTACAGTCGTACCTCGGTTAAATCATCCAAAGCCTGCATATATTCCCCAAGGAGAAAGAATGAGTGTCTCACGCCACATATGTTAGCTATGAATAATAGAAACAGACTAGATGTTTGTTCAAAAGAGCTATTATGAATTATATGACGTTAGATGGCATCACCATCAACAAAAAAAAAAAAACAGCTCAGTAAAGTGTAACGAAGCATGTCCCTGAATGCAGTAGGGATGCGAATAAGCAAGGTGAAAAAGAGGATGTCTATAGAGATAATTACTACGTCACATTTTTGTTCCGGAATTTTAGGCGCACCATACTTTTGCACCATCGTTTTACTTAAATACCCCACGAACATGGCTCTTTCCGCTAACGAATTTTCGCCTCCTAAAAAGACAACTTCGTCACCCACACAAACCAATAATACAAACTCTAACAAAACGTGGGCTCGCATTCTTCGAGGTAATGTGAAGACTTCTAGTCGAGGAGCTGGCCCTCTTACTACCACCTACCCTTCTATCACTTCTGTCACTGCCTCTTCCTCTAATTTACAACTCAGTCAGTTTGTTAATTACAGCCAGAGATCTTTCTTGAAAGAATCTGCTGACTCAAACCTGATTGACTTTACTCATGTAGCTGACAGACTCAAGTTTCTTACCGAGTCTTCTGTCGCTTGTAGTGGAGAAGATCATTTCTGATGTGTTATGGACGTCGTTCGTCGAGACTTTCACAGATATTTCGCTGAGATTCAGGCTTCACCTACATGTGAAAAAATTATTTGTTCTGATGGCATTATCTTACCTTCCTTCGATCAACCTTTTCGAGGATATCCATCTTTGCCTCCTGATGCTCATATCATTAAAATCGGCATTGCCAAATTTTCAGGGCAGTATGGTCGAGACAAACTCGGTTTGCGCGAACTTCAGCAGGACATGCACGCCAATTTGTCTAAATTTGGTCAAATTGTGGATTGTGGCATTGTACGTGACTTAACCGGCCTTTACACTGGTAGAGGTTATGCAGTATTAGATATTAGTCAGACAAACCTAGTACATGCTTTAACTCGTGCCGTTTCCTGGCAGTATACACCCTGCCGTACTGATCGTATGAACCCGACAAAAGTTGAAGTGTATGCTATATGGAACTCGATAGGACCATATTGTCGCTATTGTCACAGCTCTGAACATGCTCTTGTGGGCTGTGAGAAGAAAAATCGCATATTTTCTGTTACAACTGTAACGCTATGGGCTACTTGGCGCGACAATGTCCTCGTTGTAATGGATCTCCGTCTGGGGAAACCAGTAACAAACGTCTCTATCAGACGCCTATTCAAGTTCCCCTTACGTCCGTTGTTATTCCTGCCGAGCCCTCCATTTACCTACCACCGGAGCCTGATCTTATCAATGTCATCTCTTTGGAAACCTCTCCCGGAGTCATAACTGAAGAGATCACACGCTCTTTGGCTACGTCTTCCACACCTGTAGTTGAAGAGACCTCATTTTCTTTGGCTTCTTCTCCTTCACGTATACGAACGTCGGCAGTCTCTAAGTATGCAACGGCACCATACACTAGTACTCGTTCCCACTCGACTGTCTCTTCCCATCCGCGAGAATCCACGACTAAGACGTCCTCACCTCGCGCTACTTGCTCCAGCTGTAGTGCTGAGGGACATCAACGTAAGACTTCCAAACAATACCCACACTATACTGCTCCATCCAAAAAAGGAACCACTTCGTCCGTTCCTGCTAGCCCTGCAGTAAGCGCGATTAATGAACCTTCTGAGGATATTGATATGGATGGATCTACTGATGAGTCCCATGAATTGTTGCTTGCTTCACCTAACATTTTCATGGGTGATGTCGTGTTTGACCACGTCTAATACTAACCTTTACTCGTGAGATTACATTTGACTGAATTACATGTACCTTGATTAGCACCCCGACTTTTTCAGACAACTGTTTGAGTTGAAGTTACTTTTATGTTTGTTTTTATGTTTGAACAGCACTTTTTATTTAATTGATTAAAAATATGAATTATGACAAATGATTATATTTCTTACGTGTTTTGTTCCTTGCTAATGTTTTTATAGTTTACATAAATTAACACCTGGTTAAAAGAGGTACTGAACTCAAGGTGTTGCTTTAGTTTTTATAGGAAATCAAAAGGTTATTGCTGGACAAAAACTGAATTCCAATTTTATTCTGCTCTTTTTCACCGGTAAGCGAACATTTAATTAGATGTTTAAATATTTTTGCAGTTGGGAGAGATGTTGCCTTTTTGGTTTTTACAGTACCCAAAGTAAAATCACCGTTTTGGTGATAGCTTCTTTGTAAGCAATCACTCCAAAGACCCCTCTTATCGAGTTAGCAACTCTGAGAACGCTCATTCTATTCTGATGAATGCCTCACACTTTTATTCTATGTATATACTGAATAGTTGATTGAATAGCTCCAATTAAGAATGAGTAAGGTGTAAATGATGATTTTTTGTTTATTTATGGAAAGAAAGGGGTAACACACTTTTTTACGAAAAGCTTTGCTCTAGCAATTTCATTATGATTAAAAAAGGCTATAATTTGTATTACTATGAGGGACATTTTGTAGTTTTTTAGGCTCAATAAATAAGATTAGATATACTATTACACTTAATCAGACAAAGTGACCTTACGAAGATAAAAAAAAGTCTACTTTTTCCAGGAGAACAACATTGTGGTTATTTGAGGCGAGATTTGGTCTATGGAGTGTTCTTTAATGCTATACAATAATAGTTTTTATTGATTTGAGCATCTATTTTGTTACAACTATGATGTGCTTTTGGTTTACTGATACGATTTTTAACAACTTTTTCTACATGCAGAATGACCACATATGGTATGTTGGAACAGATTGATCGCCCTCTGACAACATGAAGAGCAAAGAAATTAACCACATTATAAAACGCCTTGAAATATTTTATCTCTTATTTTCTCTCTTTCTTTCAAAACAAAGTTGGAAGCCCCTTTTAGAAGTTGTCAAAGCTTTGTCAGAAAATGCAAAGTATCAAGCATATTAAATAATAATTACCCTGATTTAAGAGTAAGTGTATAAGACAGCCATGAATATATCTCTACTTTTCCTTAACTCATTTATATTAGCAATTACTAAGAGACATTGCTGAAGAGCAAACTATACTTAGACAAGATGCTTCTAATATGGCCTATTTTTTAACATGCAAGGCACTTGAACCCGACGAAACTGATGAGTATGTACTGAAATCGGTCACAAAGCCTCAACTCTGGGGCCATATGTATAGGATAGTTTCCTCTACACCTATTGAAGAGACTAGATATGTGGTAATTAGCAAACTTTTAGTTAAAAAGAGTGCGACTCACAATATTTTTAATTGCTATGTAGTTCTATCATCCATTCGTACAAGCAAATTTTGCCTCATTTGATGCTTTAAGGCGTCACCCTGTCACTGGAGGCTATATAGACAGTTTGTGAATATAAGTTGAATTAACTAAAATGAAAATGTATAGAGCACCTTTACGGCATACCAAAGCTAGATAATTTACATGGGGCAATAGCTACTTCATATTCTACTAAAATGTGTACAAGTAAGTATGCTTCAAACTGCTATTATCCAAAAGATTTTAATATACCTATCCTATACTTTAGATGTGAAAGGTCATTTGGCTTTGAACTTGCATATATTTCCCAAAAGAGTGATCAAAGGATATATAGGAAAACATAACGAAGATAATACTGATAACAGCGCCTATATTCCTTTAAAGATGAGTAAGTACATTCAGTTAATATTGAATAACCAATAACATTTTTTTAGGTTCCAAGATACTGCAAAGTATAACCACATACACACCTTTTATAGATGAAGAAAAACAAGAAGAATTTGATGGGAACATGGATGCAATTGAATTCTACAAGTAATGGTTTATTATAAATATGACATAGATAAGCTAAGAAAGAAACTACATAGCTTACAACAAGCAAAGTATTGTGAACTCTTTTCCCCAATGACGGAAGAAAAACTACAAGACTATGAAACAGCAGCCACAAAATCAGGACTGTACATTCGATATTTTAAATCGTTATTACAAGATATTGAAAACTACAGTGTTGATAACGTCAAACGATTCTCTCTACTGCCAATTGCACCACAACAAATTGGTAATTCTTTTGTTTTAAAATCAAAAACGATTAGCATTACTTACTATCAACAGTCCATGTCTCCATTTCTTCTGATGCTTTTTATCAACTCTTGAAAAGGGCATATAATGAAAAGTTCAACGTTCCAGACGCAACAGTTGTATCCGAAGGATCAAGCATTCGTCCAAATGTATAATTAACAAAACGAAGCCCATATCCTAAATTAATCTCTTTCTCTAAATAGGCAGTATCGTTTATAAGAAAAACAGATTATGCGAAACAGTACAAATATCTTATTTGGAAAGAGCAGCTCTAGGAAGAAATATTTAATTTAGATCATGTACAGCGAAGAAGATCAAGAGGTAACAACATATAGTATACTAAAGTACAAGTCTAAACGCTTGAGCTTTCTATAGTCCAAGATACTTCAAAGTCAACCAACGTCTGCTTTGATTACGGTTTTGAAACAGATGGCCATATGATCAGCCTACGATTTCGTAAATCAGTTTCATCCAGATCAGGTATGTAGGCATAGAGATCTAGTATCATGATGAGAATATAAGAGAGCATAGCTAATACGAACTTATAAATAGAACACACCGTCCACACATTTGATGAACTTAATAAGTTACCCCGGCGCCTTGATCCTTCCAACTGGACGAGAGACTTGTACACTCTTTCTAAAGAGCCAACCGGGCTTTTCTTGAACGACCGTATCATAGGAATAGATCCTGGTAAGTAAATTTATAGTTCTATTTTGTTATGACCTAAATATGATTTTTAGGACACCGAGACCTCGTTACATGCGTTGATACTGATTCTGAGCTTACAAGCAAGGCCCTAAGAAAAGCGCATTCGTTTTCTATTTCGAACGCCCAATATCAGTAAGTAATGTACCGCAAAATTTATAAATCGCTACTAATCCATGTCTCTTTCATGTAGAGAACAGTGTGGGTTTAAATGGGCAATATAAGCTGAGCTCAAGTCAAGAAAAAATGCTGCACATTCAAGCCATCTATAACCTAATACCTTCACCAAAAGTATTTTTCAGATTTAAGTTTATGGAATATATTAACGTCATTTCAGCAACTCGCAATATGTCAGTGATAATGGGAGGGTTTATATTATGATATGAATACTGATACATATCTCATAGTGTCTTTAACTTTAACAAAAAATAGACATAGAGAAAACAAAGGCTATATGTATTCCAATAAGAGGATTGCCTTGCACAATGTTACCGAAACAATCATTGGAAAACTTGACCACAGCGTAAAGCTTCATTCAAAACTGATTCATAAATCAACAGAGAAGAAAAGAAGTAACAGAAGAAAGAAAAACAAGATTGCTTCAAATGAAGGGTGTTGCCTACGGAGACGCTTCAATTTCTGCAAGCATGAAATCCAGAGCTCCAATACCAGTGAAGGCAATTTTTACAGCATGAACAACTGTCATCAAAACATCAATGAGCCTAACTTATCTAACTATAAGGGGGTACAAATGGCGCTTTCCAAAAAATGTATAGTTGTTAAGGTAGACGAATATAGAACAAGCAAAGTGTGCAGCAGCTGTGGTAATGAGTTACAAAATTGTTATGAACTAGCGAGCTCCATGGCTTGTTATCACAGGTACAAGATTAACCATAGATACCCATTTTGTGGGATATGTAGAATCTAAATCCTAATAATCATAGAAAAAGAAGAAGGCTGAAAAATGAAAAGAGAAGTAGACAAGTCTGTTTGGGGGCAGACAAGAAAATTATGTGCAAGAGTGGCGAGTGTGTCGAAAGAAGAGTACCAGGTATTTTCAAAGGAATTTAGAATGTAGAAATGTTAACAATGAAATAGCCCAGCAGCAGAGCATTTACCCATTGAATGTGTGCAGTCACTGTTCAGTTGGTAATCGTATGCGAGTAAGTCGAATATCTGTTTTTTATATGTACTAATAACTTGATACAGTTTCGATAGATCTGGAATCGAGATGTGAATGCAGCAAGGAATATTCGGTCAATTTTGACAAACTATATTTCATCTAGCTACGATATTCAATCAAGACCAGAATCACTTCAAAGAGGCACAAGAAATGTGTAGGGCTTTTAAGACAAGCCACTCAGACTTTTTTATTGGGCCTACTAATTTGGTAAATGGAAAACCAAAAAAAAGTGACGTAACTAATGTCATTTTTAGGGCGTGCGCTTAAAATTAGTCCGGAGTTATTGGACAGGGGGCGACTCATTGAACTACAAATCTTTCTTTCTTACATTCAAACACCATGCCTGCTGCTGCTTCCTCTGGATTGTCTCGTACCATTTACAACACCATCTTTAAGAAGAACTCTGTCTTTGTTACCACTATCTTTGCTGGTGCTATTGCTTTTGAAGTTGGCTTCGATACTCTTGCCGACAAGGTCTGGGATAACCTTAACAAGGGCGTAAGTTATGCTGTAAACAAATACACCCTTTCCCTAACTCATATTAAATAGAAACAATGGAAGGATATCAAGGACAAGTATGAATAAGCTTGTTTTCCAAACATTCAGCCTTAGAACCAATAAAATGAAAAAAAATACATCAACACACAGCCAGAGAGACTATATATACATATTACAGCCATATGCATTGACAGATCACTGCAAAAAGTTTATCAATAAATGTGGCTTTATTTGCTAGGTAGACTGTCTAAAATGTTTTTTGCAATCGAACGATAATGGTTTGCGAATGGACTATCGGGCTGTGAGATAACGATAGGTTTACCAGCGTCTGACAATTGACAGATATCAGCGTGAAGTGGCACTTGGCCTAGCAAAGGTAACTTCATTTCTTCGGCCATACGTATAGCCCCATCATGACCAAAGATGTGTGTTTCGTGTTGACAGTTGGGACAGATGAAGAGTGACATATTTTGAACTAGTCCCAGCACCTAAGTTTTTTTTTTGTTTTCTATTGTTATAAACTATGCATGTATGTAAAAGGGTCCAACTTACTGGAACATTGACTTTTTTAAACATGTTGGTACCCTTGACTGCATCAATTAATGCAATATCTTGTGGTGTAGAAATGATGACAGCTCCTGAGATAATAGCATGTTAATGTTTAATACATGTATTAGAATGCAACTCACCATCTACTACCACTTGTTGACTAATGGTCAATTGAACATCACCCGTGCCTGGTGGCATATCTATTACTAATAAATCTAATTGACCCCAGTCTACTTGATGCAATAACTGCTGTAATGCCTTCATGACCATCAACCCTCTCCACACGACAGGCGCTTCTTGATCAACCAAGAATCCCATGGACATACATTTGACGTTATAGTTGGTCAGAGGCACCAACCGGTCACCTTGTTTACATTAGCCATAGCAAAAGACAAGATCGTCCTCTTACCTTTCTCGGTTAAATCAGGCTCTCCTTTCAGATTCATCAATTTGGGTATAGAAGGACCAAAAATATCTGCGTCTAAAATACCCACCTTCATCTTCATGCCTGCTGCTGCAAGAGCAATATTGACTTTCATACTAGTTATTCCATTTTTCTTTCATACTGTTTTTAATTTTTATATTACCTGCTGTTGTCGATTTACCCACACCGCCTTTTCCTGAAGCTACTGCAATCACATTCTTTACACCTGCAATGGGCATCTTTTTTGGTAATCCTCTTTGTGCTCTGGGTATAGTAGGTGCTGGTTTATGACCTGGTAAGCCCTTTAGAAGCGATTAACTAAAGGCACAAGGTTTCTTTAATTTTATATTACTAGAGGATTTTCATGAAGTAACGGCCTAAATGTTGAAAAAGTTCGTCTTGAAATCTTGAACATGTCAAAACAATTAAGAAAAAAGGAGAGGACTTTTTTTTATTATTTGAGCGAAAGGAAAAAAGGACGCACAAAGTCGTGTCTGTAGTTGAAATAGTCTTTATATATATATATGTGTATTTTATGCAGAAACCCAATCAGCGACATAAGAGAAGTTTTGGAATTCTTGTTGCTCAACACGATTGAGTGTAGCATCAATAGGTGTGAGTGCAGGTGTTTCATTCGTGAATTCTTCATCAAAGTTTGAGGTATCAAGACGTCCAGAAACTGAAGGATAGAAAGGAGGAGGGATACGTTTGTTAAGGATATCCTCCCAAACGACACCACGGAAGAAGGGATGTCTTTTAATAGGAGCTGCATCATCAGGGCCACCACCCAATCTTCTATTAGGATCACGTTGCAGTAATTGCTGACAGATTGAGATTGAATCACTAGACATATTGATAGGGTATAAAATATCGTCTTCTAAAATAGCATCAAATATTTCGTCTTCATCTTCACCACGGAAGGGGGATTGTCCGAGCAACATTTCGTAGATGAGTACACCATATGCCCACCAGTCAACAGCACGACCATAGTTTTGTTCTCGCAAGATTTCAGGTGCCATGAATTCAGGTGTACCACAGAACGTTCCTGTCGTGTTGCCGTATCCCATATTTTCCTTACAGAGACCATAATCTGCCATCTTGATATGTCCATCCAAGCCGAGCATGATGTTATCCAGCTTGAGGTCACGGTAGATAATACCTTGGCTGTGGAAATATTCAAGAGCGAGCAAGACTTCACAGGCGTAAAATTTGGCTCGTCGTTCAGAGAACTGGCCTCGTTGAATGTGCCACATCAAGTCACCACCATTGACGTACTCCATCACAAAGTACACACGACTTTCAGTTTGGAAAGTTGAGTGCAAGTTGATCAAGAATGGGTGTCGAGCGCGATTAGCAGCTTGGAATACGCGTTTTTCGGATCGAACGCTAAAAAAGTAATCTAAATATGGCCGCATTTGGATTTTTTTTTTCTTGTTACCTTTCGATTTCGTCGTTGTCAATAATAAATCTCTTTTTCAACATTTTAATGGCGTAAAGTTGTTTATCGTACTTGTCTTCTGCCAACATGACCTTGCCAAAGTTACCTTTACCGAGAACAGCCAAGAAACTAAAGTTTTCTAATGCCACCTTACGTTTCATACCAGGCTGTTTAGGTGGTCCTTGCATGTGTTGTCCCTAAAGAAATGATAAGCAAAAAAGAAAAAAGAAAAGCATTTTTCTTTTTACTTGAGAAACAATTTGTTGTTGCTGCTGTTGTGGTTGTTGTTGATAAGGACTCATTGGCTGAGAAGGAGGACGCATCATCATTTGCTGCTGTTGTGGAGATGGCTGTTGTTGATATGGACTATATGGCATTTGGGGTCTCATTTGTTGTGGCTGTTGTTGAGGGTAGTATTGTTGGTATCTGGGATCAACATTGGGTTGAGCTGGGTTATATCCATATGGTGATTGGGGTGGCTGTCCATGAGGTGGGAGCATAGGAGGACGCTGTTGTTGTGATGGTGATTGTTGTGGTTGTTGCTGTGGTGGATATATCCTTGAAGGCTGAGGCATGCTCATGGGTTGTTGTTGAGGTGAATAAGGAGGATAAGGCTGTTGATGTACAGGTTGCTGATGCACAGGCTGCTGATGCACAGGCTGCTGATGCACAGGTTGTTGTGGATGAGGCTGTTGAACATTATTATTGTACATCGTAGGAGGTGTCTGAGGTACGGCAACAGGGCTCTTTGGTGGTGGAACAGGTGGTGATTGAGGCGATGCTGGACTTACAGAAACTTGGGAAAGCTGGTTCACGAGGTCTTCTTCAACAGATGATACGACTTCTTCTGTCTTTTCCGTTTTAGATATACGGTTGCTAGAAGATTTGGATTCCAATGTCTTGCGCTTAGCAGCGGCTTTGATCTCAGCAAGCATCTGGTTTGCCATTTCCATGCTAAGGCCACAGAAATCGGGAACATAGCGCTCGCAACGTGTGTGAGCGGTGATACCACACTCTATACGTATTACTCCTGCGTTAGATCTACATCAACATTCATAACAAAAAGTACTTACCAGAGCATTTCTTTGAACCACGAGAGCCCAAAGGCAGCATATAACCACAGTGACAACACCAATTAGCGCCGATGTTTGTGATGGGTTCGAATCTATGAGGAATCTTGTGGTTGAGCTTATCTTCGTCAGATACCTATGATTGACGCGTAATGATAAGCACTGTGTTTTTTTTACTAAAGAGAGAAATACTTACAGTTTCTGTAGAATTAGAAACACATTTGGTGACAACCTTGCTTGAACATTTCTTATGACACGTGTATTCACAATCTTCACATTGATAGCCGCTGTTAACAAAGAATTCTTGACAGAGAGCGCACTTCATGACATTATAGAATCTGTTTTCTACAAACTGATGTCCATTCACTTCGACCACTTCCTCACGACGTTGACGAACAGCACCAGCACGACCCAGTTTGTCCATAGGACGACGATTGCCTTCAGCACGGACAAAATTTAGACGAAGGGCGACTCTGCCAACAGGTTCAACATCAAACCATGCCTCAATACCGCCCTCTGCTTGGTTGACAACAGCGGGTTGAGGCAAGGTGGGGCTATCATTAACTGCACCTTGGGTCATCTGCTGTCTTTGTTCAGCCAACACCCACTGGGGTCTTTTTCTCTTTCTTAATCCTTCAGTGATGTCGGTAATTTTGAGCCAGAGAATACCGATGGGTAGAGATTTTTCGGTGGATTGATCGTATATGCTGATTTCAATTTCTGAGGCCTTATTGACGTGAGTCTCGCACAATTCGTTCCATTTATCGTTCTTTGAGGGTCGTGAACGAAAGACGATTTGATTATCGATCTTGACAAAGACGACTGTAGACGGAGTACGAATCAGACGAGTAGGAGCATGTGCTAGTTCACATGCTTCGAGTATCTCCAGTTGAAGTTTACCAGTTACTGGCCTTCTAAATCCAGGGGGTAAACGGGCGGAAGGTGGAGTCTCTAATTCTATATAGACGATTTAGCCCTTATAACATACACACACATACGCACGTACCATAGTCATCTTCATCGCCTCCTTCGCCAATGTATAAACTTTTGTATTTTCTCAAAGCCGAGTTCAACAAACTTAACTTTTCCATGCTCTCAGACATTTTGTCTTGAACGTCTGTACGATTTTTTCGATCTCCTGAAGGGTTTCTCTCGAGCACTTCGGCCATTCCTTTGATACCTTTGAGTACTGTCTTTTCAACATCAAGCTTATATTCCAATTCATGTAACTTGAGTGATACTTTGGGCTTATTATACGGAGTTTCGGACATCAAAAGGTCTAATAAAATCCATCATCAACCATCTCTCTTTTTTTTTTTTTCTATAAAAATATTTACCAAGGTTGGAGTACTTTTTTTTATTTGAGACTGATTGAACCAATGCTGTTACGTTGGCTGTGATCGAACTAGTTCTTGGCGGATGGTCTTGTGGTAAGGCCAGTGTTCGTTGGGGGGCATCTTCATTATTTTCGGGAGGCCCTTCCTCTTGTCTTAGCTCTAGTCGATGTAGTTCCTCGGTAAAGTAATCAATGTATTTTTGATATTCTTTTATCTGAGTTTCACAATCGGATATAACGTTCTTATCCTTTAATAAAGGACGCATCTGTATGAACTTGTCTCTCATAATTCGATTATGTTCGATTTTAGCCTCCAGCTCTGCTATCTAAAAGGGAAGAGAGAGAAGGAGACAAGGGTTATTTTTTAGATACATCTTTGTATTTTCTATTACCGTCATTGGATCAAGTATTGTTTATTTATAGAAGGAAAGAAAAAGAAAAAAGAAAAAAAAAAAAAAAGAGAAAGAAAGAGTGAACGAGGAGGGAAAGAAAAGAAGAAGAAAAAAAAAAAACATGTGTAATTTAATGTGGCACCAAATAAAAAAAAAATTGCAGTACCTTTTTCTTTGTTTCTTTTTTCTTGAAAGTAAACGCATATTTTGATTCTTCAAAAGCCATGAAGTAACTGTATTTAGCAGAGAATTGCTTTAATAAGGCCCTTTATATAAACTATGGTATTCCTTCTTTGTTTGACAATGTTTAACAAGCAAATGTACCATGAAACACCATTGCCCTGAACTTGTAACCTTCTTTTTTTTCGCACTAAATCAAGCGGATAAACTGCAATATTGTTGGTTATTCCGGATAATGCGCCACTTGTCATGTTATGTGTGTGGACTTGTAGTTTGATGACACTCTATTGTCGTCTTTTTTTTCTTTTTCTTTTTCAAACAAACTTACTCTCAAACTGTTTAAGTGCCCTTGACATATAGATCATAGCTTGAGAAAAGAGGTCCATATTTTAGCATGATCTGTATAATCGATGACCATTAACTCTCTGTAATTCTCTTGTTTGTAAATTTTAAGAATTGCTTGTGCAACGCTTGTGTAATGCTAAGATTTTTTTATTTCTTTATACTCTTGCAACTTGCTCGTACACTACATATACACATGTCCTTATTTTGTGTGATCCTTGTATACAGTCAGTTTGTAAGTTAACTCAAATCACCAGGCACTGCATAGCTACGCCGTCATTGCAGGAATATGAACTATAAAGAGATAATAAACCAATTGAAAAGAATTAGATATGGAGCAAATCCATTTTCGTTTTTCTACCATAATATTCCAAAAAAAAAAGACTGTTAGACAATTTAGCAAGAGACACACAAGTTGTGTGAATTTTGATGACATATTAGGACATGTTACTACGTTGATAGATCTCAGTCCTGCATTTGTTTAGGACAAGCAGAAAGAAAGTTCAGTATTACAGGCAGAAATATTATATTGGCCACGAGAATTGAATATGGCGCGTTACATACTTTGTCATATTATTCTTTCATATAGCAATAAGCGTTACCTACTTATTGAGCAGTGTGTCAAAAATTACCCTACTCAAGAAGACTGAGACTTGCCCTCAATTCTTCTTCTTTGACCAATCCTTTGGATTTGTAGAATGTTTATATATTTTACTTTCTCCCGTATGTACTTGACCAGAGCGAGTAGGACGGGTTTGAAGTTACATTCGAATCTTAACTACATCAAGAAGACTCACATGAGGCTCAGTCCTGCTTGATCTCTCGGTTGATTTCAAGTTATCTTGAAACAACACCTGCTACACCGCCACAAATTGCGAGCTTCTTACTCGAAAGAACAACATCGGTTGTATATGGAAGGATCCTTTATCTTTTTCATTTATAATAAAGAAGGAAAAGAGGAATTATAGATTCCCTTTTTTTTTAAAAAAAAAAACCCTTTTCGAAAATACATTTTAAGGAAATGCCTACTATACTCACATTAACGCGTTCTTCTGTCTTTATCTTTCTGTACAAAAAGCCAACCAATGGACACACCATTTTTCTGACTTGAGCACCTGTAAACCAGATTTAACACCCGCTTTCTTCCTTTTTACAATTATTTTCAATGGGAGACGATACACAGCAAAAGCAAGAAGAAAAAGAACAAGAACAGTATTATGATCAGATGCAGCAGTATCAAATGTCTTTACAAAATGATAGTCACTCTGTTATTCTCGTCACTGCAGGGTATGACAACACGATTCGCTTTTGGGAGGCTCTAAGTGGTATTTGCTCCAAGACAATCAAACATTCAGATTCAGTAATGTAATCATACTTTAAGAATAAAAGAGAACACAAAAGAAAGAGAGAAAACTAACCGTGTTATAGCAAGTCAACCGTTTATGCATTTCACCAGATAAAGTCATTTTAGCTGCTGCAGGTAACTGTCCTTTCTCTCTCTTTTTCTTTGTTTTGTTTACCCTTTTTATATTTATAGGAAACCATTCTGTTCGATTGTACGATATTGCAAGTAATAATGACAATCCTGTAAGTAAAAAGAAGAAGAAAGAGGGAATGGTACATATTGACGTGATGAAAATCAGTTTGTTGTATTTGGAGAGCATACTGGAAATGTGATCGCAACTGGATTTCATGGAGAAGGTCGTTGGATGTTTACAGCTAGTGAAGATGGCCATCTGAAGATATGGGATACACGATCTGGTAGAACCCCTATCTTAACAAGAAACTTTGATAATGGTTGTCCTATTAATGATGCTGTCATGCATGCCAATCAAGGTGAACTCATCACTTGTGATCAAAACGGAGCAGTCAAGATATGGGACTTGACAGCCCATTCATGCACCCACGAGCTTGTAAGCATAGAATATATATCATATGTGTGTATATGAAGGCTTAATTTATTTTTGTTAGGTTCCAGAGGAAGGCGTTGCCATGCGTTCGGTGACAGTAGCATCAGATGGATCCATTTTGGTTGCTGCCAATAATAAGGTACATTTAATGATATAAAGAATAGACATTATATTTACATAGTGAAAAGGGAACCTGTTTTGTATGGAAATTAAATAGTGGACCTGATGGAAGTGACATTGAACCCATTCATCAGTTTCAGGCTCACAACAACTATATCTTACGGGTGATGCTCAGTCCTGATACAAAGTAAGTCATCTAATATTTAAAAGACAACACTAATAAAAGATAAAGACTATTAGCTACATGTTCAGCCGATAATACAGCCAAGATTTGGAATACGGAAAAGAATTTTGAACTTTATTTAACTTTACAAGGTCATCAAAGATGGGTATGGGATTGTGCCTTTTCAGCTGATTCAGCGTATCTTGTCACAGGTATTATAGATAATGTACATAAAACGAGAATGTATATATATATAACACTCCATAGCTTCATCGGATCACGTTGCCAGGCTATGGGAATTGCAAAATGGAGAGATCATTCGACAGTATAATGGACATCATAAAGCAGCTGTATGTGTTGCACTGAACGATTTATCGGTTGGATATTCTTAACATACATATATTTATAATGAATATATGTATGTATACCTAATTATGATTATTTTGCAAATAAATCCTTTTCAAATGGGAATATAATCGAGCGTATTCCTCGATATGTTTCAAGTAAGATTGGGTCTAGTTTTGGTAATAGATTCTATTTCATAACTCAATACACATCTCCTTATAAACACATGCATATTCTTACCTCGTATACGATAACCATTTTATCCTCATCTTTGACAATGATGGCAATATATGACTTGATCTGCCAAAAGCTTATCCCTTCATGTATTATAATATCCTCAATTTTTAATATGTCAATAAATCGTGTCACTGCTGATCCATCCCAATATACTGTTTTTATTTGTACACCAAGATCCCTTATCGCCATAATGCTTTCTATTCATTGTCGGTTATTATCATCATTGTCGTCGTCATATATTGTTTATACTTACCTCGTCTCACTTGCCTTCGCTTCATTAAAAACCAACCAAGGAATAATAAGCCTGCATGTTTATAGTAAACTGCCTTTTTTATGATAAATATATCAGTCCTCATTCTTTAATGTCTCCCTCTGTCTTCATTCTTTACCCAAATAAGATATGCTGTAGTTATGAGACATATCAGATCGAATATATTAAAAGGTCGATACGACGCATAAACTGTATATTCTCGTGTCTGTTCACCCTTGAGCACACTATAATTTATTGAGCCATCCTTGTGCTTTTCTATGGTTACTGTCTTGGCTGATGATGGATGGGTTTCCATTGAATTTATAAAAAAAAAAAGAGAAAAAAAAGGGAAACGCTTCGTATATACAAGCATATAAAGTAGCAGTCATGAAACATCTGTTGCACAGGTGGAAGGAAAAAACTCACTCTTTCTTCCTTCCTCTCTTCCTTTCCTTTTTGCTGTCAATAATTTTTCTGTGTGTCATGGGTAGAGCAAGAGATTTAGACAACTCTTTGGACGAGATTATAAAGAACAAAAATAAACGTGGAATAAAAAAGGGAACACCCCATATTACACGACAAAATCAAACCAGGCAGTATTCCAATGCCACTCCTCAACAGAGAAATCCAGCTATTCGAAGAATGGATAACAGAGCCATTCAAAAGAGAACCTCACATCCAATTAATAACAGATTAGGAACTAAAGTACCTCCTTCTAAGCCAATGACAACACAAATCAAAGGAGTAAGTAAAATACTTGTAGAATATGCGAAAGTGACTCATGATGTAAAAGCAGAGACCAGTTGGCCCCATCATCACAAAAACTATTAGGCCTACAAACTATACTGAGAATGTTGATAAAAGAAAACCGTCGATTGACCCTTCAACCCTGATCATCACTAAAGCTGTGACTCCGGTTACCAAAAGTAAAGCACCAGCAAGAGCCAAGAGTCCACCAGCACCATACCCACCTCAAAAGCAAAAACAACCAAAGCAAACCCCTCAAACAATACAACAGGAGCCTGCTGTTGTCAGCACAGTGTTTCAGCAAAAATCAATAGATCCTCGAGAACGAACGAGCATCGTCTTACTTTGCAATCTTGATCCCAGAGCAACTGCAGAGGATGTTGGGGTATTGTATATTACAATATTATAGACAGTTTCCTCATCTTTTTTTAAAAAAAAAAAAACGCAGGAAACTTGCAGTATGTTTGGACCCATATTGAGCTGTGATATGCTCTTAGATCCAATGGGAAGGCCTTTACATGAGGCAGAGGTAGAGTTTATGTATCCACAATCCGCTCAGGAATGCGTAGCCAAGCTAGATGGGGAAATTGCAGATGGTAATTATCTATTAAAACAATCTCTACTTCTTTTTTTAAAATATCTATTTATTCATTAGGACGAGTTTTACGTGCTCGGCTGCAATACAGACCAACACCACCTGTCGTTCCACGATATTCCTCAAGAACTGTCGGCGTCTCAGCCAGACTTGGATTCAACAATGGTACACAGTAAGTGTTGCTTTCTTCTTTTTATTGTATTATTGCTAGACTCTTTTATCCAATTAGAGACTACATCCCGTATTTACAACGTCCGTATTAAAGAATAAAATAATAAGTTGGCATCTAATGCAGTGTACAAAGTAAAAGGCATGTTCTTGTTCATCATTCAAGATGTTATATTTTTATGCTGAATGGATCTATTAAGAGTCTCTATACAAGAAGACTTTGTAAGATAGTTGATTAAACTGAATGATTCTTTATTTCGATAAAATAGTAAACTGCTGACATGACCTAATAGCACAGTGCGGGCACAATTAATACACGATTGAACATTTTTGTATATCGATACTTGGTTTTCCAGATATTTCGAAACTCGGCATATCTTCATATTATATGTCTCAATTGCCTTGTTTCTTACATCTTCTTTGGTAACAGCAGCAAATAACGCTTTTTAGAATGGATGATTAGTTAAGGAACTGATAGTTACACCACGAGGTCCAAAATAGCTTGAATGTATTCTTTGTAAATGACCCTTATTGAAAAGACTTTCAAAAATTTTTTCAAAAGAAACATTGATTAACAGAGTGCTATCAGACGGTGAGGAGAAGGTGATCGATGTTGTTTTGAATAAGAAAGGCTGTTCGGTACAATTTCTTGTAAAAGTATGCAATATAGTCGAAATAATAACCAAAGAAGAAAAATACAGATGGTGTTGATAAGTCTTTATAAAGGCGAGAGGATTATTACGAACAGCGTCTTTTTATATGCAAACAGGAGTGTTACCTGAATCAACCACGACGCGCTATATGAACATGTTTTGTGGCTAGTCTCTTGGTATTATCCATTCTGATAGATTTATAGTAATAAGGTTAAGTATATATGGGGTAAATACGACAAAGTGGATTTGTTTTGCCTTCTAGAACGACTTTCTTTCTTTCTCTCATGAAGCATGCTCGCATTTCATCACTTTCTTGCTTTTCTTTAAACTTTCTACTTTTCCTGAAAGCTCTTTAACCCTGACTTTAGCACCAGTTACGATTCTTCTGGATAATCTTGAGCGAGATATTTCTGTCTGGAAAAGGGACAGTTATTTTCAAGTTGCTCCAAAAAGGCATTTATCAGATATTGATCTCTATCTTGTGTTATACAGGTAGGTTTAGGTGCTGAGTCAAGCCCTTCTTCCAAGTTTCCATTTGACTGGGAGCTTTTCAACAGAGAGGAATATGCTGTTTATTTCTTGTCGGTACTTCTTTTGAAGAAACTTTGGACAACCTTTTATTTAAAAAAATTGGAAAGAAGAAGAAAAGCTTCGTAGATATCCTTTGTAGAACACTTTTTATATTCTCATTATTACTACGGGAAATTTTATTTGAAATTCTACAGCCAAAACTTTATATAGTAGTACATCACCTGTACTTGTCATCGATTCTGGTGGTTTTATTCAAAAAAGCTTTTAAATATGAATGATACTACTGCTCTTGTTTGCTTATGAATGCAATTTAATCCCTAAAGCTCTCATTTTACTTTATAAATTCTTTTGTAAAGAAAGAAAAATCGCACTTAGAGCTTTTGTAAGATTGCCCTTAAACTTGTGTTACACTAATTTTACCGCGTAACTATCATTTCTGTACAAACCGATCTTTCTTTAACCTGTTCTACAAGGCAAATTTACTTCTGAGGCAATAGGACTTCTGATGCGTAGAAACACGAGATTGCCACCTCAAAAATACGTATAAGCTGATTTCTTCTTTCTATCCAGTGTAACGAATGTAACTATCTCCTTCATTTGCAAATTTAACCTGAATGACATTATCGTATATTAATACCGTATGCTCCTTTGTGTGAATGTTGCGGTAAAGAATGCCGATAGTAATAGTCTGCAAGTTGATATGCTTTGTGAATCATCCAGAATCTTTAGATGACAGAGATAAGCTAAAGAATACTGTGCTTGCTATAAAAGTCCGTCTTTTTGTACCTGTGGATAATGTTGATTTGATCAGGTGTATGTTTTCATTGTATTCCAAGCTTAAGCTTTCAGTGAAATGGATTTCTGAGATCACAAGGCTTTGATTTCAAGATGATCTACCCTGGTAACTATGTGATGACAAGAGATTCCACTGATAATGACAAACACCTGCCTTTCCTCTATCTTTTTTTTTTCTTTTATCGCTACTCTCTCTTTTAGATGTTAACATATTTGACCTTTTTTTTTTATCAAAATAGAATGATGATCTATTAAGCTTTTGCCATCATATTTCAAGAATATCGAGTTTACGGAATGTCTTTTTATGGTATTACCATGGCGATGTGTTGCACTTGATTAAAAATAGTAGTAGTCTTTTTGTGCAAGGTCTTACGTAAGCCCGTCTAAGTACATTTTGTATCACAGCTTGATCAATGCTGAACACGACTTTTTCTTACAATGAAATACAATTTAAAATCGCGGTTAAATCTGAGCCGAATCATTTACCCAATCAGAAAGAATACACATCATTTTAGATCTATTCCAACACGTTCATTTACACAAATTAATAAATTTGAATAAATCAAATCTGTTTGTGAAATGCACCAAGAAATAGAGAAGAGAATACGGCAACAACTAAAAAGGGCTTTGTTTATTATTATAATTACTATGATTATTATTAGTAGTAATAGTAGAAGTAGTAGTAGAAGCAATGATTGAACATATTTACACAAAACATAAGCATATAAAATATAAAATAAATAAAAACTATACATAAAACTATGGTTGTTCTGTGTTGTACTTAATGATTATCTTTTTGAGAGCAAATGGCAAGACATGCCATTGAAATACTTTGATATCCTTTTCTATATTCCTTGGTTTAGGATTACTAAATGCCATGATCAGTCTAAAGAACTCTTGTGATTCTGGTTTGGTTTTGCTAACAGTAGTAGGGCCGAATCCTTCAAGATTACGTCGAATGCAATTCTTGTAGTCTACGCTAAATGGTCTACCCACTAGAAACTCTGCTAGGTTGATACAATCAACAGACGTGATCCAGTAACTGCCTTCATCTGGCCATCGAATACAAGAAACAATGATGGCATCTTTCTTACTGATTTGATTTTGAGAAACTGGCTCGAAATCACAAACAATTCCTGTGTGCTCAGTGGCTCTTGTGAACATAACCAAGCGACGATGGTTGCTAAACTCTTCTGGTGTCCAATCTTCCTCCATCGTCTTTATACAACCATTAATTCGAAAATTGAAACCAATAGGATTGTCTGGATAAGGATTGTAATCATTCAAGGCTACCGAATGAAAATCGATAGGTGTTCGTCCATATCCACGAAAGTTACGTGGCATACGTCGAATATGTGATCTTGGTGAAGTAAATCGATCAGGTTGTGCAGGAAACATGGACTGCAGGTTGAATGATGAAAAGTCATAGTTCAAAGGAGCTTGATTAGGCATAGGACTATTATAGTTTGTATCATTGCCGTATGGAAGCATGTTTTGAAAGTCGTTGCTTGTATTTGTTAAAGATATATGGTTTCCTGGGTTATGGCTTATAGGACTATGCTGTTGTTGTTGAGATGTAATTGCATGGACGCTTGATGATGTTGTTGTCGGTGTTGAATAAGGAATGTATTCTATAGACTATAGTAAGTATCAAGTTTAATAAGTAGTAATTATTTATTACTATTAGCGCTATTATTGATGCCATTACTAGGAATAAAGAAATGAGGGTCGTTGGGAACTCGCTGGTTTGTGAAATCGAGTGGAAAGAATGGCGAGAACTGTTGCTGTTGTTGTCCTGGGAATGTGGTGCCTATATAAAAAAGTCAATATCAATTCATTTGTGGTTCAATAAAAGTGAGAATGAGAATGAGAATGTTACCTCTTCCAGAAGATGGAAAGGACGAAGTCAAGAAATCATTGGGCTGCTGAGAGATAAAGAGCGTTTGCATACCTTGACTAGCTAAAGACATGGTACTATTAGGCAAAGGGTTGCTGTCTGATGTTTCGTGATTAACATTATTTCGAGTCTCGTAGGTAAAAGAGCCAATTACATAGCCACAGACGGGGTTGTATGGATTGTTTTTGTCCATAAAAACAAGTCTAATCTGAACCGTATGTGTATTTGAAGCTACTTCTTCAAATGAAGGAACTTTGGTGACTAAGGATACCTTTCCCTGTGTATTCTGTCGCTGAGTCTCAACAATGTATTGATTGAAGGCAATTTTAACAGGAACAGGTATGTATGTATGAACAATGACGGTAAGAGTTTGTCCTTCTACTCCGGATGGTGGGAAAATTGAATAGAGATGAGGGTCAGCATTAGGAAGTGCTATGTCTTGATTGACATTGCACTGAACTACAGGCATCCGGGGACGTACTTGCTGTCCAGACACTAAAGAAAGAGCAAATGCTATAGAGAAACAAACATTAGTAAGATGATTAAACAAATGCTAATCACTTTACTATTTGAATTGTCGATCGTATTTGAATCAATTGGCATGTCAGTTTGATAGAAACAGTAAGTAACAGATCAGAAAAATAACAATTATGACCGAAACAAAAAATAAAATAAAAACTTAATTTTCTTGGTCTATTTATACACAAGCGGGGATCTACAATAGAAAAAAGTGTTCTATATGTTTATGCCGCATGTTTGCTAGGGATTTCTTGGGTTAAAATGAGCCACATGATTCTGAGTTTTTTCGGCTGTCGTCAAATGTAACAGCATTCATATACTCTTATTGGATGGGATACTCTACTTCCACTACGAACACATACATTGACAGATTACACTACAAGCATAGTCCTTTTTCTTCATTAAGCAAGTCTTAAAGAAAACAAAAGGCAGAAAGGATCAAGCCTTTAGGGTTTCTTTTGATGTTTCTCTCTTTTTTCATATACACCTCTGCAAGATGATACCATTCACTCATTTTAATAGCTGCTATTAGCAGAAAGACTGGAACCCTAGATTGATTTGTTCCATTTTTGTCTCTCTTTCTCACTTTTTTTCCATTCTACCTTTTCCATTTTATAATTCTTGGTACGCTAATTTAATAGTTACAAATTCACCTTTCCTATTTTGCAAATGACAAAGTTCATTCTACCAATGGCATGTTTTCCTGTACTGTCAAAAAGGGAATAGAATAATGTTGAACAAATATTTTGAATGTCAACATATCCGCGGGAAGCCAAGACAAGGTAAGAAGGCGACAGTAATTGATCAATTGCTTTGCAACGCCACGGCATCTGTGCCACACATGAAGGCATGGATCGTTTTAATTAACATTTTGCATTTTGTGCTTATGTAGTGCTTACTGAACTGGGGACGAGTGGTCCTTGTATGTTACATTTTTTTCCATTGAAAGTATATATAGACTATGAGTGCGTATGCTCAAGTGCACAAATGTGTAGACGTATAGCCGTATGTGCTTATTAAGAAAGGGTGATTATTCATGTATGAGAAAATAGATGGACGTGTCTGAATGATATGTAAATTCATAACACATCCACTCTTGGTTGCCAGTGAGGACATATTCCCACTTTTACCAATCTAATATTATGGGCAAATCAAAAAAGACCAAAGGAGCACGAGTTAAACTCATTACCATAAAAGGCATTTATTGTACGAAAAAGGCTTGCATTGTACAACCGCATTTCTATTAACAATGAAAGGATACAATAACTGTTGCCATGATTACTTGATAGCCATGCCAACCTGATAGGTATGACATTGGTACGGATGTTTGTTTAATAATTTTGGTATATTTCGCGTCTGTAAGCAAATGACGCAAGTCGAACACTTCATGCTGATGAATGCACAGCATTGACTTGCCTTTTCTCCTTTTTATTTTATCTATTAATAATCATCATATCCAGATCTTTCTTTTATTAATTCAAGCGTCTTAAAATGGAAACCCACATCATCTACACTGTGTGAAACTTGTTTTATGTCCAAGCTTGTCATTCAGGGTCCTTTTTTAATCTTCTGTAACACAGCATTGCTGGCATTTCTTTCATTTATTTCTCCAAGTCCGCTGTTACGCCAACGGTAGCAGTGGTATAGCATGCTTATTGATGCTAAAGGATAGTGAGCCTGTCTAGTAGCTTAGAAGGCAGTATGTTGAAAGAAATCTAGAATAAAATATTCATTGGAGTATATGCCATGATCTTTTCTAAAAAAAAAAGTCAAGCACTCTGTTGATTTAAGCCTTTGAGAAATGATGAGTAAGATCAATAGACGAAATTTAGTGGTCTTTGTTAAATGAAACATGGAAGCAATTGAATGTTTAGCGATAGTTACACCGACTTTATTTGCATAAAGTATTAAAACTAATGATAAAGAAGCCAAGATCTCCAAATGGCGTATTTATCGCCTGATTTTAATAATATTCTTAAATAGGGGGCTTATCACTTTTATGAATACTAGATATAGTTATGGTTGTAGTCCCTGCACTTAGGAAGGCATGGCAAAGGCAAAAATCAATAATTTACAGAAATTAAGTAAAACCAATCATTTTGTGTAAACACAAAGAATACCTCTGGAGATATCCACCAGGGTGCCTTGAACGGCAAATAAGCCTCCCGTTAAACATTTAAGTTTCTTGATTTGAGGTATATACGAAAGGTGATCACTTGGTCCTTTTCCTAGAAGAAAAGCTTATCAATGCATATTTTCTCTTTCTTAATGAGGTATTTCTGAGGGAAATCTCTAGATGACGATAATTCGTGGCATTAAACACTGTACTAACGATACCCATAAAGAGATTTGGTCCTTCTTTTGAGCTAACAAGCGCTAATTATCAGGACATGATACCACTATTGCTATTTAATAAAAAAAACCTCCTCCAGTCTAAATGGATCCTGGTAGCTGTACGTTGTCTACGCGCATATACTCTCGATATTAATTAAGTTTGTTACACTCATCTTGTTACTCGACAGCTTTATCGGGAATATTTCAAAGTCTGTGTGCATCAGATGGCGATTTAACCAAATTAGTATATAAAACCGGCTTCAGCAACCCAATGATTACCTTACATACTTTCCCGCACGGATAAATAGGCGCTTATATATCTTCCAGCGGATAATCTTCCTACGGTCAAAACGCTAGAGATCATTACTTTGTCTTAATCAAATGATGGAGCATACCTATTGTTGATCGTCATGAACGGACGCCGGAAAATTTAAAACCAATATAGGCGTGTAACTACACTGGTGTCGGCATTTCCTCTCTGTATTAATTCAGTTGCTTGAAGCCTGAACATGAAGAGATATTTGAATTTGCTTAAGCATACGATAGCAAGAATACTCTAAGCATGCCTTAGAGTTTGCTCTCACTCCTTCAAAAGATAACACGTAGCTTCGGTGGTTGGTAAAGTTGGCTTTGATCCTATCCACAAGAACAAAAAGTCATTCAATAATACTCTCACCACTATTTTCCTTTTATGATTATTCAACACTTTCAATGTAAAGCTAAAAGACCATTCTTGATGAATACATATTAGCCTTCATCCATCACACCTATGCAAGCATTTACTGTTTGGACTCCCCATATTCAACATCATATAAGAGAAAAAGGTCGTTTATTTAAAGAGGGAAATTTGATGGTGTAAGCTGAAAACAGTGTGGTATTTGTGAACAATGAAAAGTATTTAAAAGAATGGATGTATATGTGTACACAATCTCATTCTTAAATGAATCAAGCTGTTGTAATTAACAACATGTTATCTAGGGAAAAGGTAAAAAAGGGTGGTCTTTTAAGGAAGACCAAGCCAGCTTATCATTGTAAAAGAAGAAGAAGCTATTCTCACAAAAGTAGTTTCAGTTGTAGAAGTACATCATGTGTTTTCCTACATTCTACACAAAAGCGAACAATTCTACTATTCAATCTGGTTGCGTAGTATTTCCAACAGCCATGAAAAAGCCCCTTCACTTTTAGCACAGCTCCAGTTTCTTAGCACCGTTCCATGTAACACAAGGTTGGCTGATGAAGGTACTATTTTATGACGTTTTTTAGTGCTTTATAGAATTGATAAGAGCATGAATCTAGCGTTGAGGTCATTATTACACATCCAACGAGAATAATTAAGCATTATTATGAATTAATCATTGTTAAAGATCTACATTACCATGGAGTGTTTTTATTCCTGCACCCAAGTGGGAAAAAAAAAGTCGGGAGATAAACTATGCCAAGAGTGTCCCCTTTATCTTTGATAATGAAATATACTCATAAGCCCATAAGCCCAATTTCATTTTATTAATTTCGAATTACAAAAAAAGATGAAGATATATATTTACATTAGATTAATAATAAAGATAATAATGAAATAACACATAAAAAAGAAAAAGAGATGATTCTATATATACACGAGTGTTGACTCCTTTTCTTGCATTAAACGGCACAACGTGGTGTCAGGCTTAATCGAACAGTGCGTTGAGGCTGGTCAAATATTAATATTTCCAATTCTTTAGCTTTGGGTGAATGCTCGGGTTCTAGAGAGTAATCTATCGATCCAGACGATGAATGAGTTGAAGAGGAAGCAGAGGAGCCTCGACGTTTCCATAGGAACGATAAAGAGTGAGCAGAGACGACCTGATGGCGTCGATGATGATGGTTATCTTCAATACTCGGTCTATTTTGCTCTTGGCTGGACATTCTACGTGCCTGACTATAAGTTGCAGTTGTATTCAAGAATACTTTTTCGTCGTCGCTCAAGTATGGGATGTGGCAATCAGTCATCATTAATTGTGTGTAGTGCAATTTTATATAAAAAAAAAAAAGAAAAGAAGAAGAGAAAAAGGATCACTGTTTATATTTACTCCAAACGGGGGGCAAATAACAATCTTTAGTGGGCGCGTGGATGATTTTAAGGTTTAAGTTTATTTGCTATAGCAACCAAAGCAGAAGGTCAAGATGACGAAAATAGCTGTAAATTATAATCAACTTCTTCTTTTTTTTTTTGGCTCCTTTTTTTTTTTCTTGTTCAACTTTCCCCCTTTCTTTTATGTAAATCATGGTTAGAAACACCCCTTTTTGGATGTAAATCATCACTTTTTACACACATTACGTCTTTTTAAGCGATAGTCGTTAAACAATAGATAAACCAAAAAAAGAAATTCTTTGCTGTTGCCCAATGCACTCGCACCGCAAAAGTTACATCACCTTAGAGACCCTTTCCCCCTTCTGATGAGCCAATCAAAAGAAGAGGGATCGTGTGGACGTTAAAGTGGCATTCCCACCCTTTTTCCCTTTTACTCTTTTTCTCCCTTATGCATCTTTTCCTCAACCTGATTGGTTTTGTTTCCCGCGCAACTAATGTCCTGCAAGGGGTCTAGAAGGAAATAAAGAGGAGATCATCATATTATTATTTTAATTTATGCAAGGCACACTGCAGTGCAGCATACTTCTAATTTATTAAAAGTAATATATACTTGTTATATTTAATAACGTGCGCACTGACAATTGTTATAACAATAAGTGCCAGCGCCTAAATATCATGGTTAGTACACTTGTGGTTATGATAATGTTGTCTATTTACCGTATCTGTAAACACAGTCTGAGTTATATCGACTATGATCAATATAAACCGATTAAAATTTCATGCAGGGTTATACTAATGTTTTTGCTTTTTACCAATTACAACCATGATAACTACTACTTGTTAAACCTGCAGCCAGTCCGACTACTAGCCCAATAATGATGCAGCAGCAGATTGCTGAACATAGCCGCCTCATTATCCCAAGTCGTCTATTCTCTGGAGGCGCATAAAATTGAACCACTCTCTGTCCAATTGCTGGTCCATGCTGTGGCGGTGGTTGTGTAGGAGGCGCATATTGCGTGCTCTCGGGAGGAGGGCCAGGAGGTGGTTGGTAGTATGTTTTTCCAGGCGCTGATTGTTGGTAAGCTGGTGGTGGAGGTTGTGTACTTGAATTAGTTTCCATCGTTTTTACGGTAGACGAAAGAAATGCGCAATTATGAAAAATGATACATTTGTTTTGAAATTTATACATAATGCCCTTGCTGTATTGTTTGACACATTTTCCCTGCAATCTCTCTTTTTTTTCCCTTTCCTTTCTCATAATACCTAACGACAGCTCTTGTAAGCGCATTTAGATCAGATACTTTGCGTATCTCTACAGTTATATAGAGTAGAATCCATACAATGAATAATAAATTATGATTTCATTATGAGCAGAGTGGTTTAAATGAATTTCCTTATTTGGAATCAATCACTTCATGGCGTAATAACCACGAAGCCCTTCCTATTGTTTTAGTCTCAACAAGCCATAAGGAGTAAATAGGATATTTGATCTGATCAAAAACAGTCCTATCTTCATTTAATGTAAAGTTCACAAGTGATGTTTTTGTTTGGGTCAGAGCAGGCATTTTTATTTTATCAGATCACAACATCAGGGATAGATGGTATCATGAGGACCCTGCTTCATCACCTACAACAAATTGCTCATCGTGATCTAAAGATGAATACGCCCAAATGGATTACTATTTGTGCCCTATTGTGAAAGTTGTTCTCAGAGAGTACATGTGTTCCTATTGGAACGATATCTGCCTTGAATAACTTTGCAAGCTGAGGTCGAAAGAATGCCTGATAATTTTTTTTTATATTTATAGCATGGCTGCAAACATTGGAATACATCCTATGTGAAATCATTAAACCAAATGAAAACCAATATTGCTGTTTACTGTTTTGTATTAGCTATCCTGACTCTTATTTTGCAATTGAAATCACTCTACAGTGAAGGTTTGATCCTGAGCACGGGAATGACTGTCAATTTCAATGGGAACGCAGTAATAAAAAAATTTTTGAAGCCGAAAAACATTAAATAGCACAAGGAATCTTTGCTTTCTTCTTTTTTTTTTTTAATTATCCCCCAAAAAAATGGTAAGTTTTTATTTTCAAAAGGAAGGTGATGTTATTTGTTATGAAAGGATGACACAGGCATTTGACTTTAGCGTTGCGCTGACGAAAATCACTAAGCTACCTACTTATTTCTCTGAACATAACAAATACATCCTATATATTTTGTATTTGAATCACTTTACTCATTTCTCTTTGATAGGTTTCTTAGGCTATTTTTTTGTTATAAATAAATAAAGTATTTTTTTTTAAAAAAAAACACGTTGTCTTTGTAAAGTGTTGGGTTAAGCCACAATGTTTAAAAGGGTATTAAATTGACAGGTCGATCCTTTTTATTACTATTTATTTGAATTTTTTCTTCGTTTTTCTTAATGGAAGAGGATAAATTAATTCTAAGCTACCACGATGTGGTCATTCGACAGACTGTAAGCTCTGTTTATATGTCATAACAAATACATATTAAATAATAAAAGGATTTGAAAACATTGGAACCTGGACAATGGCTAAATGATACTATGATTTCGTTTCATATGGAATTTCTCGAGAGAACGTTTGTTCCCAAGGAAGCCAATTACTTATTTTTACGGCCAGGTATGGTACAATTGATCACATTTATTGAAGGTAAAGCAAATAGAAAGAAAAAGAGAATCATACATTGACTTTATACACAAGGTGATGTCACTCAGCTTGAAGCTGTATTACCTCCCAGCATGGAAAAATACGAAGCTGTGTTTATGCCTGTCAACGATGGACAACCTTCGGCTGCTTATAGTGGAACTCATTGGTCACTGATGGTCTTTATTCGTACCACAAATTCATTCTACTATTATGACACATTAAGATTTAATAATTTACGCGATGCAGAGTTGACTTGTAAACGCATTCAACCACTGTTGAAACTCGATAAACCTGCACAATTTATACCTTCTAGTGCTCCACAGCAAGATAATGGATCAGATTGTGGATGTAAGTTTGTAAAAGTTGTCATTGAAATGGCTCACCTCTTTTTAGTGTATGTAATTGCCATGATTGATTACATTTTAGAACGATTACTGAAAAGTCGAGGAAAAGAAGATATAGCTTATAACAAAATAATGATCATAAAGCCTAAATACCTTTCCACACCAAAACAAATCCGTGATAATATCAATGGTATGATCAAACGACTTCAACAGCGTCAGTTAAACAAGAGTCATAAATAAAAACTCAAGGCCAATCAAAATGGTTAGATTCTGTAAATTTTTTTTTTTCTGCTGCTGGCTCTTGAATCTACTTGAAATTTTTTTTCTTTTCCCCCCTTCTCTCTTTTCTTTATTAAAAATAGGTAGCGTATTCAAACTGTTTAATAGAGCAAACACATATATATTTGCAGCTCGGCATTATATTGTAGAAAAAAAAAATAAAAACATTCAGCATACAATGATGACATGAGCGAGTGAGAGAGTGTGAGAGATGAAGAAAAAGAACGAAATAAGCCACAATTTTGGCAACCCTTCTTTCTCACCTTTGCTCTCTCTCTCTTTTTTTTTACCATGACGATGCTAGAATGAACTCATTTATATATTTTTTTTTTCTACATTTCCCTTTTACGCTCTTTTCTTGTACATCAATACTCATCATTTCTCTTAGCTCAACATGAACGCTGATAAACTCGCCAAGCTTCAAAACCAAGTCCGTATTGGTGGCAAGGGTAAAATAGCAAATAAACGCGTATAAAACGAATATATACTAATGCATAATAGGTACTCCCCGTCGTAAGGTCAAGAAGACCAGCGGTAAGACCTCTTCCGGTGATGACCGTAAGCTCTCTGCTGCCCTTCAAAGCTTGAAGGTTCAACCCATTGCTGGTGTTGAAGAAGTCAACATGTTCAAGGATGATGGCAAGGTTATCCACTTCAATAACCCTCGTGGTAAGTTTATTGATTACAAAAAAAGGGAAAGGGGATATTGATCATTATCTTTATACTAGTCCAAGCTGCTCCTAACGCCAACACCTTCGCCATCCACGGCCGCTCTGTTGAAAAGGAAATGGCTGAACTTCTTCCTTCCATCTTGAGACAATTGGGCCCTGACTCCATGGCTGCCCTTAAGCAACTCGCCGAATCTTTCAAGCAAGCCCAAGGTGGTGAAGCCGCTGGTGCTGATGATGATGAAATCCCCGATTTGGTTGAAAGCTTCGACAAGGTTGATGTTGAAGAAAAGAAGGAAGAGAACGAAGAAAAGAAGGAAGAAGCCTCTGCTTAAACTTTTTGAACAAGAATAAAAAAAGTGTATATCAATAAAAAGTATAGCTTGTCTGTTAAATTAAAACTACTTTTTTATTCTAAAAATGACTTTTTTTCGGGAAAGCATAAATAAATATATATATATATAGTACACAAGTTGAATTGATGGAAGCCTTTTCAGATACAGGCGCATTTTAGGATTATTTTTTTGAGGCATTTTTTTTTCTCGCAAAGTGAAAAGGCGATAATGTAAGCGTTGAATGCTTGGACTCTTGCTTTGTTAATCTAGGGTGTCTTTAGTTTGTGATCAATAATATTGCAATCTGGTTGAAGAGAACGAATGTGTGTTGTTATGTATCATCGGCATATAAACTTGACTCAGAAGGAGAGCCAGGAGTGAACTTGTAAGGAAAGTGTTGATGCTGTTGATTAAAGCTTCCATTGGTAGTAGAGCGACGACGGTGATCGTGAATTGAATATAAGAAAGGTGTTAATTCTGGAGAAGCAGGAGGAGTGACGAGAGAGGTATTTGAGGTATTAAACAGATCATTTGAAGGCTTGTTTTTATAATTGCTGGCAATGTCTTGAAAGCGACATGATTCAGAGCAATACAGACTATTGTCGACACAGTGACGATCGCAGATGATACACCAAGAAAGATCCATTGTTAGCAATAAAGAACACAAATATTATAATGATAATAATAAAGAAGGGGAAATACAGAAAAAGACGGCTCCTTTTTATAGTTCGCAATTTAGAGTAAATGTTAGTCATACTGAAATAGAACGTTTTAAACCCAGCAAAAATGAGTAATATGTATGCAAATATGGTCTTAGATCTCGCCTTGCAGGCTATCGGGGCATTTTCATTGGCTAATCATAAGTTGTTCGTCATTTTGAAAACAAGAGTCATCACTGAATCATATTCTTGCTTAATGATAGAATGCAACTAAGGATTATTTTTAATGTAGCGGAATTGTAAAAAAGATCACCTTACTCATTGTTTTTGTAATTTGTTAAAAATAGCATGATGTTTTGCCTATCGGATCATTTCGTGTAGAGGTGTAGTCATAAGGAAATGGGGCAATGGAACGGGGAAAGATGTTGTAAAACTTTATTTTTTTAATACTTTATAAAAACATGAATATGTAGTAACCATAGTAGCCGGAAATTAATATGTTACCATCGGAAAACATACATGATTTCTTATCAGATCTTTTTTAGTACACTTTCACCCCCAGTGAAAACCAAAAAAAGAAGATCTGATAATTTTTTTTTCCACGGGCTGAGGGCACATGCAATAAATATTTACAGAAATATTAGAAACACGGGCCCTGTTATTAAATTTCTTGGCTTCTTTTTAGTGGAAATAAATATCGCGTATTATCCCCGCGTGTAAACTTTGTTAAAAAAGAGTATCAGATGTTTACCTACATGCAGTCATCTTTTTTTTTCTTTTTTATATACATAGCTTGCATCTACACAAAGTGCTAAATGGTTGTGAACAGTTTACTACCCTTTCTAGTTTGTGGAAATGCATGATGTGGCTGTATTCAAAAGTAAGATTACAAGTAAATTCTCAATATAAGGTTGGATATTTTATAGTATATTTATGCCACAACTGTCAAAATGGATGGAAAAACTGGCCTAGTCATGAATTTTAACAGAGTGTTTGTTAATCAGCCTTTCTAGAGAGAAATGTTTGTTATCTTGTTTCCTGTTGCTTAATAATCTATTGGTTTGGGACATGCTCAGTATAAGCACTCCAATTTGCCGAATTTAAGCACGGCAAAGTATTATATCCAATCATTGTTCCTTTTAATCAGCCGTGAGTCTATTCTCCTTTGTAGTCTTGTGTATAATGCCGGTTTACGTTTTACAGGCAGTGTCGCTATTAAAGAGCTATGTAACTACTCTGTGCTATTGACGTAAGATATAAAGTAACCATGTATGCCGGCAAGAAATTCATATGTTATAATCGTACAACCCCACACCAACTAACATTATTAATTTCCCCGAATGTCCCACGCATTGGGATGATTTTTTTTCTTCATTAAAAAAGATCTGATAAGAGATTATCATCAAGGAAATGATTGACGCATCTCGGGGAAGACGGGTAAAATAAAACTAATTTATTAAGTTATTCCGGGCGGCGATAAACAGTCTTTGAATCGGCTTGATTGACAGGAAACACTAGAGAAATTCTCAATATTCTGCTCTTATTCTCTTGTTTTTGTAACTTACCAAGCATATCTTGAATGTTAACATGAGGAGGTCTATTAGCAGTGAAAACAATCAACTCAGCTTTAAAAAAAAAGTGTTAGTCTGGTATTTATAGAAAGTTACTTGCATTACCAATATCTTCAGCAACAAGTGGTTGGAGTCCCTTGTAAACATTATCGGCCTTATCCTTGTCTCCGCGGAAACGAACAGTAGAGAATTCAGTGTTGACCATACCAGGACAGATTTGACTGACACGAATTGGTGTATCCACAAGCTCAATGGCCAAAGCCTTAGTGATCGCATCAACTGCAAACTTTGTAGCTATCAGGGATGTATCAGAATCTCCATTTGCTTTTTGTGTAGTCATCTCGCTTACCGCAGTAGATACTGCCACCATAATAAGCCTGCTTTCCTGCAATGGAGCCAAGATTGATCACGTGGCCAGTTCCCCGCTTCTTCATGCTAGGCACAATAGCCTTTGTCAAAAAGACCAAACCTTTGATGTTGGTCTGTATCATTTGATCAAACACTTCTTCTTCAATATCTACTAAAGGATCAAGACCAATGACCATACCAGCATTGTTCAGCAACACATCGACATCCTTGACAGGTTCCGGTAGTTCGGCAACAACTTGGTCAATCTGCTTCTTGTCACGAACGTCCAATTGAACAGTGTGAATATAAATGTTGGGATGAGCAGCCTTTATTTCTTCTTTGATCTTTTCAAGCTTCTCGAGTCTTCTGGCTGTCAATACCTTTTATATATATATATATAATGAGCTCCTCTTTTGTTATTTTTTTACATGTGCTCATTACCAAATTACAACCCTCATCAGCAAATTGACGTGCAGTCGCTTCACCAATACCAGCAGAGGCGCCGGTGCTATGATGTGTTTAGATAGAATAGTATTTAGAGATATTTTACTTACATAAATACAGTCTTTCCTTCAAGTCGTCTCATTTATTTAATTACGTGTGTGTATAAAAAGAGAGATAAACGATTTCAAACTCACATCTATCTTTGTCATTGCAGATGGTGTTACCTGAGATTCGTGTAGTAAGCATATTAAAAAAAAATGAAGTCGTTACCCTTATGTACTCAACCAGTTCAAATAAAATCTCCTCGGACCCGCATAAAATATGTCTTTAATCACAATAGCATAAATTAGTAAAAGCTCCAATATCCTTTTTTAATCATTAAAATACTCTATGGTCCGTTCTCTTCTCAAGTTATCATTGGCCTCAGCCTTTGCTCTGCTTGTTTTTGCCCAGTCTGATGAGCCTACACATATCGTAAAATTTAAACCATATGTCAGTAGGACTTCAGGTAAGAAGAAAGAAAAAGCAACGAGATTATTTGTTAATAATTAGGATCTATGTGTGCGTGTGTATCTTAGCTCCTGATATGCTTTTGAGTCATCATCAAGACTTTTTAACATCTGTTCGCAAGAAAAAGTTTGTGATAGGAGCAGCCAATCATAATGAAACGATATCGACAACAGCGATTGCCCAAGATATGGGTCTGAATCATATCGATATTGGCAATGACTTTGTTGCCGTCGCAGGCGTATTCTCCGATCATGCGTTTTTGGACTATCTCTATCAGCAGTCTACAATTGAGTACGTTGAACCTAACCAGATCTATCGGACAACTATCTCTCGACGCTCAGATTATGAAGAGGAGCAAAGAATTCAACGTGCAGACATAATGAGCTTAAAATCAGCTAAACCAGCTAATTGGGGATTGGCGAGAATCAATCAGCGTCAAAAAGCAAGCTTTGACGAGTATATATATGATGCTGTTGGAGGGTAATTTATTTAATGCAAAAAAATATATAATCAAAAAGCTCACCATATTAAAAATAGGCAAGGCATTGACGTCTACGTGCTCGATACAGGTGTGTACATTGATCATTTAGACTTTGATGGTCGTGCCTCGCATGCTATCAACTTGATACAGTATGAGGACGAAAATGACATGGGCGGTCATGGTATGAGGAACTGGTTACGAGAACCGTTAGTATCATATTAACATGTTATTTAGGAACTCATGTTGCGGCCAAGGTAGCTGGTACAGAATACGGTGTTGCGAAAGCAGCCAACATCCATTCTGTCAAGATTTTGAATAAGCTGGGTGATGGAACGACGACGACGTTACTGAAAGGCATTGAGTATGTCATAAAGACAGCAACACCCGGTAAAAGCTTGATCAACCTTTCCTTGAGTGGGCCGCATTCACGACTGATTGACGATGCCCTAAACTCACTCGTTCTCAAATACAACATTCCGGTCTTTGCTTCAGCTGGTAACGCCGGTACCGACGCCTGTTTTTTCACCCCGTCCTCCAATCCTAACGTGTTCTCTGTGGGTGCTATCGACATAAACGATAAGGTCCCTCGCTTCTCTGACATTGGTGAGTGTGTTAGCATTTATGCTCCTGGATCAAATATCGTCAGTGCTTACCTTGGAGGTAATGATTCATCAAAAGCTATGGATGGTACAAGTATGGCCAGCCCTCACGTTGCTGGTACGGCTGCCAACATAATGGCAAAACGAAAATTTACGACAGCCCAAGAATTATATGATGTTCTTCGATCCTTTGCTACAAAAGACGTTATTAATTTTGATAATGGAAAAAGCTCAAGCCCAAATAACAATCTCTTGGTCTATAATCCTGTCTTTTAATAAAATCAGGCTCCAAGAGCAAGCTTTAGAAAAAGCGTTTAATTTCCCGCACCAATCAGTACAGCTGTACTTCGCATAATCCTTTTTTCATTCTCTTTTTCTCTTTCTTTCTTTTTTTTTCTATATTAACTGTAACCCGATGAGTAGACCCGCTTCGCATGCTGGTTCTTGGTACCAAGAGGATGGTAATATCTACAAGATTGATATTTAATAAAATAATGACAGAGAAAACACATGATAGAAAAAGCACTTGATCAAGAGCTGAACAATTATTTGAATAAAGCTACTGAAGCCATAACTACGAAAGGACAGCAACTTCCTATTCAAGATGTCAAGGCGATCATAGCTCCGTAAGCCGCTTTATGACGTCAAATGTTCAACGTATTAAATAATTACTAGACACGCAGGCTTTCGATATAGTGGTCCAACATCTGCATTCGCGTACACATGCTTTGATACAAAAAACATGTAAAGAAAACAAGAGTTATTAAGTAGCTGAATAACTGACTCTATATTTACAGAAAGCGAGTCTTCATCCTTGGCCCATCTCATGTGTGTGCTACACGATACTGTCTACTGTCAAAATGCAAAGAGTATGAGACGCCACTGGGTAGTCTCAAACTAGACCTTTCAGTGATTGAGGAATTGTCCAAGACAGGATTATTTGCTGCAGCTAGTCCAAGTACTGAAATCGAGGAGCACAGTATTGAGATGCATTTGCCATTTGTATACAAGGCTTTCGAGAGGTAAGCTCAAAATGAACTATTAATGCGTAATCGTTTGATATATGTTTTATATATACAAATATAAAAAAGCAAGATATCCGATATCAAGATTATTCCTATTATCGTTGGAAGTCTTGCATCTGATTCTAAAAAGGAATATGCCAAGGCACTTGCACCTTATTTGAAGGATTCAGAGACTTTATTCATCATTTCATCTGATTTCTGTCATTGGTAAATGCATAAATATGTAGCGTGTCCTTTTGATAACACTGATTATAGGGGCAGAAGATTCCGTTATACCTATTACAACGAGAGCAGAGACGACAATGAAGCAGTTGAGTTGACCAGATCCAATGCCAAAAAAGTAATCGGTAGACCCATTCATGAATCCATTGAAGAACTTGATCATCGTGGTATTGAGGCCATTGAATCTTTGAGCTTTGATCAATTTGAGAGATATTTAAGTGTGACAGATAATACGATCTGTGGCCGAAACCCGATCGGCGTCTTGTTGGCTGCCTTGGAAGAAATCAAGCAAGAAGGTTATTCTGATCAGTCTGCCAAGTGCTTAAAGTATGCTCAAAGCGAGAGATGTCAAAGTGTAGAAGATAGTAGTGTTAGTTATGCAAGTATTTATATACAAGTAAAGCAATAAAGCTGTGTGTTATTATTATTATTATTCCCAATTTATTCAGTATCAGAAACAGTGCCAATCAATGAAATTTTTTTATTTGTTATTTTACCCCAGGCAACCCTTGAGTTGACAAACATTTGGACAAGAAGAATAGGCCCTAACAAAATGTGCGTATCATCTTTTTTTGGAAAGAAGGCGCATTTCAAATTTACTTATAGATTCTGGATTTTTCAAGGCCGGGACCTTTGAATGTAAAAGAGATTTATAAGGACTGAGTTTACAGCTTAAAAACTATGGTTGATCATTTTACCCTTTTTTTTAATGAAATGTATTAAGGGGAGAGAGAATCATCTGTTATTATTCTCCATTCAATTGGCGAAATAAGATCTTCCCCTTCTTTCTTTGATCTGTATTTAAACAAACTACACTTTATATAATCCATAATTCAAGGAACACAAAGGTTAAATTTGACATAGCTAATTTTTAAATTTAAAAGCAGCCATCTTTTCTCTTTTTTTCCCCCTTCCCTCTCTCTTTTTCTCTCTACAAACAAAATGCAAGAAGACATTTCAGATAGAATTACAGCTGCTCGTAGAGAGGCCGATATTTTAAAAGAGAGAATAAAGCAAAGAAAGGAGGCATTGGCTGATACAACTTGTAAGGAGTGAAAAAAAAAGATATATATGTGAAAAACTAATATTCACATATTAAAGTGAAAAAAATGGCACAGGATATTGAGTCATTACCAAGACTTGTAATGAAAGTGAGACGCAATTTACGTGGACATTTAGCCAAAATATATGCTATGCATTGGTCTAATGACAGTCAACATCTTGTATCAGCCTCACAGGACGGGAAACTCATTGTCTGGAACGCATATTCGACCAATAAAGTACACTGTATTCCACTTCGGTCTGCGTGGGTTATGACGACAGCTTATTCACCTTCTGGTAACTTTGTTGCCTGTGGTGGCCTCGACAATATCTGTTCAATTTACAACCTCAACTCGCGCGATGGACCTAGTCGACCCGCCAGAGAATTATCTGCTCATGTTGGATATCTTAGTTGTTGTCGATTCTTAGATGACCGCCATATCTTGACCAGCTCAGGTGACATGACTTGTTTCTTGTGGGATATTGATGCAGGTGTGAAGACGCATGAATTTACCGACCACCAAGGTGATGTGATGAGTGTGTCCATTAGTCCTTCAGATCCAAATATTTTTGTTTCGGGTGCATGCGATTCAACTGCTAAGATTTGGGATATCAGAATAAGAAAATGTGTGCAGACCTTCCTTGGCCATGAGAGCGATATCAACTCTGTACAGTAATGTATATTTCAGATGACAGCATATAATATAGCAACAAGCTCACATCACTTGTAGGTTTTTCCCTAATGGTATGGCTATTGGTACAGGATCTGACGATGCAAGTTGTCGTCTATTTGATTTACGAGCAGACAGAGAATTAAATACATATGCCAAAGAAGACATTCTACACGGCATTACCTCTGTGGCATTCTCCGCTTCTGGGAGACTCTTGTTCGGTGGTTACGATGATTACAGTACACATGTCTGGGATACACTCAAGGGTGACCGTGTAGGCATTTTATCCGGGCACGAAAATAGAGTCTCATGTCTTGGGGTATCCAAAGATGGTATGGCGCTATGTACAGGTAGTTGGGATAGCTTACTTAAAGTATGGGCATAAATCATTATTTATTTTATACCGTCAGTACGGTTGGTTTTATCGGATTTTGAATCTATTGTCGGTGGTTTAAAAAGTTTGGGAAAATCACTTTTCATTTAACTGTACAGTTTTTTAAGACTAAAGTAAAATTAAAACTCAGGCGTTATGCTTATCTTTTTATGGACGAAATGAGAATAGAATTCAGGCAAGGGAAATTAGAGCTTTATGTTCAAACTTCTTACCTTTAAAAGTCTTAATTCTACAAAGAAGAAAATCGTACAGTTACCCCATTCGACTTCAGATGTGGTCAATGCTCTCTGAGCCACCCTTTTTTATTCGTAGTTTTAAACTGATAACAATAAAATACAAATTTAAGTTTTATTTACTCAGAATCATCAGCTTCAAACACAGCACTTTTTCACTTGTTTCCACTGGAGGGCGAAAGGAATACTTTTTGAGGGGTGATTTGGCGTGGTGGAGAAGTGCAGCCTTCGGAAGTATACGAGGAAGTAGTGTCAACCAAATTGTACTTCGATTTACTAAACTCTAATGAGCAGAGTTCATATTCAGAGTCATCTTGTTCTGAAGTAATCAGCAAATCAATTCTTCTTTCATACTCTGTATCAGACTTGTTCAGAAGCTGCGTTCATTGCGTGCTGATTAATGACATGTTATTAGAATGATTATCTCATTAAACACATCAATCGTCTTCATTCCAAATTGCAGAGCTTTCTTCGATTGCTTTCGTATTCTTTTTCACAAAAGAAGTGAACCTGGGTTTCGCGTTTGATTTTGCGTAAAATATCAATAATTCATTGGTAGTAGTCATTGTTTGTGTGTCATTATGAAAAACATTAGAGATGGTAAAATATAATGAATTCAATACAAGTATTTTTATTGATAAAGATTAACAAATATATGCTAGTTATTTGTAGCAGACCTTTGGACTGCGTCTTTAGTGAATATGTAGCGAGTGGTCTTCTGATCCCACGTTGATACTACATTTTTTAAAACTCTTTTTTCCTTATCATCCATAATGGAATAAAACATTTAAAAATGCTTTTTGAATGTAATAAATTGGGTCACTCCCAACCACTGACGTAGACAGTAAAATGGCTTTCTCTTTACATTCATTACTGCAACCTTTTTTCTTCATGTGATTCCTGTTGTTGATTTACAGTTTTAGGCAAAAGCAAACTTGTCTTTGATATCAACTTTCGACATGTTTTCTTGGCTGTTGATGTCTATTTTCTTTTTCCTTGACAGTTTTTCAAACATCGCGCTTTTACAGACACAGCTATCGCAATATTTTCTCATCTGCTTTGTTGTCCAATCATTTGTTTGCTTTTTATAATCCATCTCTTTCTCTTCTTTTCTTTTTTTTCTTTTATCAATAATGTCTGTCACTCCTGTTAGTAAGTTATTCTGATGATAACAGTAGAAAGTATATATTAAAGATGCGATTAACCAATAGACGCTGATAACGCTCCTGCTGCTCTTGGTCCTTACTGTAAGTTAATACACATTGACGCGTATATTTATAAGCGTTACTAATATATGTATTAATAAACAGCCCACGCTGTCAAGGTCAATAACCTTGTCTATACCTCTGGTCAAATCGCCCTTGACCCTGCTACTGGTAAGAGCTCCATTACCCTACACATATACACATGGCTCACTACGATGACATTAGGCGATATTGTAAAAGGTGGAATTAAAGAACAGACTGAACAAGTTCTCAAGAATCTCGAAGCTGTTTTGGAAGCCTCCGGCTCCAGTTTTGACAAGGTAGTCAAGACAACTGTTTTCCTCAAGGACATGAATGACTTTGTTGCCATGAACGAAGTTTATGGCTCTGTGAGTGTACTTTATGTTTTTTATAATGTTTATTCTTATATATCTGTACATAGTTCTTCTCTAGCCACAAGCCTGCTCGTTCTGCTGTTCAAGTTGCTCGTCTTCCAAAGGATGTCGATGTTGAAATTGAATGTATTGCTTTGACCAATTAAATATGTTACATGATGTTGCATCTATCATTGTTTTTCTTTTTGCCTTCTATTTGATCGAGCTCTTCGATACGCTTCTGAGCATCTTTTCCGATTTTCCCTCCAGAAGCACATGCCTTTTCTAGCCATTTACGCGCCTCCTCAAGATCCTTCTTGACGCCTCGACCTTCGGTATACATGCCTGCTAAATTAATCTGAGCCAGCTGAAACCCTTGCAGGGCTGCCATTCGAAAGAATTCTGCTGCATTAAAGTGGTTTATTTCCACGCCATGTCCTCTGAGAAACCGGAGGCCCACATTGTACTGTGCCTCGGGCATACCCTTGACAGCCGCCTTTTGAAAATACTTGAACGCCTTTTGTTGATCGGGCTCACCGATCAAGTTTGAAGAATGGTACACGCCGAGCATAAAGTTACACTGAGGGTTTCCAGCTTGTGCACCCTGTTTGAAATACTCAACAGCCTTGACATGGTCTTGATGAATACCAAATCCATGTCGATACATTCGTCCGAGCTCGGTGTAGGCGCCATCCATGCCTGCTCGGCCAGCAAGCTCATAAAGCTGGATAGCTGCATCGACGCGGCTTGGTTGTGTGCGCATGATGATCGCTGCCAGGTTCATTTGTGCATAAGGGTGGCCCTTTTGGGCGAGTTGAGACATGATCTGAACACCTCTTTCTTCATCCTTGGGTGTACCGCGATATCCTCGATAAACCATGTTGGCATAGCTAAAAGCGCCTCTATCGTCTCCCTTTTCCATGGCTATTCTATACAGTTCCAGTGCGACCGGTGCGCCGTCTAGAAAGGTACAGATTAGATACGATGTTTATGTTCTCTTTCTATATATTACACTGCGACATCTTCAAGACAATATTTCCAAACGATACAAGCTGGGACACATCCTTGTCAACCACTTTACAAAAAAAAAAAAAATAATAACCAAAGTTTAGCTAATATTCTTTCTTTTGTTTGCCTCCTTCTTACAGTTCAATACTTGATCTGTATCAACAGGTGTGTCATTCGCTATGTGATCGAGTACATGTTTTACAAGCGCTTGTTGCTTTTCGATGGTGAGATGAGTCTGCTTATGCTGAATTAATAGTTCAAGCTGATGTTGATCAGGTAAAAGATCTATTTCCCCCAGGTTGACATTGTAAGTTTATATATAGTAAAATCATTTAAAAGCTCTACCTTGAACAGTTTTCTTGGACAGCCATTGCTTTGGTGAAATGTCTTGTTGCCCTGTTGAATCACTTATTATGCCATTAGAGCCCTGATATCAAACATAAATAATAACGCATACGGCGAGTTACTGAGAAAGGGCTCGAATATACCGCCCATAGATGCTTCTAATTTCTTTTTGCTTGCATAACCTCTTGCAATGTTTAAAACAATACCACGTCGAGTAAAAACAGGGCGCAGGATATTGAAAAATACTTGTTGTCCTGACATAATAGTAAAAAAGAAAAAAAAAAAACAATAATAATAATAATTCACACTCACCCTTGCTTTCTTTCTTGGGCGGCCTTACTCAACATATCACACATTTGTTGAAAGATACAATTTGGCTTCTTTTTGTTCGGTGGTTTTAAGAATAAACAAATAAGCATGCGATCCTGTGATAAATAGCTTATATAAATGGAAAGAGTCAAGTGAGCTCGATATCTTTATCAACTGTGGCTTTCGAATAAAATTAAAAAAAAGAGCGTTCAGCCCACATGCACCAAAATAGAATATAGAACCTGTTTATTTCAAATGACGAGTAATGAGGTGTAGGATCAGCTTGCTTATACAACAATTGTGATGCATTATCTTTATCCTGGTTACGCAATTGTGTACACAATTCTGTTTTATTTTTCATTTTATTTTTATTTGGTCCTTGATAAATTCGATGAGGTCAAAGAAGCCAACTGGCGTCATCAATACACTTTACGCTAAAAATATGACGTCAAAATAATCCATTAAAAACTATTGCTTGGACACGCCATTAAAAAAAAGGAGATGAAATGCTTTATTTAAACATACAATTGACTATTTTGGTGCATATGGAGGCAGGAGAGAGGGGTGCAAAAGAGCGAGGGGTAAGGATGAGAGGGTGTACATGTGAGCTATTTCAATCTCCTTTATATTCAATCTGTCAGTTCAGGAACGCCGTTAAATAATAAAAAGGGATCACCTCTTTTTTTTTTTTATTGCTTCTTTTCTAATTATTTCCACAATTAGGCAGCTCGTTTTTTGTAACTTACTTTTTCCTTTTTTATACACAAGTCATACCCTCTTCTATCCTTTTTTATTACGCTTTCTTACTGTCAGTACCCTTTTTTCCTTTTTCTTTCCTTTTTTCTTCATTGATGAAACACTACATGGATCTTGAAAAGAATGGCGAGGTATTATATTGTTGATATAAAGTGTATTAAAAATAACTCAGCTTTATGCACTGCAGCAAATGTTATACGATGGGAATTCGGACTCAATATATTACAATCACTGGGCGATAAATGGTACATATTGCATTCACATAATTTTATATATAAATAACTCACGTTTGAATAGATTATCAATACATCATTGACAACTATCCAGTCAAAGTAAACTAATTATTACTGCACGATAATCATGTATTCATATCTTTTTTACAGCTTTGTACATCCTATTCTACGCCTCTCAGTAGATCTAGTTCAAGCACCACTAAAGCCAGTAATCAGTCTATGGAGGATTCTAGAGAAAAGAACCAATTGTTAAGAGAACTATATCAGATAAAAAAAGACATCATCAAGTTTAAAAATGAATTAAATGGTTTAGCAAGACAAATGGATGGCATGGAAGTTGACCTTGTAAGTTATAAAGCTTTGATATAATCTGATCAGAGACTAATATATTCAGTAGAATGTATCAAAAAACAGGGTTCGTAAGTGGTATTTACGCATGAATGACGATAGTTTTTTTTTCTTATATAGTAATTATATAGAGGAAATTGAAGAGGATATAACAGCAACGCAGGAAGTAAATGTTAATCTTCAAGTATTGCTAGAAAGAGCTGTCAACAAACAAAAGGAAACTGACGTCTATGCAACCAGAGAAATGAAAAACATTCACTCTAATTTAGCTAATGTAAGTCGATTTTTTAAATATAAAAAATCAGGATATAAATATAAATATGCATCAGGTGGTTTATGAAACAGGGCAATTAAGGTGGAGATTAACCTCGATTGCTAACTATCAAAGACAACAACAAGGGAATGTCATTGATGTAGCTGAAAGAATACGCGAATATAGTGAAATGCTAGAAGAAGCCATTCAATCCTTACAGCGAAAGCCACGAAAGTCAATAACAGCTGATACCAAGAAATCAAGCGAATCATATGCAACCACACCTACTAAAAATAATAAGCCTATCAATACAGTCAATACCACAACTTCTACTACTACTACTACAACAACAGTAGAAAAAAGAAAGAAAACTTTTGTAGATAATAACGAATTATATAAGCACCGAATCATTAGAAAAAGAATATCTAATCCAGAAATGAATCAAGCATGGTTACCTCAAAAAGGTTTGAGGATATTGCTAAGTGATTCCTTTTAATTGTTACACGCATATATTTTGTAAAGTATTTGTAAAGAATCAAGTAAATACGCCCCCTTTTCTCTCCTTTTTCTTTTCTCTCTCTTTTTTATTTTTCTATATATCTTTACAGCATGAAGACAAACAATCAGCTTACAAGTGGTCAATCACAGCTACTATTAGGAATACTTATTCTATTATTTGATATAGTCACAACATACAATACAGTCATGTCGTCAAGGTCTTTGGCCTTTAAATTTGTTTGGACTCTACTGATGTGCATCTTCCCATTTGAAGGGTTCATCATTTGTCTACCACTTTATCTTTACTATTCCTTAACGGATAAATTTACTATTTATTCATAACACACTGTGCTTAAAAAGCTCTCCCCTTTTCTAATCATTTAGCAAATATTTATTGAACAATAAAAGCTTTAACCTTCTTGGTCATAAGATGCACATTAAGCAGCTGTGCTTGCCCTGCTTTTAAACTTTGCATGTCTTGGCTCTTATTTTGGCATACTACTTTCAATCTGTCCTGTTGTGAACTGTCTGCTTTACTTTTTGCATGCATTACATTGGATCAATTATCATTCTTAAAAACAACGTAAGTCATATGACAGATTTGCTTTGTTAAGCTGATTTGTGAGGGACTTGATATTAAATATGCATACATCTTGCTAGCTACAAAAAGAATAATATCAAAGGCAGAGAAAACAGTAATTCTTTAGTTGTTTCTAAAAGCCATCAACTGTAAATATTTTTGCTTTGTTTACTATGACATAACAAGTTCGCACTTTTTTGTTGTGCTCATTTTGCTTAGGCATTTCCTTTGTACTGTATCAATTATACATGTATTAATAATAAAAGACTACTTTTGTGTATTTATATAGTTATTAACGAGTAGTCATGCAACAAGTTCTTCCATTGGATCGAACTGAGAGGAATGTGTCTATATATGCCAACAACCTGTTTAACCCCCTTGAATTCAGCAACTTAAACATCATACGACAATTCTTTTTTTATATATTTTATATTTACATCAAATTTATTGTATGATAATTACTATAATAGTTGTCTAATTGAAATTTTGCATGATATTTCTAAGAGAAAGCATGATATGAAATACAAGAAGCATGAAGTTACACGGCTTAGAAGCGTGTGTAACTACCACGACCACCACGGCCACCACGATCATCACGACCACCACGACCTCCGCGTCCTCCACGGCCTCCACGGCCACCGCGACCGCCACGACCGCCACGGAAACCACCTCGGCTATCACCTTGAGATCCACGGTTGAAGTTGAGACGGGCACGATCGTTATCACCAGAGAAATCGGTACGAAGAGGACGACCATTAAGTTCAACACCATTCATTTCCTTTACAGCAGCCTCTGCTTGTTCAACAGTTTCAAATTCAACATAGGCAATACCTTTCAATTGACCTGATTCTCTGTTATAGGGCATACGGATGTCACCAACAATGGTACCAAACTTGCTAAAGGCTTCTGTAAGTGCATTGCGATGAGTTTGCTCATCATGGTCACGGTTGAGGTTGGCAACAAACACCTTTTTGGTGGCGCTGCTGTAGTTTTCATCCTTTTTGACTCTTTGACGGCTGGAACCATCAGCGTCGTCCACACGAACACGACGGCCATCAATTTGCAAATCGGTTTCTTTTAATGCAGCATCCTTGGCTTCTTGAGTAGCAAAGTCAACGTGACAGAAACCACGGTTCTTTCCGGTATCATCATCCAATCTGATTCTAACGTCCTTGACTTCACCAAATTGGCTAAAGAATTCATTGACAGTTTCAGAAGTTGATTGGTAGTTCAATCCACCAACCCAGATAGTGTACAAGCTTTCCTTCTTGGCAGCTTTGGCAGCAGGAGCTTCAGCTTCTTCGGCCTTTCTCTTCTTACCCTTGGATTCTTCCTTTGGCTCTTCTTCCATCTTGTCTTCTTCACTGCTTGATTCATCTGAAGATTCATCAGATGACTCAGAGCTTTCTTCCTTGGACTCTTGATCTTTTTCTTCAGCTTCATCTTCAGATTCTGATTCAGAAGAGGAAGAGGAAGACTCTGAAGAGGATTCAGAGGCTTCTGATTGCTCTTTTTCTTGCTCTTGCTCAGATTCATCGGAAGAGCTGCTGGCTTCACTTTCACTGCTGCTGCTTTCGCTGCTAGCAGAGGACTCTTCAACCTTCTTAGCAACAGGCTTCTGTTCTTGCTTCTTGGAAGACTTGGTTACTTTCTTTGTTACTTTGGAAGAAGCCATATTCAATAATTTGATAATAAAAAAGAGAAAAGATGGCAAGATATAAAAACCTTTTGTGCATTTATCAAAAAAAGTTTATTTTCTGTGACTATCCAGGAACGAAAAGCAGTGCAAAATTAGTACAGAACTAACAAGTAAGCCACTGGATAAAGAAGATTTGAAACTCACTTCTAAAAGGGATTTTACAGTCCTTTTCTTTGGATCAATTAAAGTTAAAACCCAGGCATTATGCTTCCCTTTTTTGGACGAAATGAAGCTTTTGTTATTTGTGTAAAAAAGGTTGTAAGGCCGAAGAAGTATGGCTAGTAAAGCCAATTAAAAAAAAGTGCAATACTATGTGCAGTTAAGGAAGGATATTGTCCTATAGATAACAAATATTTGTGCAATGTAGCTACAATCCATTAATCTACATAGCCTTGTTGTGTAAAGTGTAATAAAAAGTTATCAATAGAAAAAAAAATTAAATTCAGATGATTTGCTCACCTTTTTTGGATGAAAGACACTAAACAGATTGTAAAAATACGAGCAAAATGTAATTGAACGTCGTTCCTAATTCAACCTTAGTTGCCTACATTTCGACTTCAGATGTGGTACTATGCTCTCTGAGCCGCGCTTTTTTATTCATAGTTTAAATTAATGACAATAAAATACAAGGTTTCTATATTCTATATTTTTTTATAGCTTTCTAAGCCGCGCATTCGTGGAACTAGTTATGGAGCATATCACAAATCTTAATGAAAATGTAGCACAAGATCAACTTTTAAAAGATATAATACGGTAATTAGCTTTTCTCTATTGTATATCTAGAAAATATCTGTAAATTGCATTACCTGGCATATTGCCATTTATACTGTCAAACATATTAATTATTGAATTACCATCAGGGTCTCTTCGAACTAATGGAGATGCTGATTTACAGCATGAGGAGGCATACACGCTTGTGCACATGCTAGTATTTTTGAGCCTCTTGATCATTTTATTTAGTAGTCGTGCTCGCGTTTCATTGGATTCACTTGACGATGACTCGCGAATATATCCGATATATTCCCAGTTACCTTTCGCAGCTTTACAGTGTTGAAAGAACTGAAGATCTGGAGTAACTATTTTGTCCAAACAGAAGCATATGTTCTCATTTTTTCATTGTGCATTTTAAGCAGAACTTTATATATGATTTACTCAACCTCGATATAGTCAATGAATTTGGTTTTCCCGATTGATTGACTATATCGAGCTTTGACTCATACGTACCATTTTTGTCAACAAATAACCATCGACCGTTACTTGAATCACCTTTGGCACGCGACTTAGTGTTTTTTCCGAAATGGCCACTATGTTTATTTAACATAAGATTCAACTGATGTATTGAATAGAAATGGCTTAATTCAAGCATCGATCGCTCCAAATCCTGGGTCATTAGTTAATGAGTACTTGTTTTTTAATGCCAACATTATCGCCGTTTTGTTGTAATTCACTGAGAATCAGTCAACAAAACGTTATGCTAATGATATTTATGTATATGTTTAATATAATCTTGCTAGTGGGAATAATACTTGAGGCTATGGACAAAACTGGATTTAATTCGTCGTCGACCTCTGCACTGACTTCGTATCGCTTCCATTTGTATGGATTTTTCTTTATAATCGACTTTGCCAATACAATGGGTATATTTGGGTCTTTGTCTTTCACATAGACTACATCAAATGAAGTCTTCGAAATTTCTTCAACCGTATAGTGATAGCTTGAGTAGTCAGGAACTAAATCAAATACAATATAGCATGCCTCTTCATATGAGATCATTTTGATAAAGAAAGGTTGAAGAAATTTTGACTAATACTACGTGTACTACCCATGATGTTGCCCAACAAAGCTTTTCAATGTGTAGCGCCAAGCCAAACATGACTTTTATAAAGTCACCATTTTGGTTTATGTTTCTTTTCAAGAAGAAGGAAGAGATAAAAAGAAATGTTGTTATTTTTTATTCTAATTTTATGTCGTCAGTCTATTAACAAAGAACCAAGGTCATTCACGTGTAGTTATGATAAACTCGTATTTTGTATCAGAGAGAGTGAGCTGGACAGACTTAGGTTAGGCAGAGACTTTGGTAGTGAAGTTGTATAGTGACAACATAGATAGCGCCTCAAGGAAGCACCCGTAGCATTAGCCTATTTTCTGGTGCATGTAGTGTTGGCCTTTCAAAAATCCAACTCCAGAAAAAGCAAGTTATTTCCTGCAGTTATGAATATCCAGATTATTTTTTGTTTTATTAATTGATACAGTTGACATTTTAAATTCATTTTTATTCAATAGTTTTCTAGACATTTTTAAAACTACGAATAAAAGAGCCACATCTTTGTCATTTTGACAACCGTGCGATTAGTTAATTTCAATACGCTTCTTACCACCGTTCTCAGCCTTTGGAACACAGACTTTCAAGACACCATTTTCATAGCTAGCTTTGATACCAGAAGTGTTGATAGGAGTAGGGAAACTGAATGATCTTTGGAAATTTCCAGATACTCTTTCATTAGTCCACCATTTGGTTACATTGTTAGTGGCCTTGTCATTTCTTGCACCTTCTTTGTCTTCTTCACTAGAGGATTCGCGATAATGTTGAACAGATCCACTCAACGTTAAGGTATTATCGTCTGAGACATCAATATGAATATTCTTCTTGTCATAACCAGGTAATTCCGCGTGAAGTTCGTAGCCTTCAGCAGTCTCGCAAATATCTGTAGCTGGGTATCTTAGAGATCCAAGTGAGTTATTTGAAGATGCCAAAGAGCGACGAGCATCGTTAAAGAAGCTAGGATCATCCAAAAGAGAAAAGGCACGGTGCATATCGCGGAAAGCGTCAGCAAAGAATCTGTTTGTAAGAGCCATTTTGATATTATGATTTACTTTTTCTTACTAACGAGCAAGTTATTGTCCAAGCAAAAGGAAGGGCCTTTTATATGTTTTTCATCTATGCAAGAGGTTCCGAAGCTGCTAGAAATTCGAAATTTCGAGTAACTTCTTGATTTTGCTTTCCTTCCTTTCTTTGGTAAAATGATATAGTTGTGTTATTTTTTTTTTTGGTATTGTGACGAGATATTAGCGTAAGGAGACTTATTGCGTTACTTTGCTAGAAAATTGAATTGTGTAAATAGAAAGTTGTAGAAAAACAGCACAATGAGCCATGAGTTTATGCAGCTCGCTCCTGTATCACCCACCGTTTGAGCTAACCAAGCAGCCCGTAAGTAGTCGATGGGGCACTAAGTTTTATAAGGCTTAAGTTATTGTATATATGTAGTGTATAAACAAACTGATATGTATATACCTTATTTCAGCCTTTACCTTAATTTATAGTTATATTGCGCAGCTGTCAATCTACGATTTAAACCACTAGTTTATTTGAATATAGAAATGTATGGAAGAATGAGCAATAGAATAAGCAAATGTTAGTATGCACTCTATTTATTCTACGGCATTCATATGCGCCTGATGTTAAGGAATGTATAGTAGCTATATGAAAGGTATTTGTTACTTGTTTAATTTATAAGAAAGGCTCGGTGCTGTCTATTTTTCTTAAAGAAGTATGAAAGTGAAAGCAGACGGTATAAAGGTAGCTTGCTCACAACAGGCTTCTCCATCACTAGAGCAATTTACTTGATGGAAAGCTATTGAAAAGAAGTCTGCATGTCTTTGCTTATACAACAGTTTAATGATTATAACTTTAAAACACCAGTTATCATTGATTTATCAAGCATAGCATAGTATACTTTCATAAAAGATGTGGAAAAGAGAAATAGTGGGGCCGTACTATATCACATAAAGTTTGTTGGGGTAGCGCACTACCAAGGGCTCATATTATTTTTATTTGTTTATCAGACAGCGAAACAATAGATAGACCCAATACACGCATCGCTTATCTAAAGTTTAACGAAGTCTTAACCAAATTTAAGATGACAATAGCAAGTCGAAAAAATGACCCTAGTTTGGGATTTTTTAGAAGGCAAAAAGAAACATAAATGATGATTATTAATGATGAGAAAGTGCCATATTAGTAATGATGCAACCATATATTCTCTCACACAAAGATTGTCTCAGTTTAATAATAAGGTCTCTTAATGTCTTGTCAAATTTCTGAAAGAGCTACAGGTTTCTCTCCTGTTACTGATAAGTATTTGTATATGAGATGAATCGTTTTCTCAATAAAAAAAAGAGGCAAAGATGTCTATGATAGATAATTGATGATGGCTGGATCGCTACTAAAGAGGTCTAGCGAAAAGAAAGAATGGTTAAATTAATTGTTTTAGACATTGATATCTTGTGTAGCACTTTAACAAGAGTGAAATTATAGTAACGTCAACTTTGAAATATATGGCGCGAGTGTATTAAGAGCCTAATATATTGAGCAAATATGAATGTTGTCAGCTGTAGCATAAAAGGGTATCAAAATAGATAATAATTACAAAGCAGTAACATCTCCAAATATACCGAGCCAATAGAGCTTTATAAAAGCAGCTGTATTACACCATCACTGACATTATCAAAGATTCATGTGATTGCAACTGTTGCTGTCAATCATTGGCTCAAACATTATGTATACACAAACATATTCAGGTGGTAGACTAAAACCAGCTCTAAAAAGAAAATCGCTTTTCTAGAATATTTATTAAAAAGTAACCAAAAGAGAAGAGCCTTTCAATATATTAATTCTTACCAATGGTCACATATTGTACTATGCTAAATGCGTTCAACATGTGGGCAATATCCAACTAAACATAAACAGCCGATTAAAACATTTAGTGATGGAATTTGTCCACACTTGCTCAGCAGCAAATGTTCTCACGTTTCTTTTTTTTATATTTTTATTGATAAAGTGTTCCCTAAAAGTAATGTTACCATGAATGAAAATAAACGTCTACTCTTTTTTTATATATTCGCGTAAAGCACACTAAACTTTATTAAAAGCTGAATGTAATGAGCAGAAAAAGTAAGCCATTGAGGCATATCTTTACTCTTCCGAGAGAATAAAAATGTCAGTTTTTTCTTTTACAACTATCTAAAAACTACGAGTTATCATCCGCGTAGGTTTCTAATAGAATTCCTTCCAGTGCTATGTCTTGATTTGAAGGGCGGCTAAATGTGCTTCCAAAACACATTTGTGATACGTATGAGCCAACAGAAATGATTAAGCCAGGGCTTACCATTGTAAGAGAGTTGCTTTAAATAAATAATATCGGTTATTCGCGTAGCAACACGTTGCACATACTTCAAACTCTAAAATATTGAATATGAAAAGGCTTGTCATCATATCTCAAGGAATTCATACTTGTATAAGTCAAAGTATACATAAGTCATTGTAGCCGAACAAAATCAAGTGCTTGGTTCATATTCTGAGAGTCATCTAAAGTCGATAAAATACTTACACTGTATAATTAAAACATAATTGGACTAAAGCCTCCTGCTGATAGTTCGGACGAGTTTTTCCATGACAGTGCATGGGAACACAGACATGTATAAACATTGAAGAGTTCATTTTTTTATTTCAAATCTACTGTGCAACATATGTTGTACTTGTAGTAAAATAAAGAGTAGAGGCATAGAAAAAATATAGCGCAATAATTTAGCAAAGATCAACGTTTTTTAAAATAACAAGTTAAACCCTAAACCAAATCAAGACTAGTTGAACATTCTGTTTTCTTTATTGAATGCCAAGAGAGTTATTTGTTTTAAATGCTGATTTGCAAGTATATTAACTATAGTGTGGCCTGTAAGTAGAAGGAGAGATTCCTTAAAGCTTAATGTTTATCATGAACGCATTTATCACAAATTAGATACGAAATCTTAAACTATTTCTCGTACACAAAATAAAAATTAGCGCTGTTTGTTTTAAATAAGGGTGGAGTAAATAGAATAGGGGGTCAATGTTCAGGAAAACTTGTCCCACGCTGATGTAAATCTTTCTTCCTCCGCTTTAATTGCACGTTTTCTTTTCCATTTTACTCAAGCAGGTTGACGATGAGATCATTTCCAAGCTTAATCCAAGTGATTCATATATGGAATTCGCTTATCGGAGTCATCCTTTTTGCTCTTTTGTTGGCAGTCACTTCAAAGGTCAAGCACTTTGTCAGCAGTGGTGCAGAGATTGCTGGTTATGGTAAATTTTAACAGAGTTTTACGACTACATGACCACTAACCACAACTCAAAGGTAACTTTCAAACATTTGCTTATCCTGCCACCTTTGTCTATATGTTTATACCGACAATTACAGCCACTATTTACAGCATCATTCTTTCGTTCGATCCAAGTCCCAAATACAAAGCATGGTCACCGTCCAGGACGATGCAAGGATCCATCTCCTTTTTTGCAGCTGCCCTGTTTCTTGCTGCCTTGCTGCCCACTATTCCAGGAGCTGATGTTATGACCGATGGTTCGGCTCTTGAGTGTCTTTGGACAAATTACATGCAATGGAGGGTACAGTTTAACAATCCTGAAGTCTTCCCTTGGGTAATGGCTATAGATGACGCTTGTTCAATGCTCAAAGCTTCAGATGCTCTTTGCTGGATTCTATTTATAGGATGGTTGGTACAAGTGATTAATTATGTGCGTTCAGCGAGCCTCGCCAAGAATTATCTCAAACATAATAAATAAAATTTCTGATGGATAGAAGTGAGGGAACACTTACAGTCCATCGCTTTGTCAAATCATTATTAGGCACTAATAATAGGCTCTTTACGATAAAATACGTCGTACAAATGCTAATCGCAGACATGTTAATGCGAGCTAAAGCTATGTGAATTGTATAATGCAGCATGCACCTAGTGGATCCATGCATATAGTCGAGAACAAAGAGCTACAAAAGAGAGATAGTCAATAGAAGCCAATGTCATGTTAGTGACAGGCAAAACGAATTGTATGGTTTCCCGTCTTCGTTCTAATGTTAGATTATCTGATAAGGTGCATCTTTCCATTAATTCATTTAAGCTTTTTTTTTTAAAAAAAAAGATTGCACATGTTTGGAAATTGTGACATAGGAACATAAGGAACACACAAGTGTAAGCCAAGTCTTACCTTATGTGATGCATACACGTAATACAAAGGGAGGCACTCATGCCTTTTATCTGCTATGCCCGTAGCTAAACTTTACTGCTGATCTTTTGGGCGCAAAATAACCTTAAGGGTTCATGCAAAACAGAGAAAAAATAGAGATTGGAAGCAGGGATCTGCGAATATACTCTCTATCATACACTCAACACGTGAAAGAGTCAGATAGAGACTAAGAGAGCCTAGCCACCAATGGCGTGAAGCATGTAGTCGACTGTGTATATACTTAGTCTTTGCGACAACCAAAAACACGTTTTATTTTCCCTTTATCCTTCACATAAGCTATACCAAGTAGCACATATATACATTATTGGTTAGACAGTATCTATTAAGCTTCCAAGGTTTCGCAGACGCGCAGCAAAATCTACCGAATTAAAAGAAAAAATATGCATTCAAATAATGCTGATCTAGTTGATCCACTCTCTCCTATTTGCCACTCGGGTATATCCCTCAGTAAACTATAACCTTATTTTACTTCTTTACTGTGACCATGTTTAGAAGGTATGATCCTGGATTATGTATAACAAAAAAAGTTGCAATACGTAGAACAGAGGGAAAGGGGATGGATGATAAATCAACGTATGCAATTAAAAATAGCTACAATGATCAGCTTACTTTTGCTTGCCGTGAGTTAAATTATGCATACAACATAGTTGCTGGGCATGAATTCAGCCATTTAAGGAAAGTAAGCACAATATCCTAGAAACAATGGTTACTATGGAACAAATAAAATGAAAAATTACCATGGTAATTCTGCAATAATTTCATTGGAAGATTTAAAACATAAAAAGTAACAAATGTCACAAATCTAATTATGTGTGCGAACACGTAACCGTAAGTTAATTAAACTCTTTTTCCACGGAACACAATGAGTAAAAGCTTACTGAAATGTTGTCAAAGGGAATAATTGAATTTCCAAAGTCTCATTGGAGACAAAAAATAGTATATTTGTCCTATCCAATGGATAAGCATAAACGAGTAAAGCCAGCTGAAACTTTCGTTGCACACCCATTCGAGCAGCGTTGCACGAATATTTCCTCCAGCATTTCCCAGCCAAGAAAAGGACAAATGATCGGACAATGATCTTGTGTTTAAGTGAAAGGAAACTTATGTTGAGAAACCAAGGGATGTGTTACCTATGTGCTACTACAAGTAAGGAACAAAATGTAACCACAGCTTCATCAATTCGTGTCACCTTGCAAATTGAAGAGAAAGACATATGGGTGCATTCTAGTATAAATAGCGCGCCCTTTCTTTGCTTTTTTTCCTTCTTCATCAGCCATTGGCCACTATTACTACCTTATCTAATTAACAAATCATGGTTTCATTCATTACCATCTCTCAAGGTGTCAGTCTTTGCCTTCTTGTCTCTTCTATGATGCTTGGCTCATCTGCTGTTCCTGTTGCTGGTCATAAAGGTTCAGTCAAGGCAACTAATGGCACTGACTTCCAACTCCCTCCTCTCATCTCTAGCCGTTGTACTCCTCCTTCCCATCCTGAAACCACGGGTGATCCCGATGCCGAAGCTTATTACATTAACAAGAACGTTCAATGGTATCAAGCTCACGGTGGCAACTACACTGCTCTTGTCAAGCGTGATACTGAAACTGTCGGTGGCATGACCTTGGACTTGCCCGAGAACCCTCCTCCTATTCCTGCCAAGTCCACTGCTCCCAGCTCTGATTCAGGTGAAGTTGTCACAGCCACCGCTGCTCAAATCAAAGAGCTCACTAACTACGCTGGTGTTGCTGCTACTGCTTACTGCCGTGATGTCGTTCCCGGTACCAAGTGGAACTGTAAGCAATGTCTCAAGTATGTTCCTGATGGTAAACTTATCAAGACCTTCACTTCTCTTCTCTCTGATACCAATGGCTTTGTCTTGAGAAGTGATGCTCAAAAGACCATCTATGTCACTTTCCGTGGTACCAATTCCTTCAGAAGCGCTATTACTGACATGGTCTTCACCTTTACTGACTATACCCCTGTCAAGGGCGCTAAGGTTCACGCTGGTTTCCTTTCCTCCTACAAGCAAGTTGTCAGTGACTACTTCCCTGTTGTTCAAGACCAATTGACCGCTTACCCTGGCTATAAGGTCATCGTCACCGGTCACTCTCTCGGTGGTGCCCAAGCCTTGCTCGCTGGTATGGATCTTTACCAACGTGAAAAGAGATTGTCCCCAAAGAACTTGAGCATCTATACTATTGGTTGTCCTCGTGTCGGTAACAACGCATTCGCTTACTATGTCGACAGCACCGGCATTCCCTTCCACCGTACCGTTCACAAGCGTGATATTGTTCCTCACGTTCCTCCTCAGGCCTTTGGTTACCTTCACCCTGGTGTTGAATCTTGGATCAAGGAAGACCCTGCTGATGTCCAAATCTGTACTTCTAACATTGAAACCAAACAATGCAGTAACTCTATCGTTCCTTTCACCTCTATCCTTGATCACTTGACCTACTTTGGTATTAACGAAGGCAGCTGTCTCTAATTCTTTCTCTCTATTTAATTTATTGTATCTAATAAAATAATTTATTTTTGATCCATTTACTGACTTTGAATTCTCTCACGTGAAGAAAAAAGAAATACGATCAGTCAGTGGAAATTGATTGTGGGGAAAAAAAGCCTTTTTTTTTCTTTAGATGACAATTAAAGCTGTTATTTTCGATATTGGTAATAAAAGACGTGTTGATTATGATGTTACAGCTAATGTATTTGAAGGTGGCGTTTGTGTAGGTTCACCTATGGCTGGCATCCATGCCTACGAACAAAAGCATGGTTTGCCAAGAAATTATATCAATGTTGCAATGTATGTATGAATTATGCTTTTTGTATTATTCAAATGACTCTTGTATGATAATAGTGTACGACAAGGTGAAAACGGTGCCTTTCAGGTAATATATATTTCATTAATTAATGATAAGAATTAAGGTCGTGTATTAGAAATTAGAAAGAGGAGAACTCAAGTTGAATGATTTCTATAAAAACTTTGGTCTGCAACTGTCTGACCCCACCAATAAGGAGCATTATAAACAGTATCTGAAGAAGGCCGGAAAGCGTAATCCAAAAAAAAAAAAAGCAATGAAAATCATTCTGTTCTCATCTATACAAATAGCTGTACCTGAGTTTATTCCAGATGTTCATGTTGATGGCAAAGAGTTATTCAAAACGATGATGTCAGAAACAGCACGCATAGATCCTTATATCTACTCTGCCCTTCAATGTTTAAAAGGTACAACAAAAAAAAGAAAATATAGATGGAAAGATGATGACGACTTTCCGAATTTAGAAAGTGGCAAGTATACTTTGGCTGCATTAACCAATAACTTTGAATTACCAGAGGACGATCTTCAGGAGGCAGAGGCAATGGGTGCTTCAGCGGCAATCGAACTCCGTGCCATTTTCGATTACTTTATAGAGTCACGCTTGGTCGGTCTTCGGTAATATCGAGTGTAAATCAAAGAGAATATACTCCTGAACCTTAAAAAAAATTCTAGAAAGCCGGATCCCAACTTTTTCCTTCATGCCTGCAGGATGTTAAATATTCAACCTAATGAAGCTATTTTTTTGGACGACATTGGCATGAACCTCCGATCTGCTAGTCAGCTTGGAATGAAAACTATTCGTAATGTGTTCTATTGACGGCTTTTTGTATGTATTCTCATTCCTTCTTTTTCTTTTTTAGAGGTCAAGATGGGTCATTCAAAAGAAGCAGTTAAGCAGCTAGAAAGCCTAACAGGACTTGATTTACTTGGCAAGGTCTCAAAATCAAAGCTCTAAATAAAGGTTGCTTTCTTAAACATACATTTACATGAAACTATAATACCAAAGAAGTGTGTTCTATGTCATGAAATGTCCTCTAACTATACTTGAACAAATATCACCGGATGCACTGTTGTTTTAATAAGGTGTAAATTATCTCGTCAAACAATTTTATAAACCGCATTTTCCTTGTTCATTATAAACAAGATCTTCACTCTTTTTTTAATCAACTTAAAATAAATGCACGTCATATACCAAATAAACCTTTCTACCATCTCTCAGAATTTCATCCACCTTATTCAAAGAAGGCTAGTGTAAAAATATTAGCAAAAGTCACATTTCTATTCATCATTTTAAACATACCAAACGTTCATTCTGTAACCAAGTGGCAAGTGCCTCCTTAACTAAGGAGTCAGGAGCAATTGACAGCTTTGCCTGATCATTTGAATCATTAGAAACGTTGGGTTTTACACTTGGCCAGCAAAATGTAAATCCGAGTCGCTTCTGCTCTTCAGGGGTATCATGACTGATGTTGATCATTAGTAACTTGAGCAAAAGCTTCGGCTCACCCAAAGGCATGTTGAATGCCTTAATAAGTAGTCCATCCGAAAAGGGAGAAGCATGAATAGTATGAGCTTTCATCACCTCGTACTCATTTAGTCGGTAGGTTCGTTTTAATAGCCGCTTTAAACTTTGTGTTTTCTAACGCACACAAACAGGTAAGATCTCCCTAATATTGTATATTCTATATATTTATTACCTTCCGAATATGTCTTAGGGGCGGTAAATCTGGAAAAGATGTATCTTGACCAAATGGCGTGCTTGGGGGTGTTGGCAAATCAGTTGGCTCGTTGTGTTTTGCTGTTAAAACAGACGGTGCAGTCATATCATGTTCACGTTTTGTCAACTCGGTGTCAACAGGGGATATAGGCTCACAGCTGTCATTATTAGTTATCTTATCAACAAGAGGTGTATCTTCTTTGGCGAGAGTTTCAAAGGATGCTTTCTCATTATGATAAAGATGGCTACTATGGCTTTCGCTTTCTGTTTTGATCTGTTCTTGAGATAAAGGTTGATGAATTTGACGACTTCTGCGTAGAGTAGAAGGTTTGACATGAACAGTACATGGTCTTATACGATCTGACTCATTCCGTACATGCAATAGAACTGTATCTGAACTAGGATATCTGTCAAAACAGGTGGACTTGGGCGTGAATTGCATCGACGTGGCCCTATCTAATTTCCTATACACATGTCCTTCCTGTATTGAGGATCGGGGCCACGAGTCATCATCCATAAAATAGAAATAAGGAGTCCCATTTGCTTTGCTCGTGTCTTTAGCTCCTTCGATATCATCCGTACGGGCTGTTATATCGCTACCAAAGCTTGCAAGAGAGTATTGCTTTCTTAAATATCTATCCCGCGGGCAAGGAATCGTGCTTTGAGAGTATAAACAATCCAGCCTGGACTGTAAAGATTCTGACATTTCAATCAATTTACTATATCTCTTCCTGTCTCTTTCAAGCGGTAACTGTTGAACAAGGTCGGAGAGTGAGTTATCTTGTCCACAGGACATTAAACTGACAAGTACATGTGGGAAAGAGAGAAAAAAAGGAAAAAGTTTTCTTGTGAATAAACAAACAGAACTTCTTAAGGAGCAAGTTTTCTTGTGTGACTCATATGGACAGATTTGCCGCCTATTTTCTGCAGGTTCAAAAAAGGCGAAAATGGGTGGCTGCATGGAAGTAATGTTTATCTCACCTTTGACATGTACTCTTGACACGGCTTGTGTTTGAAATTAAAAATAAGATGCTGAGCACAGTAAGCGTTTAGAATGTTGCTTTATGACTCCATCTTTGGTATTTTTATTGGTGTCAGTTGATAAAGCGTTCTGCAATAAATTCCTTTTCTACAAGTAAATATTTATGACGACAAAGCCTGCAATCAGTGTATTACATGAATCTTTTTTTTTTTTTTCTCAAAGACGCGCCCAAATGCCTTGTGCTTTTACAGTCGAAAATATTCAACAAAAAGAAAAAAAAAAAGAAAAGGGATACATAATGCTGATTCCTTAAATAATATGCATGTATGTCTTTAGTGTGACTTATTGTTTTTCTAGTCTACGCAATAAAGGTCTTGTCATTCCTGATTGAAATAACATTTAATAATTTTCCGTTATCGTAGATCATATATTCTACTTCCGCTCATTGGTATTTTAGCATCCGCGCAATCCGACCTCAACAGCACTGGATGGGTTAAATTGTCCAAATATAGAAGCTCCATTTTGTAGATTGTCATCAATGTCTTGTCTCCCTTTTGTCATTTGAGTTATATAAATTTAAAAAGGATCTTCACGTGTAACGTAAGCATAGAGATTATTTATTTCATAAACATAGAATTGACGATCATACAAAGATATAATAAACATATTCAGCATAGCTAATAAAACAAATGAATGGTAAGGAGTTTCATAAACAAGGGAAAATTGCCTAAATAAAGTCGTATGGTTGCTGATGAGAATAACCTAAAAATATTGGTATATTGGAATCTGTGATAGGAGGATAAAGGAGTGAATGTTCTTTAAAGATTGAAGGTAACCAGGGCTGTTGTTGGGGTGGCAATTGCTTATGATAATAATAAGGACTGGATTTAGGAATGGGTGAAGGCATAACAGGTGTAGGTAGTCGGACACTAGCCGAAGATGGGCTAAAGACGGCATCGTCGCCGTCAAAGGTTGTTGCACTGTGTTCTGATGGAGCGGGAGAGGCAGGTGGCGCTTGTTGTTGTTGCTGCTCAAGCAGTTTTCCATCCTTCAATACTTGATCTAATGGTTTCCAACAATTTTTCTCGTTCCGCTTACGATTCCCAGGAATCATCATTTCGTTCCAAGAAATCCACTGTAATGGTGCTTTCTTTGGCTGAGGGCCGTGAGCTTGACGTTGGTGTTGCCTCATGATTGATTTATGAGCAAAGTATTTGCCACAGCCATCGAATGAACACTTATACGGTCTTTTGCCTGTATGAAGACGCCTAAACAAGGCATGAATATAATGTATAGTGAGAAATGAAATATATATTAACCTGTGTCTAGCTAATGAACTGCTATCACCAAACGTTTTTCCACAGTCTTCATATTCACATTGATGAGGTCTTTCTCCTGTATGAGTACGAGAATGCACCTTGAGGGCTGATATCTAGACAAAAGTTCTGATTATATTAGGGGGAGGGTAAGAGTGATATATGACCAAAAAAATCAAGTTTTCTTGATTGAAACAATACCTGAGTGAAGCTTTTTCCACAGCCTGGCTCGTGACACACATATGGTCTGAATAGGAAGGTTAAACATATATCCAAAAGAGGTTCAGTGCGGAGTTACCTTTCATTGGTGTGTATCCTGACGTGTCTTGCCAAGTCAGAGCGACGACCTGCAGATACAAATAGACACACGCGAAAGAAGTAAGGTGAGAATAGAACAAGAAGGAGATCAATAAATAAATTTACCAAATGATTTAGTGCAGCCAGGCATTGTACACGAATGTGCCTTTTTTCCAATGGTGGATGCTTGACTGTTTATAATCTCAAGTATTTCCATAATTGCGTACAATAAAAAGAAAGAATAAAGAATGAATTATATATATTTAAGGGGCGTGTGTGTGTGTTTGTGCGTATGTATATTTATATATAGACTTAAATATATTTTTAAATCTATATATTTATATCCAATTTAATGATTGTTTAAATAAGCTTTTTTTGTTTCCTTTTGTTTTGTATTGTGTGTGTGTGTTGCTAAAGTTGTAACAATAGGATTGTTGTTTTTTATGGCTTTTTTTTTCAGGGAATGAAAACAAAATTTAAAAAAAGAGAAAGAAAGAAAGAAAAATAAGATTTTTTTTTTTTTTACTATTTGATCGATGGATTATTTATATTCTTTAGCTTTTACATGATTACTTTATTAGGTAAATCAATCAAGGAGTGAAAAATGTCATGCATCATGATTTGGGGGGTATGATTTGGGGGTATGAAGGATTATTGTTTCATACTCGTAAATACGGATGATATCAATTGGATTCATTAGTAGCACAATGATCATCCATTCCAATATCGTCTTTGAAATATTTTATCATTGACAATAAGTGAAAATACACGGCTATCTTTTCAAAAAAGGCGATCGATCTTTGTTAGAGCTATGTTGTCATACTTGCTTTAAATGGTAATCACAGTTGTCTTCTTAAGCAGTCACATCCCCCTTCTTTTTATTTTTCATTATGCTTTCCCCCCTTTTTTTTTCCTTCTTAGACTATTACACTTTTATTGTTTGTTTATTTCTTTGTATTGGAATGATCAGTGGCATTTGGGTTGAGGATCTAGAGTAGTTAAAAAATGGATCAGGGAGAATCAAGCTGAGATAATATATCTCTTTTTTTATACATGCGATCAACGTGGTTTCAGCTATTTAATATTTCATGGCTTTTTTTTTTAAATTTTTAATATTACAAGTATATCTTTTTCTTGATGCTACTGCTGAACTGATTAATAGTCTCGAGAGCTTTCATCCAATTGTATGTATTAACCCAATGTTTTAATTAGAATAAAGTCATCTTTATTGATTTATCAAATGCATTTGCTTTAATTTTAAGAAAAATCATTAACTATGAATATCACCTTGAGCTAATCATTCTTCTTCAACTGCTCGATAACAATGTTAAGAATGACATTCTTGTACAATTATTTGTTTGGTTTGTTATCATGTCTTTTTTATGTTACTCATATCAAATAGGAAGCATGATTAGGAAAGCTCTTGACAATTGTATGTCTAAAACATCTGGTTGGAAGAAGATCAATCCACCTCTGTGTGTGTACAACATTCCCAAACATCAGGACCGTGCAACCGTTGAGCTTATCAGATGGAGGTGGCAAAAAGCTTTATTTCCATGGCAACTCTAAAGCGTCGTGTGAGCATATAACTCTTAATAATAACTGCATCGCATACTGCATATCTTGACACACATGCACAAACACACACACACGCATGCGAAATTAATTTTTTGTAGTCACTGATAATATTCAATATAAACAATGGTGCGTATATCTATTTATAACGTGTAAACATGTATACGTGTATGCATATATGTGTATGTGCTTGTAGCCAAAAGAATATTCTTTTGCATAAAATACAGCTTTTGACGACCCACACTTTTTATTGTTTATTTATGTCCTTCTTTAATCCTTCTTGGTCTATGCAATAAATTACGTCGCACTTTCTGTATTCTGGCTCCAACACCTTCTCTTGGACCAGGATTCACATAAGGCACTTGCTTCCAAGGTACCTTGGCAATACCATTGCTAGTTCCTAATTTATCGTCCAGAAAAGCCCATGAAGGTAGACGCATTTCTCCTTTGATAAGCCCAGATGTCTTTTCTAGTGTCTCAGCTGGCAGTGGTGTCACTAACAGAAGTGCATGGCGTGACGGATCAATGGCACGGATGATGCCTAAGCCAAGGCATGTTATGTTTTCAGGATTGGGTGGTAGTTTATCTCGCGTGGTGTAATATATGGGTGGTGTCTATAAAGTTGTTAGCCGTCTCTAAAATTCCCTTATCAATATACTTTACAAACTCATTTTCATCAGCAGATATAGCTCTGTCAGGTCCCTTTTGCTTTTTAAAATCTTCTACGTCACCCATAATGCCTACTATACATCCATTCAGCGCATATAATAATTCTTCAAGTTTAACTTCTTCATAAGTAATCCAGATCGCATTCAGGTGTGCTCGCCAGTCAACAACCCAAGGAGTTCGGTCGATAATGTGTTTCTGATAATCCCATTGTGGATTCAGATATGCGTCTTGTCCCATCTCTGTTTGATGGAAATAGGAAGCCAGGGTAATGTCACGTAACTTGGATGCTGTAAACAGATCTGGAAAAATAGATACACCTGATTCGCGGTAATAGCAGTCGATAAAACGGACCGTCGGTATTACTTTGGACAAGCTTAGTGTGCTATCTACTGTTGCCATGACATCGCTCTCAAAGAAAGGTGATAGGTTCTTTTTGAGATAGGTACTGTGACGAAGAGCAAATACATCTGTAGGCGCAATACTTTTGATTTGGCTCATAAGCAGATCGTACCCTACATTAGAGATCCAGCCTTGAGTATTGACCACAAGCGGAATCCCTATTTCGTCATCCTCCATCATCTGATCGTGCTTCCAATGACAGACGAGCTGGTGAATACAAGCCAAATAGTAATCGGGATTGCTTCGTGGTGAGTTGCTGCCAAAGAAGAAGCTACGGGCTGGTTCAAACTGCTGATGTGTGTAGGATGGACCAAGGACGGGATGTTCAATGTAGTGGAGCGATATGAGTCCTGTTGGCGTGAATTCGGTCTGTCCTACGTCTGTTTCAATATACGCCACCTTCTTGTATCGCGTCAACAGTCGGTTCACGAGGTACTTGCTAAAGGATGATTTACCAAGGTTTTTACCACCGCAGACGACGCTGACCATTGGTGTTTTGCGTTCAGCGGCCGAGTTTAGCGCGATTAACGTCTCTGATTCCCATGAGAGTTCTATTTTGAATGCCTTTACGCCAGGTACAGATTCAAGGATAGGATGAAACCCAGGAAACATGTTAATCGTCAAAGACATATCTCGTCTGGCTTCCTTCTTTGAGAACTTTACTACATTTCTACGCTTTGGCACCGCGTCCTTCATAGATTCAAGCCCATTACCATATAAATCCTTGATAACAATGACGGCGTCAAACTCATCTACTGTCAGTTCTTCAAAGACAGCTTCAAGTATATTTTCATCCATCTCGACTGGATCGTCATGTGATCTGATCGAAGGCTGGTCCATGCTGACAGGTGCAATGCGTAAAAGTGCGTGAGATAGTGGGCAAAAGACGGGGTAGAAGTGTACGGGTATATCGTTCTCTGTTCGATCCTTAGGAACAGGTCGGTTCGATGAAATTATTGCTCCAGCAATAGATATGGCGCCATAGAGAGGTGCAACTAGTATTTCACCCATAAAGACCAGATCCTAGCCATAATTAGCATCGATTTTTTTTTAAATAAAGGTAGCTATTTCTTACTTCTCCTTGCTTTAAGCCGATAAACATATATGTCTCATCTTCTTGTTTAAGGACGCATGTGTTTGTCTTTGAATAAGTAAATTTGCTGACCGAATTGTGATCTACCAACAATGATCTGTAGGTGTTTTTTCTTTTAGTATAGATCCATCTATAACACATATTTTCTTACGGCTTTGTTTTTTTAAATGGTTCTGTCACGCCATCTGTCACGTCCTGTGCTTCTTCCGAGATATCTTTTATTTCATCTAGTATACTGTCTGATTTTTCTTCTTCTTCTCTTTCTTCCCTTTCTTCATCCTCATCATTTACACTGACTCTATCCTCTTCTTCGTCTTCGTCTTCTTTTGTTCTATACAATCCAGCAGCGATAGCAGCCTGCCTTGCCGCTCGTGCACTTAATGGGACCTTAGGTCCATCAATATCTGGCTGTACAGTTTCTGGATCTTCTTGAATTTCAATGACAACCTCTGCCTCATAGTTATCCAGTACTTCACGTCCCTTTTTCTTTCCTTCTGTAAGTTTATTAGAAAATTGATTATATTGTTTAAGCACTTGTTCTAACCTGATGTTTTTGATTGCTTTGCTGGCCTTTCAATTGGATCAGATCCTTTTCTTTTAAGCGTCATTGTATAAAGAAGAGAGCACCTTTTTTTTTTTGGCAGAAATAAATTACAGTGCTTTAAACAAGTCACGCGGTCATGACAGCTTTTTTTTTCGCTAAGCTTTCATTATGCTTGTAACAATGACCCAGCTTGAATATCAAGAAGCCCCACTTCTCAAGGAGAAAACAAAGAGAGAAAGAATATATTTATATATAGAAACAATATGCAGTTTATTGAAAAAAAAGAGTCGTCTATAAATCCTTCTTGTCTTCAACTGCAATAGGTTTATCAGAAGTAGGTTCAACACCAAGAGCATTCAGTCTTTCAACAAGACTAGGATGTGAGTGATTCCAAGCAGAATACCATGGATCGACATTGAATCCACCAAGATTTTTAACACTCAATTTGATTAAAGCACTGCGTAAGGTAGAAGCATAACCAAGTTTCAAAGCATAAGCATCAGCTTCATACTCGTTCTTGCGTTGATAGACGTGCTGTAAGAATCCAATGACACTTTCAACAGGTGAATAGATAAATTGGAACAACATGAAGCCAATTAATGTAGGCATTGTGTCAAATCCAAAGTCAGTGTAGAGCTGCTTGTTGTTGATGAATAATGAGAATAACCAAAAGATGGAGAGTAAATGGATTTGGTTGACAATGAGAAGTTTAAGTGTATGTCCCATCTTCCAGTGACCAAGCTCATGAGCCAAGACAGCACAGATTTCATCGTTATTAGAGTGATCGATCAAAGTGTCAAAGAGAACAATATGCTTATTCTTTCCGAATCCATAAAAGTAGGCATTGGAGTGACTAGAGCGTTTGGATCCGTCAATGACATAGAGCTTCTTTAATGGGAACTGGATGCGTGCTGCCAATTCATTGATGCGAGTTCTTAACTCTCCTTCTTCCAAGGGTGTTAATTTGTTAAACAAGGGTTGGATGAAGGTTGGATAAACAGTGATGATAAACAGCTGGAAGACGATACTATTGATATAGGTTAAATAATCAAAATCAATCTAGTAAAGAAGGGGGAGCAACTTACGCAATGACCCAAACATAAAAGTAAAACCTTTCGCCTGTTGCTTTGATGATCCATAAGAAAGCTGAAATGAATGGAAACATGAGAGCGGCCATAACAAACTGCATTTTTATAATGTCCACAAAGAAGAGTTTAACGGTTTGCTTGTTAAAACCGTGCTTTTGTTCGACAACAAAGGTGGAGTAATAGTTGAAGGGTGTTGATGTGACAGTAGAAAAGATGGTAAAGATGATGAGAAAGACGAGTGAGTGAAGTATTTCGTAATCAGTGTTGTATCCACTAATCTTATACAACAAATCTCCAGAGAAATTCCACATCTTGGGAAGCGCGTCATAGTGAAGCATCAAGACAGTTTCGATTTGCTTATAGAAGGATTCGATGAAGCCAAAGCGAGACTTGTCCAAATTGTATGCTTGAGACTTTTTAAAGTCTTCTTCAGTGACAATATCAGCCAACTCATCAGGACGATGACACATCAAGTAACGACAATGTTGTCGGTAACTGCGAGATGGAATAAGCACTAATATATAAGCATCACTTGTATAAATTTACTTCAAGTATTGCTCAAAAGCATAAACAATGCATGAAAAGACTATAACAAACTGTTTGTAGTCATTCAACTGTTCCAGTAGTTCAAACATTTTGAAAGAAACAAAAATTTGGCACTCTTGCACTTACGCCCAATAAAATGGCCCCACTGCCATCGTCTTTAATTTTCTATTTTTCAGCCATGGAGAACTCAAATGTGTTTGGTCTTCGACATCAGGTTTTATTTATTCTGCGTTATTTTTTCCCTCCTTATCTTTTACTTTTCTAATCTCTTTAAAGGCACGATGCTTAACTTCAGTGAAAAAGAGTACAGAAAAGAGCAAGTTTCTTGCGGGAACAGTGGGCGCAAAAGAGAATGTTGTATGTTTGCTAGAATATGATGATGACAACGCATTATTGTCTTCCTTTATGTTTCAACATCCACAAGAAGTATGGGACATTGCGTCATGTCCCAATGACGAAGACGTGTTTTTTACTTGTCACAGTTCAGGTACAAACATACGCAGTTTATGCAAAAAAGTTAATAAACAAGTATGCATAGTATGCGAGAGTCCATTAAAATCAAAGGCTACTCTATGGCGTAAACCAAGCGTATCTATTGAGAATCAGCAGCAGGAATTGATACCCTTGATGACATTAGACTATGAAGGAGCAAAAAAGTGAGTCATTTAGATTTATTCGATTTATTCCAACAGTTGTCTGTAGAGTTGTCTGGAGTAATGAAGAGGGAGATCAGCAAGCTGCGTGTATTGACTCAACGCAAATTCATCTTTTTTCTACCGAGAATGCAAAGGTACCTCAGTTGAATAAATGCATAAACATATTTCATTAACGCAGCGAAAAAAAAAAAAAGACTTTGCGTACAATAGATGCTTCATCCATGTTTTCAGCAGGCTCTGATGCACCTTCGCTCAAGCTACTTCAAAATGCTGTATGGAACCCACATGATCCGCAGATAATAGCTGTTGGTGGCAACTGTGTAGCTGGATGGGATATAAGGTCTGGGCAGAATAGCTTTAAAATATTAAATGCGCATCAAAGTACTGTTCGTGCAGTAGATTACAACCCGAACAAACGTCATCATTTAGCTACCGGTAGTGATGATGCCCTCGTTCACTTGTGGGATGTGAGACAGTTAGAAAAGCCCTTGATGACGCTTGAAGGAAATAGTCATTGGATATGGTCGGTAGCATTCAATCCTCTGCAAGACCAACTGCTACTAGCATCAGGCTCGGATGGCCTTGTTCACTTACATAATGTGTATTCTATATCTTCGGCTGCTACTATGGAAGAAGAAGAGGAAGAAATAGGGTAAATATAAGATATCTTAAGCATATTGGCCACTGACACTCCCAAAGGCAAAAACCTTCCGATGGATTGATTTGTACTTATGATCAACATGAAGATAGTATATATAGTGCAGTATGGAGTTTTGCTGACACTTGGACATTTGCTTCGATTTCATACGCAGGTAGAGTAGTTATTAGCCAAGTGCCGTCCGAAGAGAAATTCAAGATCCTTGGCGTATAAATGAATAAAAAACATACCCGGCTATTTATAATATGTGAAAACAAGAAGTTGATCAATCTGAAAACATTGACAGAGGGCGGAGGGCTATGATTTAAATAAAAGAGTCTCTTTTTTGCATTTGTAATAATATAAAGAGAGGGTGGGAAGCTCCGGCTTGAGCGAAGCCAAAAGTAAGCGAGCTTCCCTTGGGCAAAAAATTATGCGCGCGATATGTCTTGATATCCATACCGCAGGAGCAAATCATCCACTCCCGACACATCGGCATTACTGCTCTGTGACGCGCCCTTTTTTTAGAGAGTCTCTATTATCTGCGGCAGTGTCGAATTATAAAAAACAGAGCAGTGTCGGCGCAAGTTGTGGGTGATAGAATGCTTTTAGATCAATTTGTGGCCAATGACTGGTCTTATGTTGGTGAAGGAAATGCCAACATTGTCGTCAGATATATGGGCCAAGATGTAGAATTAGTATGTAAAAGAAAGTAATGCAATTATTTTAGTAAACTTTTTTTTCTTTTTAGAAAAAGAAAGTTTTAAGAGTGAAGAAAAAACAAGTGTATACGGAATCAGCAGCAAGGTTTTCTCAGCAGTTTACAGACAAGATCATTGCTCGTTTGCTCGGGCAAGAGTATGTGCTACCTTTTGAAATTGTCCATGTTTCTCGTGATTTCTTGATTGAATTAGCAAGCCATATTGAACCACAGCGTCCATTGTGCCGACTCGAAAAGAAAATCAACTGTGATTCGACGGTAGCTATACTCTTGGAGGATCTGACGGAATCAAGCTCCTTTCCGACGTTAACATTTGAACTTAAAGTAAGTCAACAAAGAAATAACATAAAAGTGACTTAGTCTTTTTTATATATAGCCAAAATGGGGATTTAAACCAAGATCTAGTTTGATACGATATCCAAAGCTAAAGCAGACACACTGTCGATTTTGTATGCATTCTCACTATCGAAAAGAGCATGTCTCCGACTACTGTCCTCTTGATCTATATTCGAGAGATGAAACACGAGTAACTAAGGCGATTAAAGTATTGACAACATGCAAACCACTTACAAAGACGCTCAAAATATCCTCCGATCTATGCTTGAATATGGATGACATTAGACATATTCTCAAGGAAATTATATTAAAGGATCCAATATTATCAAGAATACAGAAACTGCAGAGGCAATTGGACGAATTAGATGTTGAAGGCATATTTCCAATCTATGAAAAACATAAGCCTATAAAGAATATAGACATCGAGCAATGGGTAAAAGTAATTGACAACTTCGAAAAGGGACATCGAGCGGATATGATTCAGAGACTATACGAGTATGTACTATCAATGACATTTAAAGACTGCTCCCTCTTAGTCAATGCAAGACACATCAAAGACAGTGATCGAATGAAACATATAAGGTTGAAGGATGGGATATACATAGGATATGATATCAAAGTAATAGATACGGACTTGAAGGATATAGAAAAGATACCATACTGGTACGAATTAGATCAAACCATTGTTCATTATGCTAAGGATACCCATTTTAATAAAGTTTGCGTTGAACAGTAAAATGGTCTTCATTTAAATTGCGCATAATCTATATCATATTAAACTAAAAAAAGGCGATGTCAAGAAAAGACATTGACAGGCCCTTTCTTCCCTTTAAACATGATATTTTAGGGTAATATTAAGGGCACTGCAAAATCCAAAAAAGGTAATATTTTCCCAAACTGCAGAGCAAAAGTTTGTCAAGGCTACTTATGGTTTAATTCAGAAACTATTCAGGGCTGCTATAAGAGAGGATTTGAGGAAACACTGCGTAGACCCTGACCTTTCTGTGATGCTTGCGTCTAGACTTGTTCAAAATAAAGTTTGTTGTTTTTTTCATGTTTCCGAACGCGTCTATCATTTGCTATTACCATTTTTGGTGGAGGCGTTCTTTTGCTTATGCATAACTTGCTTCATTTCTTTATACAAGCTTAGTACTTCATATAATAACTACTAAAAAATAGTATTTATCTAGCTTTTACTTGCAAAAAGTCAAAGGGAAAAAAAAAAGAGTTGGCAGAGTAACACAAAAAGTGTGTGTGACCAACACTAGGAAAAAAGCCCAAGGACGCGTGGTATAAACAAAGAATGCATGAAATTTATTGCCTTTTAGTCTTTTTACTATATAAAAATAGAGGTGAATAGCTTCATTAAAGTATATATTCAAATGATAGTCTGAATGAATATAAAAAGTATAAAAAGATAGGGCAAACTTTTAAAAGCCATGAAACACTCTAGAAATAAACAAAAATGTGAGTGTAAACCTTATTTTCTTGTAAGGAGCAAAATCTTATTTATTGATAAGACAGAAAACAACAACTTCACATAACTAAAAAAAGAGGTATAAAAAGAGAGACATTTGCTCTCACCTCTTTTTTTCTCTCTTTCTTTTCTCCTTCTACTTTTTTTCTTTCTTTTTACTCTTTTTGGTTCCTTCTGGTGACTCTTTTTGCTGTTCTCTTTGGTCAATGTAAGTTTTTTTTTAAAACTTACTCAGCAAGGCGGTGATTGTGTGTTCAAGGATTTCTATGCAATCTCTTTCTATGATGCTCAACACG